TAAATTAATATTTAACTATAAAATTTAATTAATTTAATATTACAATTATAAATTTTTCAATTCAAGTTGAATTTGAAGTCAACTTATTAATTAAAAATTAAGAATTAAAATTATTAATTTCAGTTTATTATTTACTATAAAATTCAATTCGTGACTTAAAATAACATTTTTTGTCATTTGGCAAAACTATTGAATATGAAATATGAAATTAGAATTCAACATTTTATTTTCAATTTAATTTTGATTTAATTTGTATATAACGTAATTAATGCTCTAGAAACAGAATTACCTCCGTGAATAATTGAATATAACGATAAGTTAATAATATAAATAATATATGTTAATCGACTCTCGTAAATTAATAATCGACGAATTATTATCATACAAAATACGATTTATATTCTCTTATTATTTTCTTTCTATCATTAATAATAATTATTTTATGATAATCCATAAATCTTAAACATTTTTTTTTAATAAACTTTCTTATTAGACAAAAAATAAAATTTCGTTCATAAAAAAATTCATGTTAAAAATAAAAATTTTAAATATACAAAGAAACTAAGGTTTTTTAAAAATTTCATTCAAAAAAAAAAATGGTGTATTTTTTTTGTTTTTGTTTTGTTTCGTACGTGATTTCTCATTTTGTATATAATACCCACGCAAAATGCAGAAAAGGTGAATCAGCGTTAGTTGATACTCTAAAGTTATAAACTTGAAATAAGTAAAATTATACACTCATATAGTGAAAAGACAAGTTTTCTTTATTAATAAACTTGAACGACAACAAAAATAGACGACACTGTTTGCTTTAATAATTAATAAATAGCAAAAAAACGCCTATAAGAAAATTAAAACCAATCTTTCTCTCTCTATATTTGTAGTATACAATTATTTCCAAGATTGACGAAGGGAATTATGTAACCAGAAATGGAGGAGAATGACTGCTTTGCGAGAATGAATCATCCTCCTCCGTTTGGCGTAAAAAGACGATCACATAGAGTCAACCCACAACTTTTGTTTATACAAAGGAAGAAATCGCAACTAGTTTTCAAGATCTTCTTTGAGATTACACTCACCAGTGGTGTGCACAAAGTCTAATGAAAATATCGTCAGTACAAAAACAAAAGTAAAGAAAATAATTTTTTCACACTTTTTAAATTCAATTTTGAAAGTGAGAAAATTATTTTTATTTCTCAAATTGAAATATTTCTCCATAAATTCTTTTTTCTGAATGACAAAAAATTCTCTGACAATTTTTAAAAGACCCAAAAAAAAACCAAACAAAAAGAATAATCGATAATAGAACACGAAATAATTATTCAAGAAATTTCTTACGAAAGAATTCCCCGGTGAGACTTTCTATATAATTTTCCAGATGTGTGACAACCGGAACAGTTATGATTGCGAGAATTTATATATAAACTCTCATCGTCGGCCCGGATAAATATTTTCAAAATCTAGAATACGCTGAGTGAATAAAATCGAATAAATAAAGGAAAGAGAAAAAAGAAAAGAAAAGGTGAAAAAGAAACCTAATTAGTAGAAAAGATAAAAAGAAATTACCATATAGATGTTAAAATGACAAAAATACGTATACTTTAATTCCCAATCGAATTTTTTTCAAATATATAGAGAAGGAAATTTTTAATGTGGGAAAATCTGAAGGAAGAAGAAAAAAAAGTACCTTCAGGTATACTCATTAAACTGAGGAACTCGGGAGCCAACAGCTTTTTATTTACTGTGAGTGAGGAACTTTCCAATTGAACGGTCGAACTACTTTTCAAAAGCAACTTGCTTATAGCATAAGAACGGAAAAAGACAATAATTACAACTTCCTGACAACAACAACAACAACAACAACAACAACAACGAAAAAAACAGATATTATCAAGTTCTTACAAAAAATTTATTTTTATTCCAATCAAAATTTATTAATTAAAAAAAAATGTCGGGTAGAGTTTAGAATTTTTCTTTAGTAAGAATAAATACAGGTTGGCCAACAAAAATGTAATATTGTATTTCTCTGACCTTTCCTTGATTTCCAGACAAAATTTTGACTGATTCCCTGACAGTAAAGAATATTCTGATTCGCCGTAATTTTTAAATTTATTTAATTTATATTAAAAATTATAGATATAAATTAAAAATAAATAAATATATTTTAAAAATAAATTACAAATAAATAAATATTTTATAAAAATAAATAAATTATAAATAAAATATTAATTATAAATATAAATTATAAATTTATATTATAAATTAAAATGATTAGATATTCAAAAAAAAATGTTCTATTACATTTATTTAGGTATTTCTTTAATTGTAAAATTATTCGAAAACATCAATAACTTCATTTTTAAATAAATATTTAATAATTATTATTTTTCCATAGGAATTAAAATTTTCAAAAACTTTAGTTCAATAAATTATAATAATATTGTTATAAAACATGAAAAAATCGATCACTCCGAGTCTTCGACTCGGAGTAATCAATTTCTTCATGTTTTATAATAATTAAAGATAAAATAATTATTTTATATTATAAGAATTACAGTGACTTTTTCAAAATTATTTTCATCATTTCAATTCAATTATTATTTTCTAGAATTTTTAACTAAAATTTATTCTTTAAATCAATTATATTTTTAATAATTTTTGGAAAAAGTTTTTTGAGAATTTTTAAATCCATTTGTTTACAATTCAATTTTACGAAATTTCATCGATTATTCGAAAATAATTAAATGTTTGCGTAGAATAAATTATATTAAATAATAATTGAAGCTATCACTCGGCAAATTTATAATAATAAAGTTGAAATTATATTAAACTTTTTCTTAAATAATTGAATTCTTTTGGAAAATTTTATTAACATATTTGAAAATAATAAAATATTTCGGAGAAGAATTTTATTATTCATTAAAATAATTGAAATTTTGACAAGAATTTTATTTCAATTTTTGAACATAATTGTATTTCTGTGAAGAATTTTATTATTTATGAAAATAATTGAAATTTTGCAAAGAATTTTATTAAAATTTTTGAAAATAATTGAATTTTTGAGAAGAATTTTATTATTTATAAAAATAATTGAAATTTTAACAAGAATTTTATTTTAATTTTTGAACATAATTGAATTTCTGCGAAGAATTTTATTTATTTTTTGTTTATTAAAATTTTTGAAAATAATAAAATACTTCGGAGAAGTATTTTATTTCTATTTATAAAAATAATTTAAATTTTGACGACAATTTCTTTTGAATTTTTGAACGTAATTGAATTTCTGTAAAGAATTTTATTATTTATGAAAATAATTTAAATTTAGCAAAGAATTTTATTAAAATTTTTGAAAATAATTAAATTTTTGAAAATTTTATTAAAATTTTTGAAAATAATTGAATTTTTGAGAAGAATTTTATTATTTATAAAAATAATTGAAATTTTGACAAGAATTTTATTTCAATTTTTGAACATTGTTAAAATTTTTTAAAATAGAATTTCGGAGAAGAATTTAATTATTTATAAAAATAATGTAAATTTTGACAAGAATTTTTTAAAAACTTTTGAACATAATTGAATTTCTGCAAAAAATTTTATTTGTTTTTGAAAATAATTGAAATTTTACTAAGAACTTTATATAAATAATTTTTGAAAATAATTAAATTTTGGTGAGAATTTGATTATTTTTTGAAAATAATTGAAATTTTGACAAGAATTTCATTAAAAGTTTTGAAAATAATTTAATTTCGGAGAAAGATTTTATTATTTAAAAAAATAATGTAATTTTGACAAGAATTTTATTAAAATTTGCGAATATAATTGAATTTCTGGGAATTTTATTATTTATAAAGATAATTTACATTTTGACGAAATCAAAAAAAAATTTTAGAACATAATTGAATTTTTGCGAAGAAAGAATTTTTTTTGTATTTTCAACTAAAATTCTTCTATGAATCAATTATTTTTAATAATTAATTGAATATATATATATATATATTAATAAATTTAACTACTTTCCTAAGAATTTGAATTATTCAAATTTTTCAAAAATCTAAATTCTTCAAAATATCTAATATTAAATTAATTAAAATTTGAAATTTTATAGATTTGAAACTTTATAAATTAATTTTTAATACGTGATTCGATATTATTAGAATAAAATTTGATTTTGTAAAATAGATAAATTTCGTTCATTTGAACGTTCAAAACTTTAGGAACATTTTTCCAGTTATTTTAATAATAATCCCTGACTTTTCCCTAATTTCCCTGACCTGTGACAACTCTAATATAATTATTGTAAGATTCCAAATAAAAAATATAATTAAATTTGCAATAATACATCAATGGAATTTAGTCGGTCTCAACAATATTATTCGAGATACTTGTTCTCAATTTTTTTTCGAACGTAAAATACAAAAATTTGGGTTAAGGCCTCGACGGGATCTAACGACCGCTATGGATCCTTTTCAAGTTCTCAAGAATAAAAAGAAAACTATAAAAAAAAGAGGAGGCACAAAAGAGCCCAAGGCTGTTAAATATCATTAAGAAAGTTGAAAGAAAGGAAGAGGAAACGAAATTAAGATATAAAAAAGTAAGAAGGGGAGAGAATAGTCTTCTTTTCGGAAGGGAAGTCCTTTCGGCAAAGTTGCATAATCAAGTTAGGAATAAAATTATTTGCCGACTCAAAATATGTCATTCCTAGTTTAAAATGTTACTCCCGTCTCGAGGCTATTCGTATTTTCATCGAACGAGCTCATTGACTTGTAAAGATGCTCACCGAGCTCACTGGCTCTACAAGTTTCAAACCAGAATCTTGAATTTTATAGTCTGTTTTTTTTACGTACAGATAAAAAAAGCACCTCTATATATATTCTCAATTTTTTTTCCCAGTAAATTGTAAACTTTAATAAAAACCGATTAAAATTTTCGTACTCGAAAAGAAAAATTACGAAAATTGTAAATTTGGAAATATTTCAAATAATTAGAAAATATTTAATTACCTTCATGATTTTGTACTTGTTCGTGCTACCAGTATTAAGATCCTCGTGAACTTTATCCAGTAACCAAAGTAAAAATTCCTGGGCATCGTGCTGTAAATTTCCTCTATATTGACTTCCGTATTTATCGACGACACTCTTGAATGCAGTACTCATTTCGGGATCATATTGACAGGTCCATATTGCTTTCAATAATAATGCCAATTGTTCCGTTATTTCACCCTTGGTACCATATTTTTTTGAATTTTTCGTCTTTTTTGAAAGATCATCCTTATAACGATCCAATACAAAATATTCCGCAAGAATATCCGTATGTGATAGACATTGAAGTACAGCATTCATAAAACACGTGTTACCATGATTTCTAAGACCAGTTACACCAGGAACACGATCAGATGGTATTTGAGGAAGTCTCGGCGGTGGCACCCTAAGATCACTTGCACTTGAGCTAAGTTCATTTCTATATAAAGATTTATGTTCTTTGTTCACAAAATTAACGTACAATTTACAAAATATTTTCTTTATAGAACGCCTACGAAATGGTTTCTTTGGACCATTTCTCTCTGGATTATTATAATTTGTATGTGACCTTGGAACACCATGAACCTGCTGCTGTTGCTGCTGCTGGAGATTTTGTGTTCGCTGTTCCTCTTGCATATTGTTCCTACAATTTTCCTTGTAATTAAAATTGTTTTCCTTTAAATCACGAACTGGTTTTTGTCGTCTTTTTGACATTCTTTGGATAATATTTCCTGGCAGGGTAAATGTTCGTTTAAAACGTGATGTTACATCCCGGGTTTTCAAATCAGAACCAAATTTAACCTCTTCCACGCCCAGCTTGCCTTCGGACACTGATTTCATCACCGTAACGTTATTAACGACGATACCAATCGCCGGACAACAAAAAAGAAAATTATATTTTCATTAAAACTCACATTTCTATGCACATGGTTGTAACGAATTTCACAAAGCTTTTACATGCCGCAATACTTGCTTGCGGATTAAGAGGAAAGAGACAACACGAATACACTGTCGCGCCACGGCGGCCATTTGCCTTTTTTTTTAAAACAACCTTCCACGCACAAATCGACGCTTCGATTGTGAATAGAGAGGCGTCTTCCTTGTAAACTTCCAAGCGGTGTGAAGTTGGCTCTACGCTACACAAGCAGGGTGCGGTAGCTACTTCTCCTTGTGACTGTGAACCTACCTTAATACATCAAACACGAGAAATTTTAAATGTTCTTGTTAAAATATTTAAAAAATGAGATTTTTATAATCCTTTTGATAAATAGAAAAGATTTTCAACGATTTATTATTATTAGTTAATAACAATAATAGATAATAATTTTTAAATTTAAATTGGGGAATGTCAATTGCGATGTTGGCACCACTGCAATAAGAATATCTATTGAATATCTATTTTCCTGCTCACTTCAAACTTAATGTTTGTGCTACTTCCTACTTTAGGTGAAAATTTTTTGTTAAATGTCAACATTTTATAAAGTTTAAACAATGGAAACAGAAGATTCACCCGATCCACAAGAATTAAAAGCAACTATTGCAACATACAAAAAGTTGGCCGAAGATTTTTCAAATCATGATACAATTTTAAAGGTAATTTTCTCATTTTGTTTATGTTTATTTTGATCGTGTAAATCAATATGCATATATATAGAATTTTTTTTTTTTGAATAATTTTTATGTTAATTATTAACAGGATAAGACAGTGCTCTCGTATATTGCATTTATAATGGAAAATCCTGATGTAGAAGTAGTGGAATTGGCATTGGATGTCCTTGAAATTTTTGTGAGAAATTTAGAGAATTATTCACATATAACCTCAACATTTGGAGTTCGTGAAGCACTCGATTCAATAATTGACAAATATAGTTTAGACGAGCCAAAAATTGCTAAACACGCTCAACATATTAAAGATAGTATAGAAAGAATGAAACCACCGATTTATAATTTACGTAGTCGATGTAGACGTGTTATTGAACCAAAAAAACTAAGAACACACGTTATTGTCTTACATGTTCATGGCCTTCTTCCTGTAAGTTATTTTTATTTTTCTCTTTCCATTTACGGAATTTCTCTTTAACATTTAAAAAGAGATTTTCTTTTAATGATAAAAACTTATTTTATCGACTAAAATTTTCACGAGAATTAAATTATCTATATATTAAATATCCTTGTATTCCGGTAATCTGTTCGCAGTTTGAAGTTAGTTGTTGTTTGCTTCTTTGTTTCCTACCTTTTTTTAAATAATTTTCATTCATAAAATTAATTTATTGAAAATCATCGAATTGTTGCAAAAAATTTTATCAAAAGATTCGATAATAATAGAATTCCTTCGAAGAATTTTATTATTTGTGAAAATAATTGAATTCTCGAGAAGAAATATGCAAAAAAAATTTTGATAATTCTAATTAAACTCTTTTTAGACGAATTTCTTTGGACTTTTTTTAAATAATGGAGTTTCTTTAAATATTTTAATTAAAAACCTTAAAAATAATTGAATTTTATGAACAATTTCTTTCAAGTTTTTAAAATAATCTTGTTTGTTATTAATTGAAATTAAACGTATAATTATTGAATTTTATTAAAATTTTTGAAAATTCTTTCGAATAAAGAAAAAAATTGAATTCTTTCGTGAAATTTTTTTGAAAATAATTGAATATTTGCAAAGATTTTATATCGAATAAAGAAAAAACTGAATTCATTAATGAAATTTTTTAAAAATAATTGAATTTTTCCAAAGATTTTTACTATTTAAAAAAATAATTGAATTGTTTCAAAGGATTTATTAAAATTTTAGAAAATAATTAAATTCTTTTCAAATATTTGATACCGAATAGAAAGAAAAAAATTGAATTCTTTCCTGAAATGTTTTGAAAATAATTGAATATTTGCAAAGGTTTTATATCGAATTAAGAAAAAACTGAATTCATTAGTGAAACTTTTTTGAAAATAATTGAATTTTTCCAAAGATTTTTACTATTTAAAAAAATAATTTTGTCATTAAAATTTTGATTGAAAATAATTGAATTTTTGCAAATAATTTTACTACTTATTTATAAAAATAATTGAATTCTTAAGAAGAATATTATTATTTATGTAAATAATTGAATTCTTGAGAAGAATTTTATTAAAATTTTTGAAATTAATAAACAAGAATAATTAATTAGTAAATTCGTTAATAATTGAATTTTTTTAAAGGTTGAGATTGAAATTATTCAAAAATTGATCTTTGAAAATAAAAAGTTTTGTAATTTGCATAATAATAATAAATTGAATATCTCATGTTTTCTTTAAAAACAGGAGACACGAGCGGATCTAGAGTCAACTTTAATAAGAATTGAAGGTTTAATTTCACTCGTCGTTGACGTGGAGCATCAACGAGTTACCATGAGGACTTTAATTAATGTCACATCAAAACAAATTGCTGAAGCTATTCAAACAAATAACTCAAATATGGAGGCTAGATTAGTAACTAGAAACAAATATAATCAAGAATTTTTAGTTAAATTGGTATGTAAATTGAAATTTACTGAAAACTACAACAAATATTATTGTTTTAATTTAATTTAATTTATAGATAAGTACAGACGCTGGGGATTGCGATGAATTACCAGAATATTTACCAGAGGAAGAAGAACAAGAGGAAGAGGAGGAAAAGGAGGGCGTAATTTCCATTTTTACCGGTTTAAGACAAAGTGCGTCTTCCCTTTACAAATCGACAGCTGAATTTCTTCATAATTCCTTTTATTGGTGAATCGTGAATTCTTTTTATTTAGTATTTTATTTATTTTCTACGTGCATCAAAGTAAGACGCAATGAGTTTCTGTTCGTGTGCATTGACCCGTAGGAATTTACCGCAAATGGTATAGAGAAAAAAAAGAACCTTAAAAGGTAAGAAATTAATGATCCATTTGGATTGTTATTCCTCTTTCAAGATTTTAATTATTTTTGACAATCACCGAAAATAATTCCCCATTCTTTTTTTTTTTTTTTTAATTAATTATATTTCAAAGACTTTGAACTCAGTGTTCTTGCCAAATTTTCTCAAAGAAACTTCTAAACTATTTTAGAAAATATAATAACTAGTTCAGATCTAAATTGAAAACTTTGATCTGCAGAACTTGTTAAAATCAAATTTAGAAATTGTATATATATAAACTTGCATCTGCTTCTAATTAAATTTTCTGGAATTTTTAAACGTAAACATCTTCCTTCATTAGAAAAATTAAAATGAAAAATAGAATTTAAAAATAAATGTTTACAGAAAAAAAAGAATTATTGTAAATAATTTATTGAGATTAATTCGTGTCTCAAAGTATATCTTAAATGCAAGGCAAAAAAAAATTTATATTCCCTGCCTATTTCTATACATATATAATAATAATCGACAATTAAACGTTTTCATCTTTATATTTTTGTGAAAAAAAAATTCGTTATTCAGTAGTTAGAAATATTTTAGGCATTTTTCTTTTTGTTTTGAGTAGAAAAAAAAATTTGTGTGTATAGGAAAAAAGATTATCGAAGGTTTATGGAACAATTTTAAGAAACAGAAATACCAACTTCGTATTCTGCGTGTAAATTATCAATTATAGATTTATTTAAAAGTTAAATGTCGACGAAGCACTTTAACAGCATTTTCAACTCGAGCAGCATTATATTTAAAAACTCATACTCATCAATCGCAAGGCTGTGTAAATCAAATGTTTTCTACACATAATGTTACGTTCTTCTTTATTTTCTTTTGTATTAAGTTAATTAGACTACCAAAAAAAAAAAAACAAATAAAATGTACCTAGAAATGTATAAATATTGTAAATGTTAATTGCTTAAAAATGTTATGTTCCTTGCAAGGTTATTTACAATCAACTGAAAATAATGTTAGAGCTGCGTTTGCTTTTTTTGTTAAAAATTTAAATACCAAATTCATTACTGTTAATTTTCGATTTAATGTGTTTCAATAAATACCTATATGGCTGAATTAAAAATGTCTTCTTAATTATAAATCGATTTTTTTATTCTTTTCTCTATTTTTACATATATAACTTTCTTTTTATAATAGAATTTAAATTGTAAACTTTTTGCGTAATTTATAAATTTGTAATATTTTTATATTAAATTGTAAAATTTTTATGTAATTTGTAAATTTTGTTCATAAAAAATTAATTTTTTTGTTTGTATAAATTTCAACGAAGTTATAAATTTGATCAAGTGACAAGTTAAATTTTTATTTATATAAAAAAGTTTGTAGCGTAATGATTGAAAATAGTAAAAATGTAAAATATTAAAATTTATATTGAATTATTAAACATTAAATGGTGTTATTTTTAGAAAATGCAAATTTTGCATATTTTTCAAGTATCGTAGTGTGAATTTGTTTGCTATTTAATTTCTTTTTGTAAAGACAATATCCAATCAACAGTCTTAAAATTATACATATAAACCTAGATGGAAATTGACTTTGGTTTAAGCATAAGTGCTTTTCTAATACATAGCATTATAGTTTTTATGATTGCATTTAAGATAATTAACTAAATTATTATAATATAAAAATAAAAATACAAACTATTATGCTATACAGTTAAACTAGAATATTTAAAACTCTTTCTCTTTTAAAGGCACATTTATATCCTTTTTGGAAAAAACTATATTTTTCTCATTATTTATTTATATAAATAATTTTATTTCCATAAATTTTTTTTTATTCTATTGTTATAAAATTCTCTCGTTCTGTACATTTTCTGTGAAATTTTTTTCGATATGTAAAGAGTGGGACAAACTTATGGCAATTGTATAACAATAAAAAATTCGACGATAGTTTTTTCCGAAAAAGGAACAAAAATTGATTAAAAATAGAAATTACTTTTGATTCTATTAAGTGAGAACTTGTTTCAAAATTTATTTAGTTTAATATGAGTCTCTTTAGGTAAAACAAAAAGAATTTTATTTTAACCGTTAAAGATGATTTATATACTCTCGTAATAATTCTCTCTAAAAAAAAAACTAACAATTTCTGTAAAATTCATTTAGCATTAACTTTGTCTGTTTTTTTAACATTAAAGACTTGCTTAAAAACTATTCTCTTTTTATTACTATTATTACTATAAATCTAATTGATCTCACAATTTTGTACGTTTCGTGATTGTATACAATGTACACTGGACGGAATATTGAACAAAAATGATTTTACTTTACAATTGTATTGTAATCGTAATTTGTACGTTTTTAACTTTAAATTGTAAATTTTTAATCTTAAATTGCAAATTTTTAATTTTGAACTGTAAATTTAAAATTTTTAATTTTTAATTTTTAATTTTAAATTGTAAATTTTCAATTTTAAATTGTAAATTTTAAATTTTAAATTGTAAATTATAAATTTTTAATTTTAATTTTAAATTGAAAATGTAATTTGTAAAAGCAATTATAAAAAATCAGATCTAAAAATTATTATTTAATATTTAAAAAACAAATTTAAAAATCTCGAAAGAATTAAAATTAAAAAAACTTGTCATATTTTTAATTTAAAAATACTGCTTAACTATAAATTAACAAATTTAGTAAATAAAAAATAGTATCAAAAAATTACTATCACAAGATGAAAATTAAATTTGAGATTCTCATGTGCTTGAAATTTTATACAAAATTATAATTTTGTAAGAGTATCGTTTCTTTGTTATTGAAAATTGGACGGAATTTTTTTCCAAATCCGATAGGATTTATAAAATTTCATACGTATATAGAAACAAAAATATATATGAATTTCTTTTTTTTCAATCTCTCATACGAAATATTGTAAGAAAGTGATAAAAATTACCGGAAATATTAAAGGCGATAAAGTGGCTGTACCAGCAGCACCAAAATGGAAAACATTTATGTAGTTTTCAGTCTTCAACCATGGATTGCTACCGTCGTCAAAATGCATTGGACACTGATCTCTTTCTCGTTCATATTCCTTGAAGAAAAAATTAAAATTCGTCAGAAAAATTTATTATTATTATTTATTTTATTATTTATAATAATAGCTTTTATTATTATTATTATTATTCTAGTATTTTTATTTATAAGCCCGTTAGTAGTAAATAAATAATTCTCGAAATATTATTTTTTACATAATTATAAAATTTTTATTTTTTTCTATTCGTAATTCTAACTATAAAATTTTTCTTTGAAATTAATAAAATAGCTTACCTCCATTTGTATGGCGACTGCGGCGCCTTCAGTGTAATTATAGCTTGTAACGTCTTGATTGAGTCCGCAAAAAGCGCCAATAGCTTGAGACATGAGGACTCGATTTAAATCCGCTCTCTGATAAACCCAACAACGGTATTTACTGTGAGGATCCAAATCGTCGTAAGTAATCAAATATGATTTTAAATTCTCCTTCCAATAGCCGATGCACTTCATTTTATAATCAGGTTCACCTGAAAATTTACAGAGTCAAGCATTAATTTTCTAGCAAAGCTTATTTAAAAAAAAGAAATATTAATAACATTATTATTTAGTACCAATTAATTTTTATTATAACTACTAATTAAATGTCTTTGAAACTACTAATTAAATATCTTTGAAACTGCTAATTAATTCTTGTTAAAACTACTAATTAGATGTCTTTAAAACAACTAATTAAATATCTTCAAAACTACTAATTATTTAATAAGCAAGAACTAATTATTTCTTATTAAAACTACTAATTAAATATCAAAACTAATAAATAATTATTTACCCAAAACAACTAATTATTGTTAGAACTACAAATAACTATTAAAATTAATTTCTCTAATTTGAAAAGTAATAAAAAATTGAATTACTGTAAATATCAACCGGTCGGCCCAAGTGATCGACAGTGAGACAATATGTTTCATCGATGGCAATTTCCTTTTGATCGGTATCGCAAACCGAAAAATCGGAAATATTTTGTTTACAATAAAGATTTGGACGGGGCGAAAGTGTTACACCGCCGAGAATTCTTGTCTCGAATAAAGTGTCACCCTTTTGTTCGAATCTAAATTTTCCAGCAACCGGACATCTTACTGGCACAGGATTTTGCGCTAAAATAAAATAATAAATTATTAGAAAATTGAAAAAGAGAAAATTCCATTTTATAAAAAATTGAAATTTATTTTTTGCAGTAAAATAGAAAAAATACTCTTTTTATTAATTAAATTTCAACTATACATACCAAGGAATAATTCGTATTTCCAATCAACTTTATTTTTAAATTGCACCCAGGAGCAAACAGTGGAGAATTCATTTTTTATCACAGCCACTCCTCTTCTGTATCGAATCACATTGTGATGTTGTGGTACAAAATCGAAACAAACGTAATCCTTTTGACTAAATGAAACAAAGGTTGATATTAAAATTATTTTAATAATAATTTTATGAAATAACTATGAAAATTATTTCAACAAAATTTGATGAGAAATAACTATAAAAATTGTTTTGAATTTATATTAATAAAAATTCTAATTTGCTTTCAAGATTAAATAATAACAAATAGTTAATTAAACAAAATTGTATTGTAACAAAAATAATAATTTAATTTGTAAAATTAATTTAACACTCTAAAATAAAAAAATAGTTACTTATAAATTATTGTAAAAAAATAATTTTAATACAAAATATGATTTTTTAAAAATTTATTTTCTAAGAAAAGCTGGAATTTATTTATTTTAATGTCTTGGTCTACATTTAAAATGAAAAAATTAATTTTTACAAAATTCATATCACTTTTTTTATGATTAGTTCAAATCTTTACTAATTTATTAAATTTAGAGAGTAAATCTTTCAAAAAAATTGAAAAATGAATATTTTCCATAATTTTTGGTTAATATATGAATTTTTTCCATTTTAAAAGAGAACATATTTAATAACTTTTTATACTAATTTTTATATATTTTGAAATTTTTATTAATTTTTATAATTTTGAATACGAAATAATTTAATTCTTGCATAGAATTTTATTAAACTTTTTGTAAATAATTGAATTGTTTTGAAGAATTTTATGTAAATTTTTTTAAATAATTATGAAGTTTATCTAGGAATTAAATTAAAATTGTATTGAAAATATTTGAATTCTATTAAAGAATTGTATAAGATTTTTTGAAAATAATTTAATTGCTGCTAATTTTATTAAAATTATATTCAAAATAATTAAATTCATCTGAAGTACCATATATTTTATTATTTACGAAAATAATTGAATTTCTGCGAGGAATTTTATTATTTATGAAAATAATTGAATTCTTAATTTAAATTGTATTGAATTAAATTTTTTAAATTATTAAATAAAATTGTATTTGAAAATAATTCAATTTTTACGTAGAATTTTATTAAAAATTTTGAAAATGTTTATTAATTTAAAATAAATATTAATTAATTACTTAAAATTAGTTGATAAATGATTTTTCCTAATTTTGAATCTGAAATTATTCAAAAATTGAGACTGATATTTGATAATAAAAAATTTTGTAATTTGCAGAAGAATAATAATAAAAATTTGAAAAAATTAATAATCTTACCATCCATCAACAGTTAATCTTGCCATCATTACTCTAGTGCCTCTTTGCTCTTGACAAACGTAAGTAACATCTCGCGATCGACTTTGATCTGGATTCCAAGTTTCCATAATATGTGTTTCATTAATAACAACATTCGCATCAATATTTGCTGTATTAATCCATCTTCCAGTCATATTCTGAGGTAGTCGACAACCGGGTTCTACAACTTCCGCCTTCACCGGTTTAACTCTTAAACGTTCTGGACTTTGTTCAACAGTTTTCAATGTATTACATTCGGCCGTTATCGAAACACCAATATAAAGATCGTCATCACGATTTTTCAAGAAGCACCTATACTTTTCGTCTTTACGCGATTCTTTCGTATTCGCCACTGCGAAGAAATGATTTTTCCCCACGAACCAATGGCCCAAACAACTGTATTCCACGACTGGAAATAAAAATATTTCATTTATTTTATCATTTTTTTTTTAAATCAGAAAAATATGAATTTAAATTTAAAAAAATTCGATTTAGAAAAATTTTATTTGAATTAAAATAAACTGTTCAAGTACCTCCATCGAATGTTTCCTTCATTCCCGGACATCTTTTGTAAGTGATATTAAATTTTTGATTGGTAATCAAAAATTGCGAACCGGCTGTTTGACAGGATTTAATTTGTGCATCCGGATGATCACAGACACCAGTAAATCTGAAGCGATTCTAAAGAAAAAAATCTTTATCATTTTTAATTTTCAATTAAAATAAATGGAATTCTTAAATAAAATACCTAAATTGAACTAAAATATGTTACCTGATAGGCAAATTGCCAAACACCTTCAAGAGACGATCGACAATTAATTGGTACATAATTCTCCGAAAATAATGTAACTAATTGTTGATCAGGTCGTAGTCCTCTGCAAACATTTTCTACCGTTGGTTCAACTCCTGGTGGAATATTTACACATTTTACTAAAAGAAAAAATATTCCAAATTATTTTTAAATTTAAAAAGAATTTAAATACGTACAGTAATATAATTTAAATTATTTTTTTTATTATCATATTCCTGAAGTTTTGAACCTTTGGTGTTTATTCCTTCTCTTAATTTTCTTTCTTTTCTTTCTATTAAATATAATTTAATTTATTTGCATTAAAAAAATTATTCTGTATAGAAAAAATAAAAAAATGTAAAAAATAATTATTAACCAAACGAAAATGTTTGATTTTAATTAGTAAATTTAAAAAAACACGTTCATTTAAACGTTCAGAACTTCAGGAACATTATCATAATTTTCTCTTTCTGAAATTCTATTAACTATTGTAATTATAAAAATAAAATGTTTCCAATTAATTGATACGTACATTCGAGTTTTTCGAGAACATTTACTGTTCTTACGAGTAATTTAACGCAATGGTAACAATTATTATTTTTGAACACAAAAGTGTAATTCACGTGGTATTCCTCGATTACATTAACACAATATCCTCGATCCGACATTGTCTCCGCATTTATTTCTGTCAATGTATTTTGTCCAGTTTCCCAAGAGAACCAGGATCCTCTTATTACAGTCGGAATAAAACATCCTGAACCCTCTTGCGTCAAAGAATGTGAATCTGCAAAGAAAATATATCAAAATTATCCACAATCACTAATTAAAAATACAAGATTAATAATTATTAATTTTTTAACATTCGAAATTTTTTCAAAACGTATTCCTTTTATTGCTCCAAAAAATTCTTTCTGACATAAATATTAAAATTTACGTATTTGTTAATACGAATAAAAATAATAAACAAATGAAGAAATAATCAAATTGAAAATAATTGCATATACATATGTTTAAAAAAGACAAGTATATAGAAAATAGAAAAATAAAATAATAAAATATTTGAATTAGTTTTTAAAGTTACGATGATGCATTGTTTGTTTTTAATGCTCCGAAAAAATTTTGTCATACATTTTTTTTAGAAATAAAATAGAAAAACTCACTGTGAAAAAATGATAAAATTATTGTGAAGAAATAAATTGTGCTCAGCATTTTTCAAAAAAAAAATTGTAAATATACAAATTTTGTTACTAATTTCTTGTTTTTTTTTGTTTTTGAAAAATTTTTATGAGACAACGCCCTTCACATGGAGGCACATTGGAATGAACACTACTATTCAACGTGCATACAACTTGTTGGCTGATCCACCTGCATGAGTCAGGAGGCTCAGGGTTGGGAACGTCTGTCAGCCTTCCTGTGATTAATCATATAAGAAATAAAAATTTTAATACTGAAAAAATATTTTAGAATATTAAAAACAAAACTCACCATTTTTTTTCAAAAATCATCTTTTTCATATTCTTTTTTACTGCTTTTGTTCTTTTTTCTATTTTTTATATACTGAAAATTCACTATGGCGACTCCAATATGGCGGAAACTAAAAAAATAAATGACAATAAAATGTTATACAAAATATAAAAAAGAAATAAAAATATTTGTTAATATTTGGAGAGAAAAAAACTTACAGTATCGATAAAATCATTTCTTTAAACAATAAATGTTTTCATTAATTTAAAGTTTAAACTTTAATACCGAAAATTCGCAATGACGACTCCCTATGGCGAAAACTGAAAAAGAAATAAAAACTGCAACAAAATTAATAAAAAATTAAAATTAGATATCACAAATTATTTTGTCGAATCTAAAAATTCGGAATTATGAATATTATAAATTAAAAGAATTAAAATATGTGCGAAATATTAAATTTCAAATTATTTTTTTGAAACCTAATCGTATACTAAATATTCCTAGTTCTCTAATTTTTTAAATTCAGCAACTTATTTAACAGTAAAAAATTTTGAATTGTTTTTCAAATTGTTCTCTACTTTTATCTGCTTCTTATTACCAAAATTTAAATTTTTTTCAAATTTACTATTTATTTTATTTATTTTGAGAAACAAACGGAGCGATTAATATTTTAATACTATTTATCTACTATTTGGAGTAGGTACTTAAATTTTTTAATTGTTTCAAAAATTACAAAATTGTTTCAAAAAACGACTGAAAAATAATTATAGAAAAAACGTAGTTTTAATCTGAAAAAGAATGGATTAAAAATCCGAAATTAAAGAGGATTAATTAAAAATTAAGTTTTATCTTTTAAGAATCTATAATATGACTATAGATTTTTATTTTTATATACGTAACATGAATTTGACGGATCACTTCTACAACGTGGCTGACATTTTTCTTGTCACTACTTGAATAAATAGTGGAATACAGTATATATATAATGTATATAATATTATTACTGCAAAGTACACTTTTTTTTTTAAATATTCTTATAAATAAATCTTACACGTGTGTTCGAATAATGCGTTTTACTCTGATTCTCAGGCTTATTCTTATTAAGTTTGAGGTTTATATTGTCAATATTTACAAATATTCGTTAATTGTCCTTAAGGCAATTTGAGTTCACAAAGCGCAGGTACGAACGATAAATTGCTATATTTAATTCAATTCTATTTAAATTCAACGAAATATAAGGAAAAGTGGTTTAAAAAAAATATTTTCTTCTCAAGTCAGACGATTAAAATAAATTAGTCATAAATTTCTTTCGAATTCAATTCTTTAAAACAATAATAATTTTTCTATTCGACTTTTAGATAAAATTTTAATTTCTAATTTTTAGAATTAAATAATTAAAAATTAAAAATCAAATAATTTAATAAATAATTTTAAAGAATTTTTATTTTTATTTCTTTAATTTATTATGAGAAATTCGAATTCAATTTATTATCAAATTCAAAATCTACATTTGGTAAATGGAAAGTTTTCTCCATTTATTTTTCGTTTTAAAAACAATTTTCATAAAAATATTGTCAAAATATTTTCCAAAGAAAATATATAATACATTCCGATATAAGAATGTAAAAAATTAAATTCGGATATCGGATAGAATTAAAATACATTTGGCGTTCCATTCGATTTCCACTGTTCCTTATATAAAAACAAAATTATGGAATGTAATTTTTTTTCACTAATTGCATTGCAATATAAAATTCGAAAAAAATGCGTATTTTCTCTTCGACTCATAGAATCAGCTTCTTTTTTTTTGTTTGTAAAGTACTGGACCAATACAATATTAACTGGGAATACAAACATTAAATTGCACAAATACGATTATTATCTAATTTTTGTATACTTTGTGTAATATACTTGAAAAATTCTATACAAAGCTACTGTTTTTTTTCTCTACTTGACTATAATAAATACTTTTTTTTTCCTTTAACAAGATCATTTTTGTTTATCTCAATTTTATGTAGAAATCCTCAAAATTCATTTTTTTTTTGTCAATTTTATCTCGCGTATACCAAAAAATTATATGGGTAGCGAGTTTTAGAAAAATTACTCTGAAATAAAAACTCTATGAAACAACAATTAGAATATATTTTTGAAAATATAAATTTCTCTTTTTTTCCACGTGGTCAAAATTTTTTAACTTTCATCGTTTTTTTTCTCTTCTTTACGTTTGTCATTAATTATTAATTATTAATTATTAATTATTAATCATTAATCAATAATTATAAATTTTACATATTTTCTAAATTGACTTTTTCTTTTATTCGGAAAAACGTAATTCTTTTCTTGAAAAAAAAATCTTGTACTCGTTTTGGGCTTTAATGGTAGAATTTCCAGGTGGAAAAAAAAGAGGGAAAATTCATTTCTTCCCTCTCCTTTTTCGTAATTACTTTTCTTGCCAATATTTGTATTACAAGTTACGCTAATACGTTTTTATCATCCACATTGTGGATACTGGAATATACTACAAAAAACGTAATATTTGGCTAGCGAACTTGCTAAAATAACTATATAAAATTATAACAAATCTTTTCCTTCTTTTTTTTTACATATCGTTACGTCTAGTTTTTAAAAAAAATTGTACAAAGAGACATCTCATTATATACAAATTTTTAAGTAAAAAAGAAACTCAAGGCGCTCTCTCTTTTTTTTTATCAAGTGCAAATATCAATAAAGAAATGAGAAAATTTCCTATCGCTAAATTTGTCATGATTTTCTATTTCGATAAAAATAATTGCTATGGAATGAGTATGAATTTCAAGTAAAGTCTTTCGAGCAAAGAATCATTAAACGACATATATAAGTATTTGTCTGACCTTCTTTTAACTTATTTCGCTTGCCTTGAATGCACATTTTTAGAATTAAATTCTTTTTTGCACTATATTCACAACACTTGACAATCTCACATTTATCTTTATATAATACGAGCTTATCACTTTACGTCCCGAAAGAAATTCTCCAGTTGAAAATTTTTAAAATTGATCCAAAATTTATTGAAAATTTGCTTTGTCTTTACAACTGGGAGAATCGAAACGAGACGTAAGAGAAGTTTTCTTATTTTCTATATACTAATAATAATAGTTATAATAATAATTAATAGTAATAAATTAAACTCTACTTTCTAATTTTAAATTTGCGTTTGCTCTTTGAGACGCAATAGTAATCTCGCTTACTTCATCTGTTTCGGATTGACTCGATGAATCTGTCGCGTCGTCGATTTGCTTCCTCTTGTGTGAATGAATATTGCGAAATGCTCTTTGTACTTCTGGATTGCTCTCGAGGGTGGAAGATTGACTGGACGGAGGATGAGAGTATTCCGAAGTATTTTCTTCATCCGACACCAAAACTCCTTTCACAATTTTCGAGGAATGCTTGAATCTTCTTAATCTACAGCCAGGTCCAATTGGCCTCCTCGCGATGCTGCGAAGAATAAATTTACATTATTTCCTTTGTCTATTGGAAAATTTTATTTACTAAAATTCTAAAACTAGAAATTTAAAACAAAAAAGGAATTATTTAAAAATTTATTTACTCCAGTGCTGACGCACTGGAAAATTTTTTTAATTGTAATAAATACCTTCTCCTTCTAAGGGAATAATTGTAGGTATAACTTGGATCCTCTCCCTCTTCATCTGACCAGCTCTCCTCTTCTCTAAAATCACCGTCTTGATTACCAAGGGCGTCAACGTTGTCCGCACTCGATTTAAGTAGATTATCGGACTTTTCCATATCCGAGCCATTTATTATAATTCCACAAAAATGTCCCGGTAGTCTCAACATTTCTTCTTTTATCCTGCTGCAAATGAAATCGAATTTAATTAAACTTTTGAAGTGCTGTCAATTTTTTCTTATATTTTTAATAAACAAGAATATATTTTTTTAAATTGTATTTCATTCGAGTTTTCAATAAAAACTTTTCCCTCATTTCTAGACAGAATTTTGTCGTTTTCCCTGAACCTTATAAAAAAATTCAAAAGGATTTCAATTATAAAAATTAAAAATAGATAATTTTTAGAAGCAAAATAATTATTAATTTGAAGCTTCTTTTTATATATATTTTAAAAATGAAATTAGTTACTGTTGAGAACTTCCCTCGATTTTTTGGAAAAATTTCAATAAAATTCTTAAAACTTTTAATTTTAAATTCAAATTCTTATAATTTTAGGAAATTTCAATTTATTTAGCAAATTTTAAATGTTCATCAAAATTGAATTATCTTTAAAAACTAAAACAGAAATATTAAACAAAAACCTAATTTCTCAGAATTATAAATCCAATTTTAAAAAAAATGTTTGAAATTTATTTATTTTTAATAGAATTTTAGAAAAATTCAATTATTTTAAAACTTTTGAATGAACTGTTTTTAAAAATTTAATTATCTTCTAAAAATAGAACAGAAATATTTTTAAAAACTAATTTTCCCGAATTTTAAATCCTATTTTTCAAAAAAAGTTTGAAATTTATTTATTTTCAAAAGAATTTCAGAAAAGTTCAATTCCTTCAAAAACTTTCGATTACTTGTTCATAAAAATTTAATTATCTTCAAAGTTGGAATAGAAATATTAAAAGAGTCTTTTATTTTTTAGAATTTTAATTATAATTTTTTAAAAAAATTTTGAATTTTTTCAATTTGTAATAGAATTTTAGGAAAATTTAATTATTTCAAAAATGTTAAATTATTATTCCATCAAATTTCAATTGTCTTTGAAAAATAGAACAGAATCATTTTAAAAATCTGGTCTTTCAGAATTTTAAATTCAACTTTTCAAAAAATGGATGAAATTTATGTATTTTTAAAAGAATTTCAGAAAAATTCATTTACTTTAAAAACTTTCGATTACTTGTTCATAAAAAACTTAATTATTTTCAAAATTCGAACAGAAATATTTTTAAAAAAAACTCATTTTTCAGAATTTTAAATCCAATTTAAAAAAAAATTTAAATTTTATCAATTTGTAATAGAATTTTAGGAAAATTAAATTATTTCAAAAATTTTCAAATATTTTTACATCAAAATTCAATTATCTTTAAAAAATAGAACAGAATCATTTTAAAAATCTAGTCTTTCAGAATTTTAATTTCAACTTTTCAAAAAATGGATGAAATTTATTTATTTTTAAAAGAATTTCAGAAAAGTTCAATTATTTTAAAAACTTTCGATTACTTGTTCATAAAAAACTTAATTATTTTCAAAATTCGAACAGAAATATTTTTAAAAAAACTCATTTTTCAGAATTTTAAATATAATTTTTCAAAAAAAATTTAAATTTTATCAATTTGTAATAGAATTTTAGGAAAATTAAATTATTTCAAAAATTTTCAAATATTTTTACAACAAAATTCAATTATCTTTAAAAAATAGAACAGATTCATTTTAAGAATCTAGTTTTTTAGAATTTGAAATCCAATTTTTCCAAAACGGTTTGAAATTTATTTATTTTTAATACAATTTTAGGAAATCTCAATTATTTGAAAAAAATTTCAATTATGTTTGCATAATATTTAAATCATTTAAAAAAATACAATAGAAATATTTTAAAAACCTAATTTTTCCAAATTTTAATTATAATTTTTTAAAACTTGCACTTTTGAAAAAAAATTGAAATTTATCTTTTTAAAATGAATAAATTAATAAAAAATTGTGATTTTAAGTCTGAAAAGTCGATTTATTTAAAGATTATTAAATTAAAATTCTTTCAAAATTCAATTTCTTTTAAATTTCTAATGAAATTCTTTAACAAATTTAATTAGTGTTGATTCAATTTCAAAAAAATTGAAGGGAGTTCAATTATAAAAGTTAATTAATTACTCAGACAAAATTTCAATTAATTTAATAAAATTTTTTAAATAATTGAATCAAAATTTTTCAAAAATCTATTTTTTAGGAATTTTAAATAAATTTTTTAAATAAATATTCAATTATTATTAATATTTTCACAGCAATTGAATTTTTTAGAAAGTTTTTAAATTTTCTGAAATTTAATTATTTCTGAAATATGCAATTGTTTTGAACTAAAGTCTTCTTTAGAAATAAATTGTACTTAATAATTTTAAAAAATTTTTTCTAGAATTCAATTATTTAAAATAAAAACTGAATTATTTTTTCCAAAATAAGAATGAATCAAAGAATTGTTTTAAAATTTATTGATCATTGTGATTCCAAAATTTTTAGCTTGAAAAAAACTCGATGTTTTTGGACAACAATAAACCACAAGTTTTGTCGTAATTCTATAAAAAGTGTTGGAAAAATACCAAATTTGTAGAATTACTACAAAAATTGTGGTTTATGGTGTTCAAAAATATTTATGAAGAACAAAAAACTTGAATTCTTCTTCTTGAATTTTGTTCCACTCTAAAAACTTTTGAATCACAATGAATTTTAAAGTACATAATTACTTGATACTTTCTTAATTCTGTAAATAATTCAGTTTTTTTTAATAATTCCATTCTAGAATAACTTTCTTAAAGTTGTTATAATTATAATTTATTTGTAAAATTTATGAAAAAGATTTCTAAATTTCCTAAATAAAAAATTTTCATTTAATAAAAAATTTATCATTTGATTAAATAATTTCTATTCATATTAATTCAACTTCTAGTCATATTTTATAAATAAATAAAATACTTTAGGGAATAATATGACTAGACATTTAAATTTATTAATTTAGTTAAAATGAATAAAGTTAAAATTTCAAAGGAAAATGAAAGAAAAAATAATTTACCTGTGTGGGCCAATATCGTTACAATTTCCATTATCAACAGGCGAAACATGTCGATTGGCATTTAGAATTTCGCTGACTTTCCTGCCGAGTGTTTCGAGATGATCATCATCACTGCACTCACGAAGTTGTTCATTGCCATTTAAACGATTCTCGCTCGTTGGCTCGGGACTCGAGCATGGACTAGATTCCACATGATAATTATTCGTTAAAACATTATTGCCATTATGAGATTCTAAATTCTCCCCTCTAACACGATTCAAATTATCAGCATCAATTTTCTTATTCACCAAACTCAAATTAAATTCCTCCTTTGGTTTCAAGTCCAAAATATCAGTTTGCGTTTCATTATCAACTAATCTCAATGACACTTCATTACTCTTTCTCTCTCGATTGGGACTTGATTTTGGACTCGAACTTATTCCACAACCAGAGCCAACGCGTCGATGACGATATTTCTTCTTAAAACTATTGCCAGGCACCAAAACAGTTTCCGGTTGATTTGAATTATTTAGTTGAGTACAAAGTGTTGCTTTCACGGGACTTTGGGGTGAATCGGTAGGCGACGGTGGTGTTGTTGGTGTCGACGATGAGGAGACGTGTAAAAATGGATTTCGTCTTCGATGTAAACGCTCCTGTGCCTTTAAAAGTGGATGAACTAGTCGCTTTTTACCTGATTTATGTCCCGATTGTTGTTCTCGTTTAATAACGTCGCGTTCACGTTGCTCGAGTTGCAATAAAACGGCACTTAATTCAAGATAGAGATTATTTGTACGCTCCAATTTTCGCTCGTAATGCTCGCGAATGTCCTGCGCGTGTCTCAATTCATCTTCACGTCGACGAATGAGATCAGCTTCAAAACGAGGCGTTGTCGATGTGTTTGTTTGCATTTGCTTTAAATGAACACGAATTTCCTCCTTCCACGATTGTTGGGTTTTAAAATATTCCTCGGGCTCAGTTGACAGTACATCCTCGGCGGCAATTTGTAAATGAATCTCAATATGCTTGAACGATGGTCTATTGCGGGGTTTTGCCGACCAGCATTGCTTGACGAGCAATCGATAGCCCTCGGGACAACTCGAGGGAATTGGTAAATGAAGAGAATTATTTCCCACGCCCCAAATTATTGCCGACGAGTCAACATCTTTGTAGGGGATTTCGCCGCTTAATAATTCCCACAGGACAACGCCGTAGGACCAAATGTCAACTTTCTCTGAGCACGGTTCATTTCTGATGATTTCCGGTGCCATCCATGCAACAGTGCCGGCGAAACTCATTCGCGTGCTGATTTCATTCCATTCACGACTCGTGCCAAAGTCGCTGATCTTTACAACTTCACCGCGACCAATTAGAACATTAGGACTCTTTAGATCGCGATGAATTATTTTGTGATTGTGAAGATAAGCCATTCCGGCCGCTATTTGCTTTGACCATGAGACTAATCTCGGAGGTGGAACGGGTTCGCCAGCTCGTAATATATCGTACAGAGGGCCGTATGGGCAGAATTCCATTATTATGCAATAACAAGGCGCTTGTGTGCATACACCTCTGAAAAAGGAATTATTTTGTTAATAAATAATCAAAATAAATCGTAATTAACAAATACATCATTTTTGCATATTTTTTTAGAGAAAAATTTACACTTCATAATTTTCTCTTATTTCTAACTTCTTGTTAAATTGTAATTGTAATTGTAACTTTTTTAGTAATCAGTTACAATTTTAACAAATTTAATTATTATTTAAATTAAATAAATATTAATTTAAAAATTAATTAATTAAACAATAATAACAGACGCTAAATTTAACAAAATTTAACAAAAATATCTAAATTTAACAAAATATCTAATTTAACAAAATTTTCTCTAATTTAATGAGAAAATTTTGTTACATTGAAATTAACCGCCTGTACAGAAATTAAATCCATTAAAAATTAAAAATGTGCGCTAAATTAAAAATTCACTCTGCAGAAATCAAAAATATTAATTTTTGGGAAAATATTCGAAAATCTCTATTAAATTTTTGAATATTTGAGAATGTGAGAATCAGAGTTGCCACAAAAATTTAAATATGTTTTTCCCTGACTTCCAGGAAAGAATTTTGACATTCTTCCCTGACCTCTATTAAAAAAAATCTAAAGAGAATTTTTAATTAAAAAAAGATAATATTTAGAATTAAGAAATTAATTTAAAACTGTAAAATAGTCTACCTATTTTAAAAATAAAATTAGTTCAAACTTCTCTTAATAATCAGAAAATTCAATAAAATTCAATTAGTTTTAATAAAATCTAAGGGAGACTTCACTGATTTCAACAAGTTTCAATTACATGTTTGTAAAAATTCGATTATCATTAAAAAATAGAACATAACAGAAATATTTGGAAAACCTGGTTTTTTAGAATTTTAAATATAATTTTTTAAGAAATCTTTGTAATTTTTCTACTTTTAATAGAATTTTTGAAAATTTCAATTATTTAAAAAAAATTTAATTACTTGTTCACAAAAATTCGATTATCTTGAAAAAATAGAACAGAAATATTTTAAAAAGCTTAATCTTTCAGAATTTTAAATCCAATTTTTCCAAAAAAAATTAGAAATTTATCAATTTTTATTAAAATTTTAGAAAGGTTCAATTATTTCAAAAATTTTCAATTACTTGTTCATAAAAATTCAATTATCTTGACAAAATAGAATAGAGATATTTTCAAAAACCTAATTTTTAAGAGTTTCAATTATAATTTTTCAAAAATATTTTGAAATTTATCAATTTTTAATAGTATTTTCGGAAATTTCAATTATTTAAAAAATTTTTAATTACCTGTTCATACAAATTCAATTATCTTTAAAAAATAGAACAGAAATATTTAATAAAAAACTAATTTTTCAAAACTTTAAATACAATTTTTCAAATCTTCAATTCTTATAAAAAAAAAATTATATTTTTAAAGTAAATAAATTAATAAAATTTTCAATTGTAGCTCTGAAAAGTTAATTTTTTTTAAACAATTATTTAATTAAAATTCTTTGAAAATTCAATTTCAATTAATTGTTTTTAACAAATTTTAATATTTTCTATTCAATTTCACAAAATTTCAATTAATTTCATAATTCTTTAATGAAATTATTTTTAAAAATTAAAGTATCTTTAGAAATGTCAACTGTAATGTTAACTGTAATTAATAAATATTATATGAAAACAAAAATTTAATTTTTTAATTGTTTTAATATAGAAGAATTAAAATATTTGTTTTTTTTTTAATTTTAATTGAATTGATTTGAACTTAACTCAATTAAATTTAAATTAATCCAATTGATTTGAACTGAATTCAATTAAATTAAAATTAATCTAATTGAATTAAAATTAATAATAATAATTAATTAATTAAATTAATTAATTAATTTAATTAAATTGAAATTAACTGATTAAATTCAATCAAGCTTCCTAGAATTTAATTATTTTTAGAAATAAGAATTCTAGTCGAAAAAATTCAAGAAAAATTCAAGGCTGTAAAGTTTTTCTTGAAAGGTTTTTAAGGTTTTAAGTTTTATTTAATTAAAATTAAATTCAATTATTATTGTTGGACACTAAAGTTTGTTACTTTTCCAGTTCCTTTGACAAAATTCCCTGATTTCCCTGACTTGTGGCAATCGTGAATATGTACACTTGAAATATTTTTCTATATTTCTGTGATGTGTGGAATATTAAAATTTCATTAATTGGAATTTAAATCATCTTACTTAAATTGTACAACATTTGGATGATTGAGCTTCCGCAAATGTTTAATATCAGTCTCGCGTGGCTCTCTCACTTTCTTAACAGCTACGACTTCCTTATTTAATTTTCCACTAAAAACGGCACCTTGAGCTCCGGAACCCAACCACTGGAGTTCGCTGATTGACTCGAAAGGGATTTCCCAATCGTCAGCTGAAATTACATATTATTTTATTAATTTAATGCAATACCAAAAAAAATTATAAAAACTTAGAAAATTCATAAAAAAATAGAACAATTTATAAAAAACGATACCTTCTCACATGAAGAGAATGTAAAAATATCCAAAAAATAAAGAAAATTGTTTTTATTTTCAAAAACTGAAATATTATCTCAGTAAAATTAAAAAAATTGCATTACTGCAAATTTTGTGCTTATAAACAAAAGAAAAATGGTTTCGTGTAAAAAAAATTACACATTTGAAAAACCTACTTTGTCCTTTTATTTTATCACCGCCGGCAGTTTTTGCTAGCACCGAAGTCCATACGGGCATAATACATCCCAATACTTTGCCGAGAAGACTGGAACTTTGAGCATCCAAGGTCCCTGACCCCGCATTACATTTTGTGGCAGTGTCACTCGAATTATTGCTCTCCGAGTGGGTGTGACTATTGTCAGGTAGTTGAGATCCAGGGGGCACGCTGATTATCGGTCCCCCTGCAATACCCCCCAACTGCTCCAACTCCTCTTGAATACAGAGCATACTTGAAAAGAAAAAAAAACCATATATTTTAAAATTCATTTTATCAAAACAAATATACTTTAAAAAAATTATTACCCACTAACATATTACAGTGGTAATTTTAGTTTTTCTTCTTGTTTATACAAAATAATAAAAAAGAATTAATTTTTAAACTCTAAAAAAATATTAACTCAAAATAAATGTCAGTAATTAATCTTCGAAACAATTTATTCTCGATCAAATCTAGAGGTTTAATTCGAAACAGTTGTTTTAACAAATATGGCAATAAAATGAAAAGCATTGGTAATTTATCTAAAATAAAAATTACATCCTGTTACATATTTGGATTTGAAATTAGAAGGTCATGTAATCAAGTGAATGACGTAAACCGATACACCTGTGTGTTGACTTGAATCTATTCTTTTCTCTCTTAACTTACTATTAATCTCATAACCAAAAGCCACGTGGGTTTTCATTATATCTATAAAGAAACTAAGGTTTCTCACACAGCAAATATAAATAACCAAAGACTTTTGCCGTTTTTACTAATAATAGTCCCTCTTTTTTTCTTCTTTAATTTCACCTAAATTCTTATTTTTAAAGAATAATTTCAATGACACACCGTTTACACCTGATCCTATGAAACAAAAAACAAAGCAGAAAAGAAATTTCGACACCTAACATCTGTATTTAACAAGTTTCAAATTATATACACGTCTCATATAGAAAGAAAAACGGGTCATATTTATTTAATTTCATATGAAGACTACCTCTCAAATAGTAAGTCGGAAAGAAAAAAATTTTGATGACGCCAACTGCTGGTCAAGTAAACATACATCAATTATAATACGAAAAGAAGTGCACTTTATTAGAAAACATGGGAAATGGAAATATTTTTCTCAGAACGTCTCAAAGTTCAAAATTATACGGGTATCAATAAAAAACAAATGTGAATATAAAATAGTTTTTTCAATGAGAAACGAAGAAGAGAGACAGAGAGAACTTGAATAAAGTATAGAAAAATAATTAATATTATTTTACGAGATAAAAACTTTAAGTTATAAATAAAACTTATAAACTAAACTAATAAATAAAAAAATAAAATTAATTAAATTAAATTATTTTCAATATAATTCAAATAAAATTAATTAAATTAAATTATTTTCAATATATAATTCAAATAAAATTCTTCGCAGAAATTCAATTATTTTCATAACTAATAAAATTCTTCGCAAGAATTCAATTATTTTCGTACATAATAATATTCTTTAAAACAATTTAATAATTATTTTCAAAAATTATAATTAAATTTTTCGCACGAATTCGATTATTTCCATAAATAATATAATTCAATTATTTTTAAAAATTACAATAAAATTCTTGTCAGAAATTCAATTATTCACATAAAGAGTAAAATTGTTCAGATGGATTCAATTATTTTTAATAATTTTAATAAAATTCTTCGCAGAAATTAAATTATTTTCAAAAATTCTTTATGAGAATTTAACTATTTTTATAAATAATAAAATTCCTTGAAAAATACAATTATTTTTAATACAATTGTAACAGGGTGGCCGCAAAATTTTATTTTCAAAATTCCCTGACTTTTCCCTGATTTTTCCCTGACTAATTTTTTATTTTCCCTGACTAACAAATTTTTGAATTATTTAATATTCTACATTAAAATGTCCGTAAGAAGGTCCAAACTTATAAAAAATGTGACGGCACCATTATAATGAGTTATATTACAAAAACGTCTAAATAAAAAACTGAATTGACATTTAAGTATCAAAGTTTTTTAATTTGTGGTTTCTTTAGATCAAAATTCCCTGACTTTTCCCTGACTTTTCCCTGATTTCCAGTTTTTCCCTGACTTGCGGCCACCCTGCTGTAATTAAATTCCTACAAAGATTCTAAACATTTTTAAAATTTCTATGAAAAATTATTCAAAAAAATTCAATTATTTACATAAAGAATAACATTTCTTACAGGAATTCAATTATTTTGAACATAATTTTAATAAAATTCTTCATAAAAATTCAATTATTTTCATACATAACAAAATTCTTCAAAACAATTAATATTATTTTCAAAAATAATAATTAAATCATTTGCACGAATTCGATTATTTTCATATGCAATAAAATTCTTCGTAAAAATTCAATTATTTTTAAAAATTTTAATAAAATTCTTGGCAGAGATTCAATCAATTATTTACATAAAAAATAAAAGTCTTCGGATAGATTCAATTATTTTTAATAATTTTAATAAAATTCTTTGCAGGAATTTAATTATTTTGAAAAATTCTTTATGAAAATTCTACTATTTTTATAAATAATAAAATTCCTTGAAAAATTCAATAAATTACATATTTTCAAAAGTTTAACAAAATTCTTCGTATGAATTCAATTCTTTTCGTTACTATTTAAATTGAATTCCTGGAAAGAATTTAATTATTATCAAAAATTATCCTAATAAAATCCTTCGCAAGAATTCAATTATTTCAATAATATTAATAAAATTCTTCACAAAAATTAAATTATTTTAAATATAATTCAAATAAAATTCTTCGCAAAAATTAAATTATATTTTAAAAATATGCATACAACTCTTAAAAAAATCAATTAGATACATTCTAAAAATTTCAATAAAATTCTTTGCAAGAATTAAATTCATAAGAATCAAAATTATAAAAAAATACGAAAATTACAAAAAAAAACATATAAAAATTACAATAAAAAGTTATACAAAATTTTAGTTTTTATAGTAGAAAAACAATATTCTGCATTTTAAAAAATTAGTTTTTCTACAGTAATTCATGAGTATTTATTTTTATATTTTAGAATGTTAAATTAATTTTACAAATTAAATTATAATTTGTGTTACAAAACAATTTTGTTTAATTAATTTTAATTTTATTTAACTTTTTGTTATTATTTAATATTGAAAATAAATTGGAATTTTATTAATGTAAATTCAAAACATTTAAAAAGAAATTGTGGGAATAAACTAATTGAAAGATTGACAACTCTTTTTTCCTTTAAAAATAATTAGTGCATTAAATAATTAATTTTAATCTTTAACAAATTAATCCCTAAAGAAATCACTAAAAAAAACAAAATTTTTAGTCTCTGTTTTGATTTTCTCGCATAATATTCAACAAAGAAGACAAAAACTTTGAAATTCCTGTTCCAACAACATAATTAATTTCTGTATGTAAGCAATATTGTAACCCTTTGGAAAATTAAAATTCTCTTCATTAAAAAAGAGAAAAAGACCTCAAAAATAAAGAATTAATCTTATCTGAAAACATCTCACAGCGAATATCCGTTTTGTCGTGATTTCCCCACTTCAAACAACATAAAAACTTCATTTGGAAAAAAAGAAAAAAAAAAAGTTTTCCAAAACAAGAATAAAAAAAAAATTCCCATAGAAAGCATAAATCGTCCTTAACGAATAGAGAATATTATAGAGTTGTTTTTTCTCAATAATCAACAAAGACGCAAGACCTAGGTAATGACGGACGATGTGTTATCAGGAGGCGCACATTCCATAACACGGCCTTCGTTTATAGCTCACCTAGTAGCGACGTTGCCTGGCAGATTAGTTTGCTGGTCATTCTGATTTTCCGTTTTTTTAATAAAATAACGAGTAAGAACCATTCTTCTACACCACAATAAACATATGGACCTCTCACCAAAAAAAAAAAAAATTAAAACTTAACTATAACTTGTTAATTGCGTATCGAACTTTTGTTTAAAAATAAATCTTGACGTTTTTTTGACGAAGACAAAAGTGTTTTTTTCTTTTTTTCTTTCCTTTTTTTAATGAGCGAATGTGCCACGTGATAACGACATGAACGATCGCTCCGATCGCACATACTGCTAGTTTCGTACGTGAAACCGTGGGGTTATCTCTTCGTGCTTGCTCTCCTGTAACGAATACATTGAAACATGTATTCAACTGGCGACATATGTGTTGGCGCTGTCAACGCAATAACTGTTTTGCATCATTCGACACTGCTGATCCACTATAACAACTAATCAACTAATTAACATTTCACGCTGCTATTGATTGCATATCCTATAAACAAAAAGGAAAATTAGAATTCCCTTCTCATAAAAGACGAATAAAAAACAAATACTGTCAAGTAAATAAATTAAAACAAAGGAATAAATAAATAAAATATTTATTCCCGCCAATAAATGAAATTGAAAATAAATAAAATATATTATTATTTACTATATACATAGTTCATGCCTTTCGGCTTTGAACGAGAAAATAAAAAACAGAGTGGTCACAAGTTTCAGTCTATCAATTTCCCTGATATTAAAATTATTTTTCCTGACATAATTCGTTTTACAGGAAAATATGAAAGTTTATGGAAAATGAGTAAAATTTATGAATTTTAATAATTTATAAAAATTACAATTATAACCCTACCTGAATTCAATTATTTTCTACAATTTTCAACTAAGCTTTATCTCGAAATCAATTATTTTAAATAATCTTCCGACAGTTCTTCGAGAATTCAATTATTAAATTTTAAATACAAAAATTCAATTTTTTATAACTGTCCATCTTTTTTTTTTGCTTAAGTTATTAAGGTATAATATTTTCAAAAATTTATAATCAAGAAATTCTTACAATTCATTTTTTAAAAATATTTTAAATTAATTTTTGAAAGTTTATAGGTTTTTAATTTATACAATTGAAAAATTTCCAAACAATTGAAATTTGATAAAATCTTTGAAAAATAATTGAATGTTTGAAAATTATAAATAAAAATAATCGAATTTTTGAAGAATTTTAATTAAAAATTTTGAACATGATTTTTTTTTCCAAAATGTTAAGAATAATTCTAAAAGGTTATTATTTTTTGCGCATGTATTTGAATTTTCAGAAAAATGTAATTGAAAGTACTAAAAATATGGAATTTAAAAAAAATTAGAAGCTAATTTTCATTTTTAAATTTACATTTAAAGATTTTTCATTAAAATTTTTGATAATACAATTATTTCCAAAATTTGCAATTAAAATTCTTCAAAAATTGTAACAAAATACTTGAAAAACATTAATTATTTTCAATTAAATTTTACAAAATTTCAATTAATTCAAAACATTTTTATTTGTATATTTCGAAAAGTTATTTAGAAAAATAATTTAAAAATAATTTTCGAAAAATTTGTTTATAGTTATTTTTCGCACTATAAAAATCTAAATAAGTTGCATTTTATACTGAAAAATGTGGTATTTTGTTACAATATTTGGAAGAAAAGTCGAAAAAGTCCTGATTTTTGAAAATAAATCGAAAAAGTCTCAATTTTCTTAATTTCCCTGACAAAAAATTTTTTTTCCTGTCATTTCCCTGACTTTACTGACAAAAATTTTGTTTTCCTGACATTTCCCTGACTTTACTAATATGTGATCACCCTGAAAATAAATAAAATAAACGAAATAAAATAAAGAAAGAAAAATAACGAAAATAAAAAAATAAACGAAGAAACAAAACTAAATACCTACAATTAAAAAATAAATTTAAAAAACAAAAAGGAAATTACTAATTTAACAAAATTGACGATCGTCAACAATCGAGAAAGAATAAATTTAAAAATAAAATTATAGCGACAATTGCAAATTAATATGATTTACAATTATAAATAGCTTCGGAACGTTAGTATAGATTGAATTCAAGAATTCTTGGAGATTTGTTTCGGTTTCGGAAGATAACTATCGATAACGATATAATTTACAGTTTTCGTCGGTAAACACTATTCATTATCTCTCTTTCTCTCTTTATATGTATATAATTCCAGTCAGTTTCTTTTTCGCAGGTGTGTTTAAGATCGAAAGTTGGATTTTCAGAGAAAGGATCAAGGACAAAAGGAGTCTCTCCCGTTAGTTTCGATGAACGAAAAAGATTTGGCTCTGCTTTCCATTTTCAGAAAATATATATACAAAAACAAAAAAGAAGCAAATTGGAGAAGAATATTCTTAAAAATCCATTGATTCTTTCTAAATTTCCAGTGTTTCGAAATTCATTATGGTGAATTTTTTAATTTTACAGAATTTTTTCTTGTAGAAAATTTTTATTTATCTAAATTTTTATTTGAATTTTGATCAAGATAATTTTTTTCTATATTTTTGGAATTTGACGAATTTAATGTATTAGTCCAAGAAATTTTTAATTCAACAAATTTTTATTGTGGAGAACTTTCAATTAAATAAATTTTTATTCCAGGGGATTTTTTTTCAAAGACATTTTTATCGCAGACAATTTTTAATCAAACGAACTTTTATTCTTGGGTGTATTTTTATTTGAGAGTACTTTTATTCAAGAAAGTATTTAATCATGAAAATTTGTATTCAAGAGTATTTTGGTTCGGAAAAATTTTCAGTCAAGAGAATTTTTATTCAAGAAATTTTGTAATCTAGAGAATTTTCATTCAAGACATTTTTTAATCGAGAGAATTTTTATTCAAGAAATTTATTCGATAACAGTTAATAATTTTATTTTTTAAATTAAAATTCCATTTGGTGAAAATTTTGTTTGAATGAAAATTCTATCAATCAAAAATTTCATTACTAAATTCTAAATAAAGAAAACAATTAAAACTCTCAATTCACTTAAATAAAAAATCGATAAAGGAAAATTATCGTCAACAAAAATATCTTAATTAAAAATTCTTTTGAATAAAAATACTCTTTTAAAATTTTTTTTTAATAAAAATACTATTGAATTAGGATTCTATTGATTGCAAAATTTTTGGAATAAAAATTCTTTTGATCACAAAATTTCGTAGGTAAATAAAAATACTCTTAAATTTAAATTTATTGAATAAAAGTTTCCATGATTAAAAATTTTTCTTAAATAAAAATATTCTTGAACTAAAATTCCCTTAACTGAAAAATTTGTTTAATAAAAATAATCTTGAATAAAAATGTTCTGGATACAAAATTCTCTTGAATAAAAATTCTCTCGATTACAAAATTTCTTGAATAACAATTCTCTTGATCACAAAATTTTGTAAATAAAAAATAATACTCTTGAATTAAAATTCTTGAATAAAAATACTCTTGAATTAAAAGTCTTGAATAAAAATACTCTTGAATTAAAATTCCTTAGACTGCAAAATTTCTTGAAGAAAAAAATCTTAAATAAAAATTCCTCTGATTTCAAAATTACAAATTCGCTAAATGATAAAATTTTCCAATATTCAATCTCATTAATTTTAATCAATTCAATTTCAATTTAAATTCGAACCAATAAAAAATTCCAACTTATAAAATTCTAATAAAAGAATTATAGAATCAAAGAAATAAAAAAATTGAATATTCCAATAAAACAAATTTTCAAAAAATTGAAAATTGAAGAATTACAATATTTATGAAGAATTAAATTTCATTTTGATAAATTTAAATAATTTCGAAGAATTATTTCTGATAATACTGAGAGTTGTCAACGTGCGAAACCAATGAAGAATAAATAATGGCAAAAAGAGAATAAATAGGGTGTAAGGTAAATGCAGTGATCTCACCTGTTCGTAAAAATGTGTGTTTCCGGCTGGGAAGTTGTTAAAACCACCTGGTTGACATCGGACGAGGTGCCGGTTTCTTGAGGTTCGAACTTGTACGACTCTGGCTGGGAGAGCATTTCCGTTTCAGCAGGAGTGCGCATACTTGCATTCTTTCGAGAACTTCATTCGCTATACAATTGAAAACAAAAAAAAACAACAATTAGCCTTCGTGCAACGATAGTTTTCCATTATAAAGCAACAAAAAGAAATTTAGTGCAAATCCATAAAACAAAATTTAGAGAAAAATCGATGTGTGCAATTTATTTTCAATATTGAAATTAATTTCAAATATTAATTCTCAATATTGAAATTAATTTCAAATATTAATTCTCAATATTAGAATTAATTTGCAATATTAATTATTATTATTAGAATTAATTTCCAATATTAATTTTCAATATTGAAATTAATTTCCAATATTAATTTGCAATATTGAAATTAACTTCCAATATTAATTTGCAATATTAAAATTAACTTCCAATATTAATTTTCAATAATGAAATTAATTTCCAATATTAATTTGCAATATTGAAATTAATTTCCAATATTAATTTGCAATATTAAAATTAATTTCCAATATTAATTTTGAATATTAAAATTACATTGAAAATTAATTTCCAAAGTTAAAGTTACATTGAAAATTAATTTCAAAAGTTAAAATTAAATTAAAAATTAATTTTAAACATTAAAGTAAATTTTTAATATGAAAACTAATTTTTTAAATTTTAATTTAAATTAAATTACAATTATAAAATAGTTTTCTGAGATTTATTCCTAAATTCGATTTTTTCTTTAATTTCAAATTATTTAAAATTAATAATTAATAATCGTGATTAAAATGAGGGTATACGATCATTTTTAACGAGCTTTGTTTAATCTCATGAGAACGCGCGAGTTGGTGCAAAATCGCGACCCAGTTTTTTTTCTCTCTCTCTCTCTTTTTTGCAACGAGACCCAAAGGTTATTAATTTCTAGGGACATTCGAGTGTCGCAGCAAAAAAATGAAAACTAATGTCTTTTTACGATCCACTGACCTTCATATATACAATTACAAGAATGTCATTTCAAAAAAAAAAATCATCAAAGGATCCTCAATTTTTTCACAATTGACAATTTTACTAAAATCTTTTCTTTCTTTGTGCAAAAAAAGGAAAAAAATAAAGAAGGCAATGCAGACAATATTCCATGTCGAAAATAGCCTCGAGTGGATGTTTTATGACCCACGTGAAAGTCGCAAGTTTGCGCAAATCACAAGTGCCCGCAGTGGAAAATAATTAAGATAAATTTTTTTCCTCAGATCCTTTAGAACAAAAAAAACGATTTTTTTACAATACGTTTAAAATGATTATAACGATTTTCTCGATATTTAAAAGATTAGAAAAAAACGATTACAGGACAATTGGAAAATGGAGATTGAAAATTATTTCTTTTACATAATTAAAAATTGTTTAATTATAAATATCTAAACGAATTTAAATAAATATAAATAAACATAAATAAGAAAATTAATTTTAAGTTACTTTGTTTGAAAACTATTTCTTTGTTTGCAGAAAAAAAGGAATTTTCTAGTAAAATTAGCAAAGTGACGAAAATAAAATTAGTTACTTTTCTTGTAGGAAAAAAGTAAATAGGCCGCGAGGCACTGTTTTTAAATTCAACATGTCTTTTTAGTTTTAATAGAAAAGTTTTCTAGAAGAAGAAGAAGAAAAAATCCGTCAAGGTTTTTTAGGGTATAAACGAGAACTGGATGTATAAAATTAGAAAGACGGGAATATTCAAAGAATATCCTAATAGGTAAAGGGCGAGAAATGAGGACAAAGTGCGCCCAAGAAGCCAGAAGAGTTTTTGAACGGAATGCACGTGTTGTATAAGTTGGTCCACTCATGTCTTTGGTATGTGGCCATCACATTCCAAAACTGTCCCAATGATTTTATTTTACGCAAATTTCCCTCCAATCGGGTTCATTATCTGAAATCTAACATTCAATAACTGTAGAAAGAAAAATAGAAGAAGACTATAAACTGCATTCTTGCCCCTTTTTCTTTTTTTGTAAAAATTTTTCCTCTTCTCAATTTTCTTCTCTTTATTGTGAAATCGAATCATAATATATACTAAAATAATCCTGAAGTTATCGACACTAACGAACGAAAAACTTATTTCCTCGGAACGAAAAGAAAACCATTTTTGCAAAGAAAAGTTGTTTTTCCAAAAGTTTGAAAAATCCCAAAATCATCGATGCCAAATTCAAGCAACCTAAAATAATAATAAAAATAAATTAAAGTTTAAAAAATACTTGGTAAATAAAAGATGAAAATGCGATCAATTATTAATATAAGATAAAATTTGATTTATGTCTCACAGTCGAAAAGAGGAAATGCAAAAAAAGCAAAAAGTCTTTTTTGAAAAAAAATCGAGTCATAAATCTTCCTGATCAAAAGTTCCCGCAGTGAATTCTGATAACATTGTCTCATCAAATTAATGTCAAGAATCCAAATCTACCCTGTTCGTTTTTACGGTGACAGAACCACACGAAGGGTTTGAACCCTGCGACTCTGAGTCATTATCACGCAAACTTTTTTCCTTTTTTTATTACTCAAGAACCGCAACTACCGTAACGGAAAAAGTTAACGAGCATCTCGAAAAAAAAACCATTCTGTTCAAAATTGCCATTAATTAAAATTGAAAAAGAAATTACTAATATTATTGCAACAATTATAAAAAATTAAATAAACAAATAACAAATAAACTATTTCTATTGTATTTTACTGAGCAAAAAAAAATTAGAGTAAAGGAAATTTTTCAATTCTAAGTATTCTAACGAAAAGTAAACGGGAGGAAATATTTTCAAAATAGATTATTGTCGAGAAGAGGAGCAGAGCACGGAGAGGGAAAAGTAGAAAAAAATTTAGGAACACTTTGTCTACATATATGTCGATATATATTCGGAGGGAGATGAAATTTTCGAGGGTTCAAGTTATAGCGAGTGGAAATGGCAAGTGTTCTAAGGAATATTGCTACCCTATCGACTATGCACCCCTATTCTAGTTGAGGGTGATTTGGGTTCGAAGCCAAAAGGGCAGGATTCCTTGGGGACAGTATGGCAAAAATTCTCCGAAAAGGGACGTACGAATTTTAAGGGGTTATTCACCTTCTGTTCTCTTACATTTTTTTGTTTTCTTAATCCAAAACCACAAGTATGTAACCCTCCTCTTAAATAGCCCTAATTCGCCATAAACAATAATTATTTCTCCCCACAAACCAAAATATGCTTCAATCAATTCCTTTAATTTCAATTTTTCGTTTAATTAAAAATTAATTTTATTTTCTTCCCTCTATCATCGCCGATTATTTTTAACACTCATTCTTTCTTTTAAATATAATTTCGATTTTACAATTTTTTCCAACAGCGAATTTTTTTTCACACTCAATTTTTAAAGAAGCACAACTGGAATAACTAAAATAAACAGAAAAACAAAGGTACAATTAATGAATCGTGATAGAAATATTAGAAATTATAATAAAATATTTTTTACGCTATTCTATAAATTCGCAAAGAATAAAAAAAAATAAAAATTGTAATAATAATGATAAAATTGAGAAATAATTATTACTGAAACAAAGAAGAAAAAAGAGAAATAAAATAGTGAATTAATATCCTAATGAAACTGCGTCGATTGCGAAAAGAATAAATTCAGTGCTTTAATGATATAAACGGCAAAATTACCTAATTTTCCCGAAAAACTATAGCCCTTACGCCCAACGATTGTTATCGATTTGCAATAAATCGAGGGAGGGTCAAAATCACGAAGGTTTTGTACACTCAATGTGTATCTCGTGGTCCCTATAACTATAATTACCGGGTTATATATTTATCTACAAATTTCGGAACCCTCCAATATCTTTATAGTTTACGTTTCTTTATATTGAGTTATCCAAAGCGGAACACTTAACAATCGAAACTTTATTTATCATTGCAGGGAAAATTTTAAACAAAGGCAGTTAAAAGAAAATTGGAAATTTGATTCAAAAACTACATTCAAAATAATAATAATAACAAAAAAACAATGTTTACTTAGGAAATTTAAAGGAATGAATAAAATAAAGTATAGAATGGAAAAATAAATAAAAATATAACAAACGGATAAAATATAAAGCAAAATAAATGAATAAATATAAACGAATTGTTGTTTGCTCTTTTGTTTCCTAACTTTTTAAAAATAATTTTCCTCTTTAAATGTTTTCAATTTTAAAATTAATTAATTAATTTATTAAAAATTTAAAATTTAAAATTAAAAATTAAAATATTTGCAAATAATTGAAGTCTTTCGAAGAATTTTATTATTAATGAGAAGAATTCGAAGTCTTGCAAAGAATTTTATTAAAATTTTCGAAAATTCTAATTAAATTTATTCTTTTGAAGAATTTTTTAAAAATAACGAAGATTCTTTAATAATTTTAAAAATTTGGAAAATAATTGAATTTTATGTAGTATTTCTTTCAAGTTTTTTAAAATAATTGTATTGGTAAGTAACTAAAATTAAGTATTTGATTAAATTTTAAATTCTTCTCAGAATTTTATTACAATTTTTTAAAATAATTCAATTCATTCATAGAATTTTGTTAAAATATTGAAAATAATTGAATTTTTTCGAAGTATATTATTATTAATTATGGTTGTGATAATAATTGAATTATTTCAAAAAATTTCTTTAATTTTTTCCATATAATCGATTTTGTTAATAATTGTAATGAATAATTTTATTATAAAGTTTTATTTAAATTATTGATAGAAAATTAAATTCTTTTAAACAATTTTATTACAGTTTTTGTAAATAATCAAATTTAAAGAATTTCTTTAACTTTTTTGTAAATAATGCCGTTTTTTTAATAATTTGGATTGAAAATAATTTAATTTAATTGAACAAAAAATATTTCAACTTTATAAAATAATTGTATCTGTTAATAATTATAATTAAAAATTTGATTATTCAATTTTATAAAAAATGTATTGAAAATAATTCAATTTCTAAGAAGAATTTTGTAAAAAAATTTTCAAAAATAGTTGAATTCCTGAAAAGAATTTCATTATTTATAAAAATAATTCAATTTTTGCAAAGAATTTTATTATTTATAAAAATAATTGAATTATTGCGAAGAATTTTATAAAAATCTTTTTAAATAATTGATTTTTTAAAAAATTTTTATAAAAATTGCGTTTTTAATAATTGAATTCCCGTGAAAAATGTAATTGATTATGAAAAATGAAAATAATTGAATTCCAGTCTTGAGTTTTATTATTTATACAAATAATTGAATTCTTGCAACGAATTTTAATAAACTTTTTAAAAATAATTGAATTTAAGTGAAGAATTTTTAAAAAAAATTTTTAAATAATTGATTTTTTTCGAAAAATTTTATAAAAATTGTGTTTTAAATAATTCAATTCCTGTAAAAATTTTATTATTTATGACAATTATTGAATCCTTTAGTGAAATTTTATTAAAATTGCATTGAAAATAAATGAATTTTTGTAAAAAAAAGTTTACTATTTATAAAAATAATTGAATTCTTCCGAAGAATGTCATTATTTATAAAAAAATTGAATTGTTTCGAATTTATTAAAATTTTAGAAAATAATTCAATTCTTCCGAAGAATGTTATTATTTATGAAAATAATGGAATTCTTATGAAGAATTTAAAACAAATTTTTTGAAAACAACAAACAATAATAATTAATAAGGTATTTAATAAGTGAATTTTTTTAAATTTTGAATCTGAAATTATTCAGAAATTGAATTTCACATTCAAAAATGAAAAATTTTGTAATTTGAATAAGAATAATAAATTGAATATTATGTTTCGCGCGCTAGTAAATAATAAAATATAAAATTAAAAAATGTAAAGATAAAAAATATATAAATATTAATAAAAAAATAAATGCAATAGTCCCGTATATTTAGTTAAATAAATAAGTAAGAATAGATAAAATAATAATAAAAAAATAACTAATAATAGAAAATCGTTATTTACACGAAAAACGAAAAGAGATTAAAATAGAAAAAAGATTAGAACACATTTTCTAAATTCTAATTCACAGGGGTAGATTTTAAAAAAATATAATATTTTACACGATCTATTTTCTCTCGAATAAATTCTTTTTTCGTGTTAACGATCTCCCACTCACGTGTAACCCTTATCGGTTTGACTGAAATGACCTTCGTGGTGTGAGTTTGGAGGGTTAGGAGGAAAAAAAAATAAAAAGAAAGGGACAAAATGCAATTTAATTATCATTATCCCAAGGCGCGTCAATGCAACGTGACTCTAATTTACACATTAAACACATTATAGTCTTTTGAAAATAAAATTATTCTCCTGTTTTCCACGCACACATATGTCGAAGTTAATCGCGGGCTACATACTTTCTGCCACAATAACCTGGCATTGAAATCTCCTTGGTCAATATATAGAAACCACAAGCAGCAAACATTCTATGGGTTAACATAAAAATAATATTTTTCTTCTAGAAATTTTAAATAGATGTTTATTTTACTTAATGTAGTTAATATGAAGAGTTAATTAAAATCTAGACTTTTATCGTTCAACAATTGTATTTGGTGCTTCAAGACAAAACTGTCTCTCAACAATTTCAAAGAAATATTAACATTTATTTAAACAAAATTAAATTTCTAATTGAATTTAATTTTGTCCTTTTGAATTTAGCATAAAAAAAACTTCAGTTTAAAAAATTGTGCACAATTTAATTTGACTATTAAATATGTTTGTTTTTTCTTAAACTTAACAATTGAATGGTTTGGAATTCATTGGAGTGAGAAAATCAAAATAGAAAACAAAAAAAGCAAAGCGAAAACAAAAGAAAAACAGTACTTATCAACAAAAAAGAAATAAAACAAAGCACGATAAGGAAACCTGAATTATTTCCATTATTGTTTCCCGACACTATAGTTTTACAACAATTATTTAAATATTTTCAGATTTACTCTCCATGTTTTTGTTTTGAATTTTAACGAGAAAATTTTCAAAACTGTTTTAGATTTTTTAAATAAAAACAAAAATAATTTAACTTTATTTCATATTTGAATTTTTCTATATAAAAAAGTTAAAATTTCAAATTAGTTTATTCAACTTTTTTTAACAAAACTTAGTATTAGGAATAAATATTAAAAAGCTAAAGATTCGATTTGAAAAATTGAAAAAAAGTGTTAAATAATACAAAAAAATAATAATTTATTTAATCTTTAACAAATGTTAAAAACTTAAGAAACATAAAAATATTTCTTAAATTTTGAACTTTTTGGTTGAAACAATCATAAAACTTTAGTTATATTTGAATTTTGTTTATTAAATATAATTTTCAACTAGCACGTAAGTAATAAATAATTGCAGAATGAGATAAATAAAATTAAATATAAAAATAAATTAAATAAAATTAAAATAATTAAAAATTAAAATAATCCCAAATAATTTCATTCTCAGGAAATTTTATTATAATTTTCATTGATAAATAACTGTTTTTCATTCTCCTGAAAGTTAAAGACAGAAAATTTTTAAAAATAACCCATACAATGCTGTCTGTAATTTCAAGTATTGATCACTTCTAATTAAAGAAAATGTATAAACAATGGCTGGTTAAATAGTATGCAGCATTAATTATTTCAATTAATTTCCAGTCAATTGCAATTTTTACTCAATTTTCACTCATTTTGTTGCTTTCAAACTATTTAAAATAATAAATAACTTCAATTATCTATTATTATAAACGCAGACGAAGTTCAGAACCTTTATGCTCAACAAATGAAAGAGAAAAAAATATTTTAACCCAGAAAAAATAATATTTGTTTACAAATTTATCTTTTTTAAATTATTGATCAAGAAACATCGGTAAAATAAATAGATAAAAATTTGAAGGAAAAATATTCTTTTTCTAAATCGTTTATTATAAACGATTGTGAACTTCATCAACGTTTATTATTGCTGATATTATTATTAATATTATGGATAATTATTAATTATTACCAACATTATTGATTATTACTAATTTTACTAATTATTATTATTATTAATATTATTGATTATTATCATTATTACTATCAATATTGTTATTAATTATTAATATTACCACTATCAATATTATTAATTATCAATTTTATTGATTATCATTAATTATTAATAATTATTATGAGTTATTAATAATTATAAACAAAGAGAAATTCAAAACCTAGTTGAAAATCGAAAATGAAAAAATTTCAATAGCTGATTGTTTCGAAACGAGTACGATTTTGTGAATCATTAATATTTACTTTAAAAATTTTCGGTTTAATTTATATTTTACTGAATTCATATTCAGTTTATTTATAGAATATTTTATAGAAAAATAACCTCTGTGAGTCAGTATTACTTTCATGGTTGTCTATACGATTTTATCGATTTTTTCAGTCAAGTTATCAAAAAAGAGATCGAAAATTCCCAACAACTTTCGATAAATAACAAAAAGAAATTAACCAAAAATTGGAAAATACTATAAGAAAATTGACACCTAAGGAAAAATATATTCATAGTCCAGATATTATAGTTTGCCCGTAAAGTGCTTTCACTTTTAGTTCTCCTTGCACAATTATTTTCGATAAGGAGATATGTATAAATACGGCGGTCAATATTCAAGATAAATAATATTGGAGCACAAAATTCAAAACGTCTTCGTACTCGTATGTGTGTGTCTGTGTTTTTTTTTCTAATCACAAGTATCGATTAAACAAGGCCTTCTCTCTAGATGTAAAATGTAAATGTATACCTGTGCATCGTACTCCTGTTTGACGGCAATGACTCTTTACGAATCCATCGAAACCGCTTTCAGCGCCATAACCATGTACAATCCTCTTTTATCAATTTTCCACCACAGCACAATGATTTTTTTTCCTCTCTTTCTCTCCTCTCCTTTTTTTTATGTTATTGCACCACAATCATCACAAACGAAAAAAATGAATGCCAAGTAATTTTTTTTCAATTTCCAAGAAAATTGGAGCACTGTGTTTAAATTATTGTCCGTTGTTGGTTCTCGTTGTTCATTGACACTTGAAAAACGTCCATGAAAAACAACCCCGAGAGTGAGGAGAGCGTCCACTGGACACTACCACAAAATGGCGCACGCCATCGTCGTTGTATACAATCCCTGGAAACGCCAGAACAAGACTGCTGGTGTAAAGTGTGCATGCGTGCGTAGGCGAGCGGGGGTATGTATACTATGCCATCAGGGCTTATACACTTACACAGTGATAATCTCGATTCTTGTCAATATACACACTGCTATTCTCAGGTCCAGAATATTGTATATAGTAGAGTTGAATCCCTTTTCTCTTTTTTCGTTTCCTATTCAAATCCTTCTTCAGATAAAAGTGAGAGAGAATCTTGATTTCCGTAAACAAACAAATTTCTCTGAAAAAAATGTATTAAAATTAATTATACATTATTTTACTAATTTATCAATAAATATCGTCGAAATTTTTATTAAAATACTAAAATAATATTCGACTTATCGTATAATTTAAATTAATAAATATTGATTACTTTTCAAATCTGTATTTTCTTTTTGTTAAAGAAACTCCGATTTTTAGGAACTAATTTTTATATTTGCAAAATTAACATTATTCTACAAATGGAATTTGTAGCTTTTGAAAAAAAAACTTCGACTTTGAGGAACTAATTTTCATGTTTACGTTTTTAAAATTATTCTACGATTTAAATATCTTGACATAAGTTAACGCTGAATAATATTTACTTTTATTTTCAATTTAATAATTAACTAGAAAATTACTAGCAAAATTATTTTGCAAGCTCAAAATTTTTTTTATTTTCAAATATTAATTTCAATTTATGAATAATTTCAGAATCAAAATTGAAAAAATTCATTTATTAACTAATTAATATTATTATTGTTTATGATTTTCAAAATTTTTAATAAAATTCTTTGCAAGAATTCAATTATTTTCATAAATAATAAAATATTGTTGGAAAGAATTCAATTATTTTCAAAAATAATAAAATTGCTGGAAAGAATTAAATTACATATTTTAAAAAATTTTAACAAAAAAAATTTGAATAAAATTCTTTGCAAGAATCCAATTAAATTTTAATAAAATTTCTTTACAGAATTCAATTATTTTTATAAATAATAAAATTCTTGTCAAGAATTCAATTTTTTTCCGATTAATAATAAAATTCTTTCGAAAAATTCAATTTTTTTCATCGATACAATTTGAGTAAAAGTTCTTAATGGAATTCAATTATTTTTAAGAATTTGAAGAAAATTCCTAGAAAGAATTCAATTATTTTCCATAAATAATAAAATTCTTTCGAGAAATTAAATTATTTCCAATACAATTTCAATAAAATGTCTTGATTAAATTCAATATATTTTTAAGAATTTGAATAAAATCCTAGAAATAATTCAATTATTTTTGAGAACTTAAATAAAATTTCTTGAAAGAATTCAATTATTTTCAAAACTATTGATAAAATAAATTCTTTACAAGATTTAAATTTATTTTCAGTTCAATTTCAGTAAAATTTATTGATGGACTTCAATTATTTTTAAGAGTTTGAATAAAATCCTGGAAAGAATTCAACTATTTTCAAAAATTTTGATAAAATTCTTGTCAAAAATTCAATTATTTTCCATAAGTAATAAAATTCTTTCGAGAAATTTAATTATTTTCAATACAATTTCAAAAAATTTTTTTGACGGAATTCAATTATTTTTAAACAATTGAATAAAATTCCTAGAAAGAATTCAATTATTTTCCATGAATAATAAAATTTTTTGGAGAAATCCAATTATTTTCAATACAATTTCAGTAAAATTTCCTGATAGAATTCAATTATTTTTAAGAATTTAAATAAAATTACTGGAAAAAATTCAATTATTTTCAAAAATTTTGATAAAACTGTTTAGAAGATTTAAAATTATTTTCTGTACAATTTTAATTGAATTTTCTTGAAAGAATTTAAGTTTTCTTCGAAACAATTGAATTTGTATTTTTACAAATAATTTTAATACTTTTTATTTTATTATGTTCATAAATAATAAAGTCCTTCGATGGAATTTAATTATTTTCCAATAGAACTTTAATAAAACTTCTGGAAAAAATTAAATTATTTTCAATATAGTATTAAACAAATTTCTTAAAAGAATTTAACTATTTTTTAAAATTTGAATGAGATGCTTTGAAACAATTCAATTAAGTTCAGTACAATTTTAATTAAATTTCTTGATCCAATTTAATTATTTCCAAACGTTTCAAATAAAATTCTAAGCAAGAATAAAATTCTTTCAGATTCGAAATTCTATAATTTTAAAAAATTTTGGAAGAAGTGAATAAAGGAACAAGTTTAAGATAAGAAAAGTGAATATAAAAAATGTACCAGAATGAAATAATTATCATAATAAATAAATAAATAAATAAATAATATAGTAAATAATAATAAATACATAATAATAAAGAAACAGTGATACAAACAATGACAAATAGTAATAAAAATAAATAAAGAAATAAAATAATTATAATAAATGGATAAAATCGTAGTTGCTAATAAAGTTATTAATTAAAAAAAAATAACTTTTCACTCCGTTCTAAACTCTTAGACAAAGAAAAGACTGAATAAAAAATACTGTATATCATTATTTTTAGGGATACATATTTTGATTTACTCGATGATGTGAAACCAATCTTCCGAGTTTTTATATTTATAAAACTCTTTTACCTGCTTTCTGCTTTCGTAAAGTACCGACCCAAAGTTTGGAGACAATTAGAACCGCACCTGACTAGCCACTGAAATAGGACCCCATCCGAGGGAATTCATTTTTATTTTCCAACGCATTATATGAATACTCAACAAGCATCTTCACTTCTACGCTCTTCTTTCACCTAGAAAAACATTTTTCAAATTATTCAAATGATTACAAAAAATAGTAATAATAAATACACTTGAAATTAAAATCTAAATAAAAAGAAAAATTATGCTCTCAAATTTTAATTGTTCTGAGACAATTGATTAAAAATGTTAATATTTCAATAATAATTGGAATAATTTAATATTAATTTTAATATTTTAAGATTAGTTTAATATTTTAGCATTAATTTGAATAATTTAATTTTTGATATTTTAATTTTAATACTTTAATTTTAATATTAATGTTTTGTAGTTAATTTTTAACTTTTTAAATTGTTAAATCTTTTTATCAGTTTTTTTTCAAAATTGTAACAGTGATGAGTCTTTCTGCTGGGTTCAACAAATAAATAAAAAACAAAGGATTTACGGCAAATGATCAAGTGAGTAAATATGTTTTCTATAGTTCGTGTAACTGCTGATGTGATCGCGGAGCTTTAGACTTCCTGGCGACCTGCAAATATATTCTTAACGCTATGTACATTATATTAAAAACAACATTTAGATAAATATTCACTGAAAAAAATCTATTTTTTTGAAACTTTTTCAACTCTCTTATAGTTTCCCTATTTTCTCTAACAAACAATTTTTGTTTCCTTAGTTATTACTTATTTCATTCAATTTTCCAAATTTCTCTCTTAACTTCCAATAAAAAGATTATTCTCGTAATTTAATTTCTATTTTTAAAATTAGACCAAAAAAAATACGTTTTTCGAAAAGTTCAAAGAGAATTAAATTGGATTGAAATAGAAAAAACTATTTTTTTGGAAAAGAAAAATTTATTTTCTATTTTTTAAAATTAAACAAAAGAAAAATGCGAATTCGTTTTTTGAAAAGTTCGGAAACAGTTAAATGAGTTTGAAATAGAAAGAACTATTTTTTCGGAAAGGAAATATTCATTTCCTATTTTTAAAAAATACGAATTCGTTTTTTGAGAAGTTCGAAAACAATCCTAAGGATTGAAAAAAAAATATATTTTATCGAAAAAAGTAAAAGCAAGAAATTGATTTTGACAGAAAAAAATACAGGATTCTCCTTGAATTCTAGGAACAGTTTTTCATCAATTTCTTGGAGCAAGATCAAGCAATAAGGGTTTAATTTTTTGTTCCCATCAAAGCGAATGCTGCCGATATGTATTCTTCGAAGATGATAGGCTTCGCACAAGCGCAGAGCGGACTGAATAAAAAGCAATAGGTAAAACCAGACAAGCAAGTTTCCTAGATTTTTTTCTTTTTATTATTATCCTCTCTTTCCCCTTTCTAACGCAACCTGCGACCCACCTTCCCAGTTTTGCTCCATTATATCGTCTTTCCCTTCCTCTATCTATCCTCCTCCGTTTGGAGTTTCTTTGGCACACGTGCACCTTACTATATAGATATAATACTCGGCTGCGCGTAAACTTTATGCGGCAGAGAGCGGTCGATTCTTTTATGTGACGTCATAGCCACCCCATGATGACGATCCCAACTCAGTAATCAACTCTCAAGGTCTCTGTCTAGATTTTTCGTTTTGTAAGAGAGCCAATGGGAACTTGCCCTATGGCCCTTGGGGCAATAATCGAATTTTTTGTGACAGGCGATGATTTAAACACTCGATTGAAAAATGAAAATACAGAAAAGGAACCTATTTTTTAAATTGTCTTTTCCATGAAAAAAAAAATTTGTACACTGAAATCAAAATTGAGATTTCTTTTTAATTTCTACGGAAAAAAACAAGAAAACCGTAAATTTATAAAAGTAAAACTGTCATTGCTATCTTCGCCTTCTGTTTGTTTAGGTCTTTGAGTTGTATTAGAATGTACCTTTTTTTCAGCCAGGAGTCAAAGTTATGCTATTACCAAACTCATAACAAAGAAAAACGAGATAATTCTAAATTTTGACATGCGGAAACTTCTTTTTTTCTAAAGCAAACAAATTTGGGAAAATTATACTGAGAAGAAATGAGAAAAACGTGTTTTTCTGTAATTTATGTACCTTTTTGATAGACAAGCGGGGAAAAAAATCTTTCCAGGAATTAATTGTAGTGACGACGTTATCTCTCGAATTGTTACTGTCAAGAAATATTTTTCTTCATTTTCTCCTTCTTTATCTTCTTCTTCTTATTCGTCATCTTTTTCATTGGTCTTTTGATTTCTTCATTTTCTAAATATTCAACGGAAACCGTATTTGAAAATGTTTTCCTGCGAGCCTGGAAAAAACAAACATTTGGAAAGTTTAATTTATCAAACTGAGAAATGCAAAATAAAATCTAAATAATAATGATAAATTTTTCTTTTATAGTAAGATGAAATCTCTAAAAAATTTCTATTTTGTTTCATAATTTTTAATTCTTAATTAATTGCTACAAAAATAAATTTTTGCTTTTCAAAACTTAACAAAATTTTCTATTTAATAAATGCATTTTAACAAATAGAATAAATAATCGACTTAATGGAATCCAAATAAAATAATAATTTAAAATTTTAGTTATAGTACCAAGAAACATGTAAAACATTTCTATTCGTTATAATTTTTAATTAACCAATTTAAAAAACATTAATTTATTAACTAATTAACTAATTATTATTGTTTATTATTTTTGACTATTTTAATAAAATTCGTCGAAAGAATTCAATTATTTTCATAAAGAATAAAATTCTTTGCAAGAATTCAATTATTTTCATAAAGAATCAAATTCTTTGTAAGAATTCAATTAATTTCGTAAAAAATAAAATTCTTTATAAGAATTCAATTATTTTTAAAAAAAAATAAAATCCATTCCAATACTTCAATTACTTTTATAAATAATAAAATTCTTCTCAGGAATTCAATTATTTTTAAAAATTTAAATAACATTCTTTGCAAAAATTCAATTATTTTCACAAAGAATCACATTTTTTTCAAATAATTCAATTATTTTTAAAGAGAATAAAACTCTTAGCAATAATTCAATTACAGTGGAACCTCGATTATCCGAACTAACCTAGGCACGGCCTGATTCGGATAATCGAAAATTCGGATAATAGAGGTTTTAATGTTTTTCATAATTAAAGTAAAAAAATTGGACAGTTGAACTATATGTACATATTTAATTTAATACATTTTTCAAAGATATATAAGTATATATATTAATTTATAATAATATATTAATAAAACACAATATATGATTTTTTTAAGACTTTTTTGGCATAAACAAACATAAGTAATAAAATAAATAGAGAAAATAAATTTTAAAATTCGGATAGCCAAAAAAAAGTTCGGATAATAGAAATTCGGATAAAATGATTTTCGGTTCGGATAATAGAGGTTTCGGATAACAGAGGTTCGGATAATCGAGGTTCCACTGTATTTTCATAAATAATTTTTTGCAAGAATTGAATTATTTTCAATACAATTTTGATAAAGAGCAATTCTTTATAATTTAAATTGTTAACAATTTTAACTGAATTCCTAGAAAGAATTTGAATTTTCATCGATACAATTAAATTATTACACAAAATTTTAATAAAATTCTTGACAAAATTTCAATTAATTTTATAAATAATAAAATTCTTAGAAGAAATTTAATACAATTCCAATACAATTTCAATGATATTTCTTGATGAGATTAAATTATTTTAAAAAAATTTAATAAAATTCAATATAAAAATTAAATTATTTTCAAAAATTTAAATAAAAACTTTCATAAATAATTTTTTGCAAGAATTGAATTATTTTCAATACAATTTTGATAAAGAGCAATTCTTTATAATTTAAATTGTTAACAATTTTAACTGAATTCCTAGAAAGAATTTGAATTTTCATCGATACAATTAAATTATTTAAAAAATTTGAATAAAATTCTTGACAAAATTTCAATTAATTTTATAAATAATAAAATTCTTAGAAGAAATTTAATACAATTCCAATACAATTTCAATGATATTTCTTGATGAGATTAAATTATTTTAAAAAAATTTAATAAAATTCAATATAAAAATTAAATTATTTTCAAAAATTTAAATAAAAATCTTTGCAAGAATTTAATTATTTTCATTTCCGTTGCAAGAATCCTACTATTTTCATATAATAATAAAATTCTTTGCAAAAATTCAATTAATTTCTATGAATCTAAAAAATCGTAATTGTATTTTTATACTAATATTGTTTTAATTTTAAATTGTTTTGCAGAATTTAATAAAATTTAACCATAATTCCGATTAAACAATGTCTATTTAACTAAATTTTAACAAATAAAATAAATCAGTTAAATGATATTTCAATAAACTGAAAATTCGGTAACAAAAAATTGTATTTAAAAATTTAAATAAATATTAAGAAAATAATGAATAATATAAATAAATTTAATTTAATTTAAAAAAATAAATAAAAAATTTAATTTCTCCAACACTTGCTCTGAAAGGAGTGCTTTTCTTGGTAGAAAAGTGTGGCGAAAGTAGAACTTTTCTCAACTGCTCTAAAGAGCGTGGCGAAAGTAAAATTTGGCGTGGCGAAAGTAATTTTTAGCGTGGCGAAAGTAAATTTGGCGTGGCGAAAGTAAATCATGAATTTATTCTTTTTTCTTGTTCTTTGACCGAGATTTATTTTGTATCTAACTTCTTCCCCACTCAAAACATTCGTCTTTTATTATATTAAACATAAGCACACGTTAAATTAAAATTATACGAAACTCACGAAGAAACCTTTCCTCGCAAGGCGTTGGAGAAAACGTAGTGCACAACTCGTGGTGAAAGAATGATTTTTCGAGAGTGATTGCTGCTCTCGCTACGCTCGAGCCGCAAACTTCACTCTCGAAAAATCACACTTTCGCCACTAGTTGTACAATGTACTATTATTGAATTATAATTCGTTTGAATATAAATTCATCTAATCCCGGCTAAATAAGAAATAATATAAAGTATACAATACAGAAATCGAGAAAAAGATATACATATATTAAAAAAAATTGTTTAAGTACTTATAATCAAAGATGAAATAATTCATAGTTTATAATTAATTTTTTATTTATAAAAAAATTATATTTTTAATTTTAAAAATTATGTGTTAGATATTTCAATTTATTTAATGGTACTGTCATCTTTGGTTTCCTGCTAGTACTGCGAGTCCCTCTCTACTCTACCGACTTTTCGATTAAATCAATATACAGAAAAAGCAGTCAAATTTAATTGATAACATTAATAAAATTAATCAAATTAATTAAAATTTTTGTAATTAAATTTAAATAAATTTAAAGGGAAGCATTGAAGGAAATATAAAAATTATTTTTTCTCTGTCTCTCAATTTCTGTATTGTATAAAAAAATATAATTACATTTGTAAAATCATTTTAAAAACTTTATAAAAATCCCTACGTTAAAAATGACTAAAAATCACAGCTTTCAAATGACTATTAATATGTAAAATGATTGTTTTTATAAATAAATATTAAATAGTAATTTTAACTTTCGGAGAACACATGGGGTCTTTTTGACCCCACGCTTTTTTACGAAAAGCTTTTTATCTTTTTTTAATATTTTCAATAAGGACTTTCAAGTGTACAGACTTATTCTACAGAGTTTAAACTATAATTAAAAAAATTCTTTAGCTTGATTAGATGAGCAGTTTAAAATTGGTTGAGCTTTGAAAAATAGTCTAAAAAAGAGGTGTGTTCTCCGAGGGTTAATATGACTATTTTTATAAATAAATATTCATTTTAAAATGACTATCGAAAAGAATTGTTACTTATACGAAAATGACTATTTATATGTGAAGAAATAACAATTTATGTGTCAAAAAATGACTGTAATAAATAAAATTAAACAAATACCTGACTGTCATTCATTGTCTAATTCCCTATAACTTTTGACAATATTCTCAACTTTGGCAAACGAATGAAGAAAATCATCTTCTTCTAAACCGAATTTTTTATACTGATGTAAAAATGCACCGTGCGTATACATTTTCCATGCACGATCAACAATAATTTCTAAAGAACGATGAATTTGCGAATTATTAGTAATTAAAGCAACAAATTTCTCCTGATTTAAAAGACGTCGTCGTTGATTAAAATGTGTGAATCTCTCTAATTCTGGCATCCATTTCGCGTATAAATCATTTTTTTTCAACTCATCATAAACTATTGAATCATTTTCAAGCGATGTTCCACGTGTTATTAAAATATTTCCAATTGACTTACAATATTTATGATAATTTCTATCGTACGGTGCGTGTGATATTTTTCTCGTCTCAGGATCAATTACACTATCATTAAACACTCCCACGCGTAAAGTTTGCTTTAAATGTCCAATATGTGAATGCCACTTGTACGAAGACTCATATATCGATGAATTCAATGGAATATAGGGAACACTTTTAATTGAAGCCAATTTATAACTAGGATGCGGTGTCACTAACGAAACCAGAGAATTTGCATTTAAACAATTTTCCACAGGTTGAAAAATTGCTGCCAATTTTCTCGAAATTACATCATTGATATTCTTTAAATTGGCGTCGAAATTTTTTAAAATACTCGTACAAATTGAATGTATTTGTTCATTCTCGAATAGAAAATTAATATCACATTTTTCATTGAATTTTGCCAGTGTCAATAGTGTATTGTAATTTTGTGTTCCAACTTCACCGGAAGTAAAGGGCAATATTATTGAGCCAATTAATGTTTTTGTTGGAAATTCCTCTCGTAAATTATCAATGAAATAGCTACCAACTCCAGATCCAGTGCCACCTGCAGAACTGAGAAGAAATAACATACCTTCGAGACGATCTGTTCGTTCGATTTCCCTCCTAATGGCCTCGAGTGTTTCCTCCTTGAATTGTGGTCCTTTCATTAAATATCCATAGGCCCAATTATTGGCAGAGCCTCCCGATGTTTGGCAAATTAAATTTTGCTTTCGATAGGTCCATTGTGAATTGGTTTGTCGACATATATTTTTCAATACCTTCGCCTCTGTGTCGATGAGAATTGTTCTTGCTAAACGACAGCCATCATTGTTAATGCCTTCAAACCATTTTTCAATTGCGCTTTCCGTATATTGATAATTATCATCGCGAGACACGTTTTTGTCCCGGGAATTTATGTCAGTCGATAATTGAGTGAAAAAATTGTGACCCAATTGATTGCCACATTGTCCAAATTGTAGGGTCAACATAGTGCACTCGCTCTTGATATACTCTGCAAAAAAAAGTATCCAATTAGAAAATAATTCTCTACATTTTGAAAAGTAAATTAAAAATATACAAAATATAAAATACACAATATCCTTGGTTTTAGAAGGGAAAACATTGGAACAAAAACAAATTCTAACCTAAAATAGTTATATGCAAAAATATTATTAATCCTAGCGATTTACTACAATAATTAAAAAAATTTAAACAATCAACAGAATACAAATTAATATTAATTTTTCTTTGTAATTAAATTGTACATTTTCTTACATAATTTTTGACGTCGTTATTGATTTTTGCAAAAAGTACATGTCCCAAGTAATAATTTAATTTCTTTTTTATATTCACAAGAATTATGAATCCGAATTTAATTAATGAATTCAATATTTGGAGAATTTCTTAGAAAATTAAAAATTATTTCTCGAAAGTATTATAATAGCGAAACAAGAGCAAACTAGCAGACGACACGTGGAATTTTTAAAATAAAATCGTTATTCGTCGCGGTCAAATAAGAGTATGAAGTTAATAGCAAATAAATTTCAATTTAGAATTTGGAATAATTTTCTAACGATAAAAATTAAGGATTAATAATTGTTTTGACTCTTATTTTTATTCTTCTTTGACACTTGCTCTTATTCTTTATTTTAGTAAATAGTCATTTGAATTATTATGAATTATTTTGAATTATGTTTAATTATTTCTAAATATTTTTAAAACATTTTTAGTGGATACAAAAATTATTGTATATTACAAAATATTTATCATTACCAAAAAGCTGTATACAAATCAATTATGTTATTTTTTTACTTAAAATGCAAAACAATGACGTTGAAATTTGTATTTAAGTCCATCAAGATTGTGAAGATTTAATTTTTTTTTATAAAATTTGCAGGGGGTCTTTGAAAAGTAATTAAAAAATTTATCCTCAATCTTTTAAAATCCAGTTTAAAGCAGTTGAATAAACTTGTTGACATTTAAAATTAAGAATCAATTTTCAATCATCTTTTCCCTAATGTATAATATTTTTTTAATGTCTTCTTCAATTCTTCTGTTTATAATGTTAAATAAATTATTTAAAAAGATACTTAATTTTTGAATAAATCAAAAAAATGTATGCAAAAAAATTAAAAAATTTTTAATTCTTGTTTTGATTTTGCGACTATTTTTCTTTTTTACTTTCACAATGATAATATTTAACAAAAAAAGGCGAAAAATAAAAATGGTGAGTAACGGAGGTGTGTTGTCACGTACTCGTTTCTCATTGGATGACAAAATTGATAACGAATCGTTTATTGATCTCTAATCATGATTTAAAATTATTTTTACGTGACATACTTTGCAAAAAATATAATGACTTGCAGAATTAATTTACCAAAAAATTTTCTTTTAATTTAATTAATATTTTTCTATACTTTGTTGTAAAACAGTTGATCGAGAAAAAATTGCTTGTCACTTAGGGAAATTATTGAAACAAGAACTATATTTTGATTCAATCAAAATGTAGTTCTTTAAAATTCCAAGTAAATTCGTTTTTAATTATTTCTTTTAAGGTAGATTTGAAAATATATTTAGAAATTATTTTCAAAAAAGTAACAAATATGAAAATAAATAGAACAAATAAAAATATTGAAAAATAAAATAAATAAATGAAAATAAATAAAAATTAATAATACAAATGAAAATAATGAATATTAAATGAAACAAATGAAAATAATATGAGAAACAAATAAGTGGAATAAAAATAATAGAAATTAATTAAAAGAAATAAAAATTATAAAAACTGAATAAAACGAAAAAATAATATTTAAAATTAGTATTACAAAAATATTTGAAAAAAGTAATCAGTGAGAAAAATAACAAAAATATAGAGAGAAGAATTTAGCGAATGCATTAGGCGATATCAATTAATTGAATTTACGTGTTAAAAGCTACTGGTAATATTATTAGGAATTCAAAAGATATAATTATTGGAATACTACTCGACTTATTAATTTTTTTTAAAATCATTATCACAGTTTTTGTCTAAAATGCAAAGTGTTCAATTCGAAGAAACGGTTAGTGATGAATTTAGAACATTTTTCTCTCCGAAAAAATGGATACGTAAGTTTTAATTTCGAAAATATTTTCTGCTTCTTCAGCGTTATTTTTTCTAGGATTATAATGTCAGTAAAATTTCGAAAAATATAATATAGTATTTGGCAAATGAAATAATTTTTATTAAATTTTTTAAAATTATTTTTTGCAGGTAAAAATAATTTTGTTTTTAGAAAAAAATTATTTTTAGACGATCAGGAAAAAGTGAATTAGTATATAAATAAAATATTTGGACCTAAAAAAATCTTTTAAGTGTAAGCACAACCCTTTAGAGAATTATTTAAAAAAAAATTTAAATTCTCAATTTATAAAATTGAAAACGAAAAACAATTTTTACAAACTTTATACAAAAAAATAAAAAATTGCGTAATGTAAAATATATTTACGAATAAAATTTATCTACCGTTATATACGATTTCATACGAAATTTATTTCCTGCCGAAAAGTATTTTATATAATCAATTCGTATTTTGACCTGTTGATCTTAAAAAATTCTTCTGATTTTGAGGAAATAATATTTCTACTTCTATTCCTTTGCTCAATGTTTTTTTTAAAAAACCATAATTTTTAAAGTTGCATATAAAAATATTATTTTCAGATAAAATTAATATCGAAACTTAAAAAAAGGCTAAAAATGTAATAAAAATTAAATAAATATCAAATAAAAAAATGAATTAAATTAAATAAATACTAAATAAAAAATTTTAAAAGAATTAAAAAAGAATCTGCTGAGTATTCAGTTAATAAAAAGAAAATATAACAAATGTATCACTAAAGCAAATAATTTACCAAAATAAATTATTTCTTTAGGTTCATGACAACAATTTATTTACAATAACTTATTTTCATAAATTAAAATAATTTATTTTTAAAAATTAAAATATTCCCTGATAATTATCAATTTTGTTAAATTTAAATTTATCAGCTGAAAAATTAAAGAGAAAAAACTTGTCCTTCTTTAACAACGAATGATAATCGTAATAAGCAACCTCAAAACTTTTGATTTCAAATCAAAAGTAATTTTTTTATACCTATTGTTAAAGAGTTAATGTCTGCTTCAGAAATCAAAGATAAGTTTAAATTAATTCTATTTATCGCCTCACATACAATAGTGATAACAAAAATGCGTGACTCTTCTGCTTTCGCACGTGTAAGAGGGGAAAAAAATACTAAAAAGACTAAAACAGAAATATGTTAATAAAATAAAGAAAAATATTCCAATTTTTATACATTTCTTTTGTTTCAAATAATTTCGATCATTTTTTGCAAGCTTTAAATAAAAAAATTTCTCTTTAATTTACTAATTAAAGAAAAAAGAATAAAAACGAAATAAAGAAAACGATTCTAATTAACTATAGAAAATATAAAGGGACGAATAGAAAAAAAATATTAATTTAAAATGAAGATTCTCATCTTTTACATCTTTCTAAAATTTCTTTATCAGTTAAAAATTCTCAGCTTAGAAATTCTTCTTTAATCTGTCTCGAGAAAATTTTATAATAATTTTTTAAATCACTTTATTATTTTACTCGCATTTTTCTAAAATAAATAAAAATATAAGTTTAAATTTGTTTTCAACTTGGACGAATCTTTAAAAATAGAACAGACATTACTAGAAACAAAACAAAAAATATGTACAATATAAAGGAAGTGCATAGCAAATTTTATATATACAAAATTCTGCATTTGTACTTGAACGTGAGTTGAGTTTATTTGAAATAAGATTAAAGAGTGGGGAGCCAAAGTAAGTCGCGTTAAAGCGAGGTTGAAATAAATATAGTAGAAGAGGGAATCAACAGTTCTCGATCGAGAGTAAACAGTTACAGTTGTTCGCGATTTTTTAATTCTCACAACTGAAAAAAGGTTCTCCTATCATTTATAGAATGTAGAAATATTATCCCTCCTCCCACGCGTATCACAAAAACAATCCGAGATAAAACAGTTTTACTTGAAATTAATTTTCCTCAAGAAAAAGTGTTTATTTCTTTAATTTTCTCCACTATTTAAAAAATCAAAACAAAAGTGTAAACTCCAGGAACAAAGTGCAACAATCGATGCGTCAGTATCACTGAAATAAAATCTCCCAAAGAAATAAAAGACAAGAAAAAATATCAAAAAAAATGTCCGCTTAATTTCTGTCAAATCGAATAGATAACGAAAAATGACAATAGGAATTTAAAAATATTGTAAAGAAGACAAACTACTTACGATGAGACACTCATCAGAAGACAACAGATGCTGGATAATAATTGATTCCAACCTTCCTTTATTTTGAAATTAGAATATGATTCTTAGGAGACAAACATAAATGCGATCCGATGATTCAAGCAAAAGTTTCGACGGTATGGTGACTCTGGACCAACAGCAACTTCAGCAACATCGTCAGGATCAAGATGACAATCACCGTATTTCCAATAAAAATTCAGTTGATTACCAAAATTTCCAGAATCTGCAAAAATTAAACGGAATTAGAAAAATTGTTGAAGAAAAAGAAGAAGAAGATGTTGATAAGAAAGAAGAAGAAATTGGTGAAGAAAAAGAGAAAAAAATAGAAATATATGATCAAAAGAAAAATGAAGGAGAAAATGAGGAAAATGTTATTGTAAATAATGAGAATAATGATTATTATTTGGATATTGAGAGTTATGATGAATCGACGTCGAGTAGTGACGTGGAGGAAGATTTAGAGGAGGATGTTCTTCGCGATAGAGGATGGGTGTCAGAAATTCCAAGTGCACCACAAAATTGTGAGATAGGAACAGCGAATGGTATTCCATTACCATCAGTCGAAGCACCATGTTTCGGTGATGTTTGCGTTAAAAATTCGAATAATGTTCATTTAGGTAGCAAAACATTTTACAAGGGCCCAGTGACAATAAAACAATTTGTCTACAGTAATTCCGAATATAAAAAGGACGATGAATTGGAGGATAGTGAGAAACGAGACTCAGTGCGAAGTCAAAATATCAGTCAAACATCTGACGTGCCATTAAATTCCGAATTTATCAAAGGTGATAAGAATAGAAAAGTTTTTTTCAATCACATAATTATATTATCATTAATATATTAATATTAGAATTAAATTAATATTATTATATTAATTTTTAATTATATTAATTTAATACAAATACAAATAATTACTAAATTCCAATTATTCACTATTTCAACTAAATTAATATTGAAATTGAATATTAAATTTCAATATTAATGTTGATTGAAAATAAAAATTTTCTTTTTTGAGAGATAAAAAAAGGTCTCTTGACATCTGTGCAATAAAATAAAAAAAAATATTCAAGGATTCGCAAAACCGGAATGCAATAATCATAAAAAAGAGTATGAATTTCATTAGGCAGTCATATATTATTTTGATGCGCGTTGGGAAAAGCCCAAACAAAATGGAGGAAAATTACATTCTCATTTGCAGTGTTATCGACAATTATTTTTATTTTCCCTTCTTTTTTCAATAATCGTTCGATTACTAAAGGTCTTGACTTGTTAAACAACTGAAAAACATTTATAATCAATTTTTAAGAAGTGTTTTGTTAACTTAATTTTCAATATTACGAATTTCATAAATTTAAATTAGCGAAAATTTCTATTAATTCGAATAAGTCACTTTCTATTCAACTCGATTTCATTTTATTCAAAATAAATAAAATTTTGGTAAAATTAAAAATGTTAAATTGATTAATTAATTATTATATAATTATCAAGTATTTAGTTAATTACTTATTATATAATTATTAATTAATCAGATAATTACAGCATAATTATTATTTATAACTAATTAATAATTAGAAATTTTTATTTTTAAAATTGCCTCAATTTAATTTCCAACGAAGTATTAAAAAATAAAAAAAAATCCAAATAGGTCAAAATAATTTCAAAATTTCGAATTTCCAGCCGCTTTATTGATACAAGCTTTGCGAGATTTTCGCTATAAAGTAAAGAAGAGGCTGCTATCATTTAACAGAAATTATTATTAGTTTGTTCAGTTAATAAGTGACAAAGACGTCAGAGATAATTATAAAATTGGAAAAACGTTAATATTTTCTTATTCATTTAAATAAAATGGCCTCAAATTACATAATATTTCCGTTTGTAAATGTTTTCCTCATTATTTTGTGATAAAAGAAAAAATTTCTATTTTGAACACTCGAAAAATAATTTTACTACTATTTCGATATTATTTTTTAAATAAATTCCACAATTAACAAAAATTTGAAATTATTTCTTAAATAAATTTCAATTTCAATTGAATTTCATTTCAATTTTAACAAAAATTTGAAATTATTTCTTACATAAATTTCAATTTCAATTGAATTTCATTTCAATTTTAACAACAATTTGAAATTATTTACTTAAATAAATTTAATAAAAATTGAAAATAAAAATAATTGTTTCCTTGAAACATTAAAAATACGAATTGTATAAAAATAAAAAAATACTAAAATTGTAAAAATAGAAAAAAATTTGAAAATATTCACTAAAACAGTTCAAGTTCAAAAATTAATTTCTCTCACAAAATGACAAACATTAATCAAAACGGAAACGAGCATTTTAGATTAATCTTCGAAACGCAATATTGAAAATAGAAAGAGAAAAAATATAAATATATATTAATCGATATCACTGTTAATTACTCAGTAAAATAATTGCAAAACAATTTTAGCAAGTAATTTGTATAAATTTTTCCTGTTTTAAAAATAAATAACAAATGTTAAACGTATGTTACAGTAAAACAATGGCTGATAACGTGGAAGTGGGCAGCAATTTTTTTCACAATAGTTGTAATGTTCGTGACAATCATTGTTATGATTGTATTAACTTCAGGACACAATAAGACTCCACACATTCCCATTTACCCAGAATTGCCTGATTCATCAACTGGCGCAGGTTTGTACCATTCGAGACGTTTTTAATTCTCTTATATTCCAATAATAAATTAATTAAGTTTCCTCAAAAAAAGAATATAATTATTACACTCGGTGGAAAATTCTCTTTGATGGAAAAAAATATATTCCCTTCCATGCGTTTGTGAAATATTAATTTATAATTTTAGTTGATGTTTTACTGTCTATGGACTCAACTGTTGACCTCTTATCAGATATTTATTAGCAACACGAAGCTAATGTTATAAACAATATTAATTTAAATGCATTTCCTTTTTCTTAAGTCAGTAACTATCGAACTTCTCCTCGAATATTCGTATTGAATTCATCAATTAATTTACAATTCTCGTAGAATTTTTCGAAGAATGTTGTTACATCCTTTTCTTTGTCTCTTCAAGTTTTCTTGTTTCCTACTACTACTTGGTATTTGTGATAATTTAATATTTCATAAATTAATATTTAAATTTTCATGTTTCATATTTGTTTTCTTTCTCTGTTCAAAACGTTTATGAATCATTTTAAAAGAAACTGTTTTTTCTGCACAGAAAACAATTTTTCCTTTTCATGAATTTTTGAGAATTTCATCTTAAAAAGTGTCTGTCCTTTTTCTTCTAGAAATATAACGAAAATCTCTCAATATACACCCTGAAAAAAAAACTCAGAGTCTACCGAATTAATATTGTTTCAAATTTTATTTCTCCCTAATAAATGATATTTGTTACAAATTCAGGGCTCGAACCAGTGAAAGTATTTAAAAATACGGACATTACGGATTAAAAATAAAAAATTACGGACCACTTACGGACCAATTACTGACAAAAATATAACTAGTCCGAGTGAAATAAAAACCTATTTCTTTACAATATTCAATTTTATGAAATTTCAATTATTCGTAAATTCTTCAATTAAATAAATATTGGAAAATAAAAACTTCAAATAATATTTAAAAAATTCAATTATTTTTTAAAATTCACGCCACATTGCTTTTAATATTCAATTATCATCTAAAATTTTAATTGAAATTCATTTTTAAATTAATTTTTATTAAAAAATTCTATTAGAATTCAATTATTTAAATACAAAAATAAATAATTTATTGAATAATTAAATGTTTCTTAAAATTCAATTCTTATAAAGAATTTTATTAACAAATTTTTAAATAATTGAATTCTTTGGACGAATTTTAATAAAATTTTTAAGAATAATTACATTTTTAGAGGAATTCGATTAAAATTGTATTAAATATAAATTGAAATTCTGCGATGAGTTTTATTATTTATGAAAATAATTGAATCCATAAAAATTTTATTATTTTTGAACGTTATTTAATTTTTGCGAATTTTCTTTGAGAATTTTCAAATTCATTTGTATACCATTCAATTTTACAAAATTTCAATTCTTCAATTAAATATATATTAGAAAATAAAAACTTGAAATAATTTCAAAAAACCGCAATTAAACTTTCTCAAAAAAATTAATTAATATTAATAATTATCTTACAATTGAATTCTCATAAAGAATTTTATGAATAAATTTTTAAATAATTGAATTCTTTTGACGATTTTTAATAAAATTTTAAAGAATAATTACATTTTTCAACGAATTCGATAAAAATTGTACTAAAAATAATTGAAATTCTGCAATGAATTTTATTATTTATGAAAATAATTGAATTCCTAAAAAGAATTTTATTATTGAAAAAAATAATTGAATCCCCGTAAAAATGTTATTATTTATGAAAATAATTCAATGATTGCGAAGAAATTTATAAATAATTTCTAATTAATTGAATTCCAGTGAAATTTTTATTATTTTATGAAAATAATTAAAGGTTTGTGTAGGATTTTATTAAATTTTTTTCTTTAATAATTGAATTCTTTTTGACAATTTTTTTAAAATAGTAAATATAGAAAATCATTGAATTGAGGAAAGTTTTTAAAAATAATCGAAATTTTTCCAAGAATTTTATTGAAATTTTTTAAAATAATTGAATTTCGGAGAAGAATTTTATTATTTCTAAAAATAATTGAAATTTTGACGAGAATTTAAAAAAATGTTGAACATAATTGAATGTTTGCGAAGAATCTTATATTACTTTTGAAAATATTTGAATTTCTGCAATCATTTGCAATTTCTCTAAAATTCTCCAAATTATATCGTAGAATTTACTAACTTTTCGTCTTTTCTCAATCAAATTACGGACTTTACGGACCTTTTTAAAAAAACGGACTTTTATGGGATTTACGGACCTAGTTCAAGCCCTGCAAATTTTATCTGCCTCAAATAAATTTTATTTGTGCTAAATAAAAATTCTATTTGTACCAAATAAAACTATTCTGCAAAAAGAATAAATAATTGAGTAGCTTCTGAGACAAACTTATTTTTACTTGAATCAAATAAATTATATTTAGTTCAAATCAAACATTTCTCAGGGCGGAAGAAAATAATAAGAAAATTTCTCCTTAAAAATAAAAATAATTAAACACTTATTGTTTTTCCAGATGTTTGGATTCACGGTGTTAAAATAGTTTCACGAGATGAATGGCTAGCTCAACCACCTCAGGAACGTGAAAAATTAAGTTTACCGGTGAAATATGTGTTTATCAGTCACACAGCTACGGATTTTTGCAATAATCAAGCTCAATGTGTACATCGAGTGAGATATATTCAAACATTTCATATGTCATCACAAGGTTGGGCTGATATTGGCTACAGTTTCCTGATTGGCGGCGATGGTAATGTTTACGAGGGCCGAGGTTGGGATTATGTTGGCGCACATACATACAATTATAATAATATAAGCATTGGCTTATCATTTATTGGTACATTCAACGACTATATGCCACCGAAGAGTCAAATATTTGCGGCTCAAAAAATTATCGAAAAAGGCGTTGAATTAGGTAAAATAAGTAAAAATTATACCCTATTAGGTCATCGACAGGTGTCAAAAACTGAAAGTCCAGGCGATGCACTTTTTTCGGAAATTAAAAAATGGCCACAATGGGCACCGACACCTTGAGGAATTTCTTCTTTTTTACCTGAAAAAAAAAGATTTTTGAAATATTTTTTTTACATTGCTTTTCGTCAATATTTACGGAACTGAATTTAATTATTACAAAAAGAATATTTAATTTAATTATTGCAAAAAGAATATTTAATTTATTGATTGTAAAAAGAATATTTAATTTATTCAACAATTACAAAAATATATTTAATATCAAAATTTATTATTTTATATTATATCAAAATTTTACCAATTAAATATACAGTCTATTCGGTAATATTAAGTCTCTAAAAATACTAAAAATATATTTCTTTCGTATATATTTCAGTTCCGAGTAATCTGTGATTGTAAATAATAAACAATAATTTAAAAAAACTCTTTTCGAGTAAAATTTCGAAAGATCAAAAAAAACTATTTTATAATTTATAAATATTCGCTTAAGAGAATAATTTTTTTTGGTTTATATCCATAATTATATGTAATAATGAAAGGATTCCTAAGTTATAAATCGAAATTACGCATTAGAAATCATAATCATTTATCGTTTTAATGATAAGGTAATTTTTTACTTGAATCACTTGCTTTCTCTGTAAATAATTTTTTTATGATTGCGTTACATTAGAAGTAAGTTAGCTTTTAGAATGAAAAAATCGAAAAAAATGAAGAGAGATGCTTCTTGTGTTTTATCAATTTTGCAGGAATATTGTATAAAAAATGTTTTTCAATTTACATGAAATTTTTCGATAATATAAATGTAGACATTTGTACAGGTGTGCGAAAAAACGCTAACAAACTTGTAATTATACTAGCTTCTTCGAATTTGCATTGTAAATTTAAAATAATCTACGTAACAGGTATAAATTGCTTATTCGAGGAAAGATAACATTCTCTTTTTTATTTTAAATAAATTTCAACTTATTCAAAAAAAAAAAAGAAATAGAAGTTTCAAAATTGTATAATTATACTGAGAAATTGTAATAAAGAATAAATTATATATGTTTTTAACCAATGTTGTATTAATGTAACAAGATTCAATTAATTACATTTTTCAACAAGGATCGAAATTCAAATCAATTAATTAATTGTTTAAAGGCTCGTTTAAATCAAGGAAAAATTTTTTGATACTTTCGTAATTGTTGTTTTAATCAAGACAAGAAATTTTAATACTTTCGTAATTATTTTTTTTAATTAAACGCCTGAAACTTGTTAAAAAATATTTACATTTACACAATTATAAAAAAGGTAGGAACAGTTTTTTAAGACTTAATTATAATTGCAATAAAAACGAAAGAATGTGAACTTAAATAAATAACTTATTATATCTAATAATTAATAATAATAATAATAATTTAAATACGTAATTATTAAATCTGAAATTCGTTAAAGGCGCACTCACAGCTAGTAGGCAGCAATACAAATTTGAATTTACTGTCTCTTTCACTCTAATTGACTTTCTCTCTTACTCCAATTACTGCCTGCGCAGGCAGGCAGAGCTGTGAGTGCTCCATTAGTATTATCATCCCGCCAAATCAGAACAGAAAAAACCGTTAAACCTAACCTACAAAAAAGTGTAAATTTACCTTCTCTATATAAACAAGATACTTAAATCAAAATTTTTTTGTCTTAATAACTTCTAAACAAATATTACGACATACAAAATATTTTGCTGCTTGAAAATTGCTTCTTTGAAGAAGAAAAAAGGAACAAATTAATAAAACTTTTCAACTACTTTTTTAAGAGAAAAATGACGCAATTATAAACTGGACAAATAACCATAAAAAGTATGTAGATGCACTTTGTTTAAACAATTCATTACTTCCGCCATGAGAGGCAGCACTTCCCAACGTTTAAAAATGGCGGGAATTCTTTACAATATTTAAATTTTGCAAAAATTTTTAAACTAATTTTTCCTAATTATTCTAATTAAATAATTTTGCATAAAGTACTATTTTCTAAAGCAAACGAAATACTGCAAATTACGAATTACTTTGAAAGAAAATAATTTTTTGAAATATAAAATAAACAAAAAAAAAAGAAATAAATAAACACGTAAAAAGAAAAATTATTGTCAAAATGATAAAGATACATAAAAACGGATGCCAGATTTAAAACTACAAAGTCAATACTTTACATGCAAAGACACATTATCTACGATCAGTGAGATATTTGAGATTCCCCGAGTTGTGTAATTTTTTTTATCTCCTGAACATTATTTCTCAAATAGTGCTTCTTGAATTGTGTTTTTTTTTTCAATTAACTGTAAAATTCAAAAAATTAGAAACTCGTGAACTTTACTCCCGTAATTATTGTAAGTTTTTTGAAAGAGAAGAAAATCAAGAAGTAAATTTAAATTTAACTTTAATTAAAGTTCGACAATGTCAGGAATAGAGAATGAAATTAAGAAAGAAAATGACAGTGATCGGATAATTTTGAAACAAGGTAAAAGTAATTTGTTACAATGATAATTAAAAGTAGAAAAAAATTGAATAACAAATATTTCATTTAAATATTTTTAGGGCACGAATTTTTAACTAAAATTCATCTTTAAATCGATTATTTTCAATAATTTCCGAAAATGTTCTTTGACAATTTTCAAATCCATTTGTTTACAATACTCAATTTTACGAAATTTCAATTAATCGTAAATTCTTCAATTAAATATATATAAGAAAATAAAAACTTCGAAAATAATATAAAAAAAAATTCAATTAAAATTTTTCAAAAATATTAATTTCAAAATTTAATTATTTCCAAAAATTTACGCTATATTGCTTTTAATATTCACTTATCATCTAAAATTTTAATTGAAATTCATTTTTAAATCAATTTTTTTAGAAAATTCTACTAGAATTTAATTATTTAAATACAAAAATAAATCATTTATTGAATAATTGAATGTTTCTTAAAATTCAATTCTTATAAAGAATTTTATTAACAAATTTTTAAATAATTGAATTCTTTCGACGAATGTTAATTAAATTTTTAAGAATAATTACATTTTTTGAGGAATTCGATTAAAATTGTCTTAAAAATAATTGAATTCCTAAAAAGAATTTTATTATTTACGAAAATAATTGAATCCCTGTAAAAAAATTTTATTATTTATGAAAATAATTGAATGATTGCAAAGAAATATCTAAAAAATTTGTAAATAATTGAATTTCTGCGAAATTTTTATTATTTAATGAAAATAATTAAAGGTTTGCGTTGAATTTTATATTTTTTAAAAATAATTGAAGCGTTTTGTGCAGAAACAGCATAAGTCCATAATTCGAAATTGTTCAGGAATTAATAAAAACTGTTTTTCTCGTAAATGTTAAGATTTTTTTTAATTCGGCTTTTTCCGTTATATTCTACTAACCTATAAGTTAAAAAATCCAATATGATTAATTAATTATCTACTTAATATAAAAAATTAAAAAATAAATTAACATTTGGACTTATGCTGTTTCTGCACAAAATGAAATGAAAAACACAGAAAATTTATTAAATCCAGTTAAATATCAAAGTTTTATGAAATATTTAATAACATTTATTTAAAATATTAAATTTGGATAATTTTTAGTAACATTTTATAAATAATAAAATTGTTTTAAGAATAAATTTAACCAATTTTCAATATTTTCTAATTTTAAAATAATTCAGTCACCACTGTCACTTTTTGCTTCCCATGAGTGTTTTTATTTATAATATAAACTGTTTAATATAAATTATCAAAATACGTCAAGAATATCACAAATAAATATAAAACTTATCATGGACTTGTGCTGTTTCTGCACAAAGTGATATTTTAATTATTTTTTTTAAGGGTTTAGAGTTTAGTCACTTATGTAATATTTTACCAGATTGAAAAGCTTCATTTAAAGATAAATTTTCAATAAAAAAGTGATTTTCGAAAAAAATGGACTTATGCGGTTTCTGCACAAAACGCTTCAATTGAATTCTTTTGTAAAATTCTATTAAAATAGTAAATATTAGAAATTATTAATTTGAGGAAAATTTTTGAAAATTTAATTGAAATTTTTTAAAGAATTTTAATAAAATTTTTGAAAATAATTGAATTTTGGAGAAGAATTTAATTATTTCTTAAAATAATTGAAATTTTGAAGAGAATCTCTGCGAAGAATTTTATTAATTTTGAAAATAATTGAATTTCTGTAATTATTTGTAATTTCTCTAAAATTCTCCAAATTATGACGTACAATTTACCAACTTTTCGTCTTTTCTCAATCAAATTACGAACTTTACGGACCTTTTTTTTAAAAAAAAACTGACTTTTACGGACTTGAAGCAAATTTACGAACCTTTACAGGATTTACGGACCTAGTTCGAGCCCTGCATTTTCACAATTTTAACGAACATTTGTAAATTGGGATTTTATTTTAATTAATTTATTTTTAATTTTAAATTTATTAAATTTTTAATGTCATTCAATTTTCTTAATTTAAATTTAATAAATTAATATTAAACTTTAATTGTTTGTTACAGTAAAATCATGGCTGATAACATCGAATTTGGTTCTAATTATTTCTTCAATTATCGTAATATTAGTGTCACTTACAACTATTGTAATTACTGTTATCTTATTAGCGGCACTAAATAATAATACTCCAAATATTCCTCAAATTCCTGATTTATCAACTGACTCTGGTTCGTACAGCATCAAAACGTTAAATTAATAATTAATTCTTTTTCAAAAAATTTTCAATTTTAATTAAAATTAAAATTTATAATTTCAAAGTAATTAGTTTCTAAATCAATTTTTTGAAATCGCTAATCAATTTGTATAGATTGAAAAATTAGAAACATATTTCTTGAACAATTATTCGATTTTTGAAATTTGATATGAATTTTTTTGTTAAGCATTGACTTTATTTTTAATCTCTAAAGATTATCGATATTTAGATATCACCATTATATATGAAAATAATTACTAATTGTATTAATTAAATTTATTACCTCTTTTGACTTGTAAGAAAATTATTCGATTTCGTGACTATTTACGAAAAAGTAAAAGTAATTTCCTCGATAAATTCCTGTAATTATTTTTCCAGCTTATTGGACTAATCGTGTTAAAATAATTTCACGTCATGAATGGCTAGCAAGTCCTCCAGCGATACCTCTAGATAAATTAATTCCACCTGTAAAATATGTGATTATTAGTCATTCGGCTATGAATTATTGTCATGATCAAGCTCAATGTGTACATCAAGTAAGATATATTCAAATATTTCATATGACATCCAAAAATTGGGCTGATATTGCCTACAATTTCCTCGTTGGTGGTGATGGCAATGGTTACGAGGGCCGCGGATGGAATTTTATTGGTGCACATTCATTCAATTATAATAAAAATAGCTTTGGCTTATCATTTATTGGAACATTCGATGACTATATACCATCGAAAAGTCAAATTTTTGCGGCAAAGAAAATTATCGAAAAAGGCGTTGAATTAGGTGTAATAAGTAAAAATTATACCCTATTAGGTCAACGTCAAGTGTCAAATACTAAAAGTCCAGGCGATGCACTGTTTTCGGAAATTAAAAAGTGGCCTCATGGGTCACAGACACCGTAAAATAGATTTTTTTCTCGGGTAAAAATATTTCCAAACACGTAAACTCTTGCAATGTAAAAATCTCACAATTAGGTAAGATAAATCAAAATTATATGTACCCTATTAGGTCATCGACAGGTGTCCAAAAATGAAAGTCCAGGCGATGCACTTTTTTCGGAAATTAAAAAATGTCCACAATGGGCACCGAAACGTTGAAAAATTTCTTCTTTTTTACCTGAAAGAAAAAGATTTTGGAAATATATTTCTCACATTGCATTTTGTCAATATTTATAGAATTAAATTTAATTATTACAATTAAAGAATACTTAATATAATTATTGCAAAAAGAATATTTAGTTTAATGATTGTAAAAAAAATATTTAATTTATTTATTGCGAAAAGAAATTTAGTATTAAAATTTATAATTTCATATTATATCAAAATCTTACCAATTAAATACAGTCGAATTAAAATAGGACTAATCGGTAATATTTACTAATTAAAAATAATAAATATGTATAATTATATTGCAGATATTTAAAAAATTAATTACTTCCGCCATGAGAGGCAGCACTTCCCAACGTTTAAAAATGGCGGAAACTCTTTGCACTATTTAAATTTTGCAAAAAATTTTAAATTACATATTTTTTTTCTAATTATTATAATTAAATAATTTTTCATAAAATACTGTTTTTTTAAGCAAATTATATTACTTTTAATATTGCAAATTACGAATTACTTTTAAGGAAAATAATTTTTTGAAATAGGATAAAATAAATAAATAAACACGTAAAATGTGAAATTATTGTCGAAATGATAACGATACACTAAATCGGATACCAGATTTAAAACTAAAAAGTCAATACTTCACAAAAACACATTATCTACGATCAGTGAGATATTTTCTCGAGTTGTGCAATTTTTTTTTTATCTCCAGAACATTATTTCTCAAATAGTGCTTCTTGTAATCTGTTTTTTTTTCAATTAACTGTAAAATTCCAAATAGTAGAATCTTGTGAACTTTATTCCTGCAATTATTGTAATAAGTTTTTTTAAATGAGAAGAAAATCAGGTAGTAAATTTAAATTTAATTAAAGTTCGACAATGGCAGCAATAGAGAATGGAATTAAGAAAGAAAATGACAACGATCGGATAATTTTGAAACAAGGTCTATTAAATTTTTAATTTCATTCAATCTTCTTAATTTCAATTAAATTTTAATTTAATTAATTAACATTAAACATAAATTGTTTGTTACAGTAAAAACATGGCTGATAACATCGAATTTGATTCTAATTCTTTCTTCAATTGTCGTAACATTAGTGTCTACCACTATTCTAATTACTGTTATTTTATTAATGTCAGTAAAAAGTAATACTCCAAATATTCCGCAAGTTCCTGCTTCATCAAATGAATCTGGTTCGTATACCATTTAAAAGTTAAATTAATAATTAATTCTTTATTTTAAAACGTTCAATTTTAATTAAAATTAAAATTTATAAATAATTTCAAAATAATTAGTTTCTAAATCAATTTTTTGAAATCGCTAACTAATTTGTATAAATTGAAAACTTAGAAACATATTTTTGAACAATTGTTCGATTTTTGAAATTCGATATGAATTTTTTTGTTAATCATTCATTTTGTTTTTAATCTCTAAATATTATCGATATTTATCAGTATTATATGAGAATAATTTCTAATTGTATTAATTAAATTTATTACCTTTTTTGACTTGTATAAGAAAATTATTCGCTTTCGTGATTATTCTCGAAAAAGTAAAAGCAGTTTTGTCTCTAAATTCCTGACTGAAATAAATTTTATTTGTGCTAAATAAAAATTCTATTTGTACCAAATAAAATTATTCTGCAAAAAAAATAAATAGAGTAGGTTCTGCGACAAACTTAGTTTTACTTGAATCACATAAATTATATTTAGTTTAAATAAAATATTTCTCAGAGTGGAAGAAGATAAAAAGAAAATTCCTCCTCAAAAATAAAAAGAATTAAACAGTTATTGTTCTTTCAGATGTTTGGATTCACGGTGTTAAAGTGGTTTCAAGAGATGAATGGTTAGCTCAACCAGCGCAGGAACGTGAAAAATTAACTTTACCGGTGAAATATGTGTTTATCAGTCACACGGCTACGGATTTTTGCAATAATCAAGCTGAATGTGTACATCGAGTGAGATATATTCAAATATTTCATATGTCATCACAAGGTTGGGCTGATATTGGCTACAATTTCCTCGTTGGCGGCGATGGTAATGTTTACGAGGGTCGAGGTTGGGATTATGTTGGCCAACATACATACTATTATAATAATATAAGCCTTGGCTTATCATTTATTGGTACATTCAACGACTATATGCCACCGAAGAGTCAAATATTTGCGGCTCAAAAAATTATCGAAAAAGGCGTTGAATTAGGTAAAATAAGTAAAAATTATACCCTATTAGGTCATCGTCAAGTGTCAAATACTGAAAGTCCAGGCGATGCACTTTTTTCGGAAATTAAAAAGTGGCCTCATTGGTCACAGACACCGTAAAATAGATTTTTTCTCCGATAAAATTTCATTTTTGAAACTAAACAACTTGTAGGGTAATATTTTTTACATTCACCATTTTTCGTCTGTTCAATATAATTAATATTGAATTCGAAACTCATTATTATCAATCCCGCCAAACCAGAGCAAATAAAAGCCGTTAAACCTAACCTCAAAAATGTGTAAATTTACCTCTTTTTGTAATCAAGTATTAAAATACTTTAAAAATATCAGTGACACTTGAAAATAATTGTTTCAATTCCTGTAGTTAAATATTTCCAATTACGTAAACTATTATATAATGTAAAATTCACACAATTAAATAAAAACAAATACGAAACAAAACTTTTTCAAGTAAATAACAACATTTAACTGGACAAAACCATGAAAAGTGTATTGCATAGATTTCCTTACGCATTGACTAAAGTGACTTGTTACTTCCGCCACCGGGGGCAGCACAACCAAATGTCTAAAAACGTGGGAATTTTTGAATTCCTTAAACTAATTCTTTAATTAAATATTCTAATTAAATAAACTTTTAGTAAATATTTCATACTAAATCATTGTTAATTAGTTTTTAGTTTAGTTGTTTAGTTTTTTGTTAGAAAGTAATAATATTGATTTCTTTTTAATAAAATGAAAGTATAACCACCTGGTGTCGTAAAAGAGAACTAAATAATTACCCAAATGATAACGATAAATTGATTGCATGTCAAAGTGAAAACTACAAAGTCAACATTCAACATAAACACATTATCAACGATCAGTGTGAGGATATTTCTCGAGTTTTTTAATTTTTCTATAAAAAACAGTGAGAAATAACTTTTGCCTCGTAAAAATTGAATTCTAAATTGAAAATAAAGTCAAGTTTAATAGTGTTTAGTTCCATTTTAGGACGCGCGTCATTTGGAGTGAGAAATAGCGTTCCTTTTTGAAGTTTATTCGACCTTTTTTGGAAAATAGTGAAACGAATGTTGATTTGAATAGCTCGACGATGATATTAATAGTGAATTTTCGAATTGGAGCAATAATTGATGGTGATGGAATGATTTTCGAGGCTGCCCATTTTGGCGGGTGACGTGTTGTTTCTGTTTTTGATCGACTATAGTCGTCGACGACGACGATAACGACGTTGTCGTGGGGAGGGGCGGGCGGCCTTCGCGGTTGGAAAGCACGCGCCGTGAAAGAAGAACACGTGGTGTGTGACACAGGGCAAGGATACCTAGTTGTCAACTATTCCCGACGATGTTTCAATGGTGCATATATGTGATCCTTGAAGGCGCCTGTCCAGTAAATATGAGATCCTCCGTGGTCAGTTTTCAGCGTTAGGGGGGCAATGCACTGTGGGAAGTATTTGCGACACGCGCATGCGCATTTCAGTTTACAGTTGGAGTTTGGAAGAAAATGGCGTCAGCTAAGTTTCTGGAGGAAGCTCTCAGCACGGACGTCGACGAATCCGCAGTAAACGCAATTGTGGGTTCACTCGAGACGCAGTTAGTGACGTCGACGCCAACGGTTGCCGTTCATCAGCCAACTTCCGTCGCGATCAGTCAACAAAATCACCAGGTGAACTCAACTATTTCAAACGGGGGCACTATCTCCGCTGTCGTACAGACACAGAAACATGGGGTTGCCAACGGCGGCAGTCAGACCTCCGTTAACAGTCTGATGACTCAGGAGGTTCCAAAATCCATCACGACGAGTACTCTACTCCCGGTAAATGTCGTCACGACAAATGCTGTCGCGCCACAAGTTACCGCACAGCAGCAGCAACAACAACAGCAACATCTCCAACAGCAAAATCAGTCCACAGTTGCAGCCACGTATATCAACCAGGTAACCTCAAATCAAACAGTTCCTGCTCTTACCAAGACACATGAACAAGTGAAAATCATTTACTCGGGTGCGGGACAAGTTATCGCGACAACCGGAGTTGTTAACGCTAATAATAAAATTACCTTCCCTGCCCAAAATGTTGGGCAACTAGCAAACGGTACACTAGGTGTTACGACACAGACGGTCCTGCAGACGGCGAATGTTGTCACAAATACCGGCACAGTGGTTCAAGCTAATACTCAGGGTGTTAATGTGAATAAACCAACAGGTACTGCTTTAGTGATAAAGAGTAGTGCAACACCAGGTGGTATGGTTTCCGTCCCGTTGTCAGTTCCCGTCTCTGTTGGTGGCAACGCTGTTAATACGACTCTCCAAAGTAAAGCGGGAGTCACGTCGACAATTGTTCCAAGTAATATGCAGATTCTCAACATGAATACAATAAGGCAAGGAACTCCTGTTGCGGGTCAGCAAGGTGGTAAACAAGTTGCACCAAGACTTGTCATCGGTCAACCAATGGTTGGAGCCAGACCTGGTGCTCCAGTAAGTTACATTCTACCTATTTTGTAAACATTACCACATTTCTCTCTTACAAAATCACTATATACGTGTCTGTTTTCATTTTCTAATTATGCAGCGCCACTGCACCTTTCAAGTGTCATTTCTCGTGACTTATTTCACTTTCTCCTATTTACCAAAAAAAAAACATTTTCAAAAAGCAAAAACCATTTTTATAATTTTTACAAGTATAGCAATTATAACCTCCAATTTTTCCATTTTAGTTTTATTTTTATCCTTTTCGCACAATTTCCAATTAAACAATTTTATAATTATAAAAAAAGACCTTGAATTTTAATACATAACTTATTAATTCAGTTGCAATACTTGTTTCGTTTTTCTCAAATAATCAAGGTATTTTTCTCCTGACGTATATAATCAAAATGTCAAATACTCTCTGATAATTTATCAAGTTGAAAATTATCTCACTCTTATCGTCTTGATACTTTTTTATACCTAAATCTACAAAATTTAAATACTGGAAAGGTTTTTTTTTAAATATTTCAATATTTTGATTTCAAAAATCATGACAATTCGAATAGAATTTAAAAGGTATTTAAAATGGTTCATTTATTACAAGAAGGAGAAATTTTTCATTCATTATTTTCTATTGATAGAGTATTTAATTGATTTTCGCCTCTTGTCAATGAGTCTTTTTCCAATTTCTTGGAATTTCTATATAATTTTCAGTCAATGTTTGTGTTTCGAAGCAAAGCTCACAGATAACAATTAGTTTATATATACTGTTCTCTTAATTTAATTACGAGATTTTATTTTCTTCGGAAGTAACACAATGTACGTTGTTAATGACCAGGATTATCGTGGAGTGAGTTTTTTTTTTAAAAGCAGTGATTTTTTTACATATTTTTTCTATCAGCGTCTCATTGTTGATTATTTGTTGCTTCTTTTTGATTCTAGTCGTTTTCGTATGTGATTACTATAAAATTAATCGCTATAAAATAATATAAGTGTGGAAAATAATTTTAATTTTCGTTAGATAAATTTATTTTCTAATTTATTTTATTTTTTTATTATTGTTTGAAAAGGCTCGCGTGAAATGCAAAATAATGCTAACATAACCTTAAAAAATATCTCGTTTGACGTATATATTATATTTAACCTTGGGTTTCTTGAGATTAGTGTTTATTAGGAACGATTAAGTGAGTAATTAAACGATAGTAAATAAATCGAATGTGAAAATGTTTTCTTTTAAATAATTTTTATTTCCTTGACTGTCATTATTTATTAACACTTGAAATGATAGTCTTGATTGGCAAGATTGGCACTAAAGATTTAATACTATTTCCTAGTAATATTGTCTTTTTGACAATTTTTCTTTTTCTAAATTATATTTTTATTTCTTTTTATTTTCTTTCCTGTATTTTTATTTTTTTTTCTATTTTTTACCTTTATTTTGGTTTCTTTTTCTATTTTTTACTTTTATTTTGAATTTTTTCTACTTTTTACCTTCATTTTGGTTTCTTTTTATTTTTCTACCTTTATTTTGATTTCTTTTTATTTTCTTATCTTTAATTGATTCTTCCGTTTTTTATCTTTATTTTATTCTTTTGATCTGTATTTTGTTTTTTCTTTTTTTTATCTTTATTCTATTGTTTTATTTTTTGATCTTTATTTTATTCTTTCATTTTTTGATCTTTATTTTTTTCTTTCATTTTTTTTTTTTGGTAATGTCCCTAAAATTTTGAACGTTCAAAAGAACGAAATATATTTTAATATATTTTTAAAAATGACTTTGCAAAAAAGATATAATTTTGAAAATTATATTTTTAAATGAAAAAAAAGATTGACGATATACTAAAATAATTTGGATATTTTTCAGATAACGTTGCAAGCATTCCATGGTCTTCAGATACAGGGGAATTTAATAGTAAAAACGGAGAATGGACAATATCAATGTATAAGAGTGGCAGCTCCAGCAGCCGCTGCACCAGGAGGCACAGCTGTTACTCAAAATAATATAGGAGGAAATACGATGGTTGCGACACCAACTGGAGGCACGACTTATCGTCTCGCGTCTGTGCCGGTTGTAAGTAGGCTGAACACTCAGTTCACTGGCCCGCCACTCGCCACCCTAAGAAAACCCATTCAGGTGACGCACTCTCATACCTCATACGAGACTCGATGTAGTGCTGTTGTAGAATTTTTCATTTGTTTTTTTTTATCTATTTTTTCCTGGTTTTTTCTCTTTTTTTTTCCTTTTTTTTTATTCGTTTATTTTAGTTCACTTGGAATGGTGTTACCTGTAAGGCTGAGTACTTCATTTGCATTTTCTTGTCCTGCATCGAATTTTGTTAACCTTGGGTCTTTTTTTTTTTAATATTTCAATACCAATCTAAACACAGGTCAAATTTACTCCCCCGTATAGATAATTTAAATTTGTTTTAATGGGGTTGCTTGTTTTTATTTTTTTAAAATTTGTAACCCTTTAATTTGTTTATAAGATTCAAATGAAAATGTTTCATTTTAGAAATTAATAAGTAACGAATGTTTGGGAAAATTCGAGATCACGAGTCTATGATAGGTGTAAGTGCGTCAATTTTATTTTTTAAGAGAAATAAAGAGAAAAGGTATTAAATTTTTATATTAAAAAAAATCTGTGTTTAGTTAGTATTTTCCCTGAATGTGATTAATGTTAATTACTTTTTTTTATTTTGATTTAAAAAAAAATCCTTTCCCGTAGAAAATTTTATTATAAACAAAAGCTGTTCAGTGAGTTTTGCATGATAAAGAAGTGATATTGCTTTAGTTTGATTTATTTTTATAATTCTTTACTGTTTGGAATTTTTGATTGATATTTAGAGAAAGAAGAACGATCTTTCTGTTTTACTCGTTTTGATTGAAGATTTCTATTTTAATTTTTTTTCTCTATTTTTGTATATATAATAGTTTAGCATGAGTATTGGCTTAAGGTGAATTCTTTTCTTGTTGAATTTTGTTTTGTGAAATTAAATAAGTATTGAAAATTGCGAGACTTTGAAAAGAATGATTTTTTTTATTCAAGAGAAAGGAAAATGGAGAAAGAGACGAGAAACATCTACGAAAGGTTTGATCATTGATTTTTTTTTTACAATTTTCTTGCATTTGGTTTTGTTTAGACGGCACAAGCAAGTGTGACTTCTGTTACTGCAAATGCAACTGTTACTCAATCGGCTCCGACCACTGTTCCTGTTACTACACCGAATGCTAATGTTACATCAGTCCAAACAGGACAAACTCCTGCACAGGTAAACACTGCTTTTTTTTGAAGTTTTTTTCACTTTATTTTGTTTTTTTCATGGTTGAATTTATCAACCAATAGACAAGCCGTTTATTAATTAATAAATAGTCATTTATTTGTTAATAAAAAGTAGTTTATTTGTTAATAAAAATCATATTAATTGCATGTAAATAAATAAATAGTGCTTAATGTGAAAAGAAAATCGTTTTAAAAATGTTGCTCGAATATTTTTTTGTTTTTCAAATTTCAGCGTCAGACCACAGATAATACCAAAGAAAAGTGCCGTAAATTTTTAGCAAACTTATTAGAGTTGTCTAGTCGAGAACCTAAACAAGTGGAACGAAATGTTCGGACGTTGATTCAAGAATTAATTGATACTAAAGTTGAACCCGAGACGTTTTGTGATAGACTTGAAAAATTGTTAAACGCATCTCCTCAACCATGTTTAATCGGTTTCCTCAAGAAAAGTCTGCCTCTTCTTCGGCAGTCCCTCGTCACGAAGGAACTTGTCATAGATGGAATAAGACCACCTCCTGCAAATGTTGTTTTCTGTATAGCTTCCGCATCTCCCGCTACTGTACAAGTAAGTTTTCTTTCTTCCTTTTTTTATATTACGTTCAGAATTTAATTTTTTACATTTATACTCAATTTTTTCACTGTCTTAAATTTTAAAACAAAACCCATTTATATTTAAATAAAATAAATAATAATAATAATATTAAAATGTAATTTAATTACAGTATTTTTAAATTTTTCACTAATTTATTTATTCTTCGCAAAGAGTAAATTCTTTAAAAAAATTATACAAACTATTCGAAAATTAATTTTTCCATTTGAAATTTGATACCAAAAATTGTTGAAAACTACGAAAAATTTATAGAAATATGAAAATATTTTTTAATTAAGATTGTAATGGACAAAATATAATACGATAAATTACGGAAAATTTTTCCTTACATTGTAATATTAAAAAGTGTGACAATTGTTATTTATAGAGTTGATGTGTGAAATAATATCGTTGCACTGAATCAAATTAGAAATAATTTCTCATGAATATCTTTTCGTTTGACATTTATGAGATAAAGGGTGTGTTTAATAAGTTATCATGTTATCATGGATGTTCGTTAGATATTGTGTCTGCATTGCTCTCCGTTTAATGAGATGTCAGAGATCAAAGAGCACGAACAAATATCGATAATACAGCAAAAAAAAAAAAAATGTAATTTATGAACAAACGAATTACATTGATGGAGAATTTTTTTTTCCAATTCTTAATTCGTCGGTTTTTAATATTTTGGCCTATTTTTATTAATTTTATTTTTTTATTTCAATATTAATATCGATATTTCAATTTAATTCAATTGTAATTATCTATTATAATTTACGTATTTAAATTATATTTACATATATAAATTAAAATGTAATAGTTAAATAAAATTAAATAGGAAAGAAGAGTAGGAAAAATCTGATTATAAACGAAAGGGAAAATTAATTATAAATAAAGTAGAGAAAATTAATTTTTTAATTATTCAATTAAGTTAAAATTGAGTTTATAATATTGAACTTTCGGTTTTGTAATTAATTTACAATATTTTTTGTTTGTTTGTGTTGTAATAATGATGTAATAATTTTGCCTTAATGGTAATTAAGTGAATACATTTTATTTATGTTAAATCAATCTTCAATGTTTTTTTATTTATTTTAAAAATGACGAATTTACAAATTTTTTTTACAAATTCAGGTCATGATTAAAAAAAATTTGCGGAGTAAAGTAAAATAATTGCTGATGTTTTTTTTGTCATAATCAAATTTGTTTTTTTCTGTTGAATATAATTGCATTTTTTATTCTTCAGCCTCAGTTAAGGAATACTTTAGCCGTCTTTCCCGTACCAGTGGGGGCGGTTGCTACTGCGGGGACTCCGATTCCCTCTGCGACTGCTGCCGCGACAACGCAAGTCAGGGTGATGACACCTCAAAATACTGTAACAACTGCCGTTCCAAGAGGAGTTCAACACGTCCAGCAAAGGCTGGTAAGTCTCTCTTGCTCTCTCTCCTTTTTTAATTTGCTAAATAAAATTTTAAAGTCTAATCACACCGTTTTTATCTGTTTCTCTTCTTTCAGTAAAAATTATTTTAAATTGAACTAAAGAACTAAATTCAAATAATTCAACTAAAGGACTATAATTTCAACTAAATATTATTATCTAATAATAAAAATAAATACGATAATGAAAATTAATGTCAAGAAGAAAGCGAATGTTTGAGAAATAAATTTAGAAGTTAATTTAAAGAAATTAGAATTAATTTTTCTTCCTCGTGGAGGAAGCTTTGTTTCAATTGTAAATTTAATTTGAATTGTAGTTGTAATTGAAAATGTAATTTTTTGTAGATTCGACCAATTACAACGGTGGCTCGTACCCAAGCAACCGCTATTAGATCGGCAATGGCTGTTAGTACAATTCGACCATCGGCAACGGTTGTTCAGAAAACAGCAACGACAACTGTTCTCAAAACAATCACTGCTGCCGCTCAGGGAAAAGCAGTTAATGCGACTACTACGCTCAACAAACAAGTTGTAGTGCCTTCAGTTCAATCAAAACCGACAATTAAAGAAAAAGAGAAGAAAACATTTTCCTCAGCTGGTTATACGTAAGAATAAAAAAAATTATCTTCATCATTCGTTAGAGTGAAAATTCTAAAAAGAAATATTTCAATCTATTTTTTTTCTCTTTTCTTTTTTAATATCTTGATTGAATTATTTAGTCGTTTCAAACTTAATTTGAAGTAAATTTCTAAACTAAGTAAACAAATTTTTATTTAACTATTTAGTTTATTGTTATTTAGCTATTGGAGAGAAATTTAATAATTCTTTTTTTGTAAAAAATATTGAAAGAAAATTGAAGAACAATCTGTAGTAAAATTCGTTGTTATAGATACTTTTAATAAATAATACTTTTAATAATACTTTTAATAAAATTTTGTAGATATAAATAAATACTATAAAGATAAAAGTACAAATTATTAATTGTTTTTTTTATTGACACGTAATAAAACAAAATAGAATAATTAAAAAGGATTAAACAATTTAAAAGCAATTATTGTTTATTTAAAAACTGATAAGAGAAGATGAAAAATGAATTCTTTTTTTAATAAAGGGGAGATGATGATATAAATGATGTCGCGGCAATGGGAGGTGTCAATCTTGCTGAGGAATCTCAAAGAATCCTTGGCTCCACGGAATTTGTCGGGACTCAAATTAGATCTTGTAAAGATGAAGCCTTTTTACATTTATCACCCCTACAGCAAAGAATAAAACAAATAGGTAACTTAATTTTTAGTAAAAATAATTTTAGTATATAAACTATATATAGTAAATAATAGTTTTATTATTATAATTTATATTGAATCAAAACTAATTTAATTCAAGTTAATTAAATTTAATTTAATTTATGGAAAAAGGGCAAAGTCTTTGCTTCTTTCTATTTTTATCCTCCTTTTCTGAAATTATTTCGTTTTTTTCTATTTCAGTGTTAAAATACGGTTTAGAGGAACCAAATCAAGAAGTAGCAACCTTAATTTCTCACGCTGTACAAGAAAGGTTAAAAAATTTAGTCGAAAAACTTGCAATCATAGGTGAACATAGGGTAGACCTTAATAAAGTAAGTAATTGGAAATTCAATTTTAGAATTATTATTGTTGTTGTTTTTGTAATTTTAATTAATTTGTATCTTCTTTATTTGCCTTGCAGATGGATCCTAGGTACGAAATTTCACAAGATGTGAGAGGGCAGCTTAAGTTTTTAGAAGATTTAGACAGGGTAGAACGTAAGAGGCATGAAGAGCACGAAAGAGAAATGCTTCTGCGAGCTGCAAAAAGTCGCGCGAAAACTGAAGATCCCGAGCAAGCTAAATTAAAAGCGAAAGCGAAGGAGGTAAGAAATTTTTATCATTTAGAGCTTTTCAATTTTTTTTTTCAACTTATTTTAGATTAACACAAAAAGAGGCAGTATTTTAAAAATAATTTTATTTTTTAAACTGTTTTTTTAGTCTTATTTTAGAATAAATAGAAAAAAAATAAATGGTCCTTTTTGGAATAAATTCTCCTTTATAAAGTGTTTATTAATATATAAAATATTTTTATCACAACATATTCATGTTGTGAAGGTAATTTTTATTAAAAATTACCCGCATTTTGCGGTTAGCTTAATAAAAGGTTAATAATAAGAACTTTTGAGTTATTCGATAACCGAACATTAAACAAAAAACAGAATACACTTTTTTTCAATTATTACAAGTGGAAAAATATTAAATTTGACATGCGGGTAGACTCTTTAAATAATTTAAATATGCAACCCTTATTTACTTATTTACTTATTTCATAACTAAAAATATTTTTATTACTGCAAAATACGATTAATGATATTTATTTTATTAAAAAAAAACACTTGATTTTATAAATTTTTATGTTTTATTCTATGTAAAATTAAAAAATTAGTTTTCAGAAATTTTGTATCACTTTTGTTCTACTAAATACAAAGTTTAAGCAACTTGGATTTATTAAGATTTAGGTTTATTATTTACTTATTCAGAGAATTTTATTTGAAAATAACTAAATTCTCGCGGCGAATTTTATCAAAATCTTTGAAAATAATTTAATTCTTTCGAGACATTTTATTGAAATTGTATTAAAAATATGTAACTGAATTCTTGGCAAAAAATTTATTAAAATTTTTGAAAATAATTTCATTGTTTCGAAGAAAATTAAAATTCTTTCTAAGAATTTAGTTGAAATTGCATTGAAAATAATTGAAATTTTATAAAGAATCGTATCAAAAGTTTTGAAAATAATTGAATTCTCGTCGCAAATTTTATTAAAATTTTTGAAAATAATTGAATTCTTTTAAAGGGTTTTACTAAATGTTTTAAAAATAATTGAATTCTTTCGAGAAATTTCAGTAAAATCGTATTGAAAATAATTGATTTGATTTCCTTAAAAGAATTTTAATATTTATTAGAATAATTGAATTCTTGACAACTATTTTATTAATATTTTTGAAAATAATATATAATTGTTTCGAAGAAAATTAAAATTCTTCAGAAGGAATTTAAAAAGTTAAAATTGTATTGAAATTAATTGAATTCTTTCGATAAATTTCAGTAAAATTATATTGAAAATAATTGATTTGATTTCCTTAAAAGAATTTTAATATTTTTGAGAATAATTGAATTCTTCGCAAGGATTTTATTAAAATTTTTGAAAAAAATATAATTGTTTCGAAGAAAGTTAAAATTCTTCGGAAGGAATTTAGTTAAAATTGTATTGAAAATAATTGAATTCTTTCGATAAATTTCAGTAAAATCGTATTGAAAATAATTGATTTGATTTCCTTAAAAAAATTTAATATTTATGAAAATAATTTAATTTTTGACAAGAATTTTATTTAAATTGTTGAAAATAATTTAATTGTTTCGAAGAAAATTACAATTCTTCAGAATGAATTTAGTTAAAATTGTATTGAAAATAATTGATTTGATTTCCTTAAAAGCTTTTTTTAATATTTATGAAAATAATTTAATTCTTGACAAGAATTTTATCAAAATTTTTCAATATAGGGGAGAGTCTCCAGTTGTGAGACGGGTTTTATTTTTGACCCGTAAATTGTAAACAGGTAAACGAAATTGTAAATAAAATACACCGTTCGAAAGGTAACAGAAATGCGCAACTTTTATTAAAAGAAAGTGCAGTGTTTCGATGAACTCAAAAAATTTTACGATACATTTTCGGAGCACATCGCTTTTGTCAAAGAAAAAAAAAAATGTCTCCAGTTGTGAGACACTCATTAAAAATTGCTAAAATTTAATAAGTTTGACATAAAACGTTATGTTTAGTATAAATAATTAAATATATTAATAATATATATTATTATATACTAAATAATAATATTTATTCGCCAAAATATGACTATCAAATAAACACAATTTAATAGCTTCAACAAGAGCATTAAAATTGATTTCTTCTGAATCAATTGACTTTTTTCCACTTGACATGCCCAAAAATACTAGAAAAAAAATCAAAACAACATTTAAATAGTATGCCTGCAAAGTCGTATTTTTTATGCTGCCCAGATGGGTGTTGACACCGTCTCACAACTGGTGATATGCTGTGTCTCACACCCAGAAATTGGCGCTATTTTGAAAAAGGAAAATTAAATTATTTTCAACCGTAGATTGGAACAATGCAATATTGCATCACAAAATATAAGGAAAACACTAAAAGAAAATGCATTACATTTACCTTTTCCAATTAATTAACTTGGAAAAAAAGTACTTTGCATTTATTGAAAAAACGCTTTTTAGTCGATTATCAGACACAGTGTTGGTATTTAACAAAAACAGTTTATATATCCGCTTCGGCGTACACGAAAAAGTTGGCTCATATAAAAAGAAATGTTTTTATATAAAACAATCGGCTTTTTAATATTGCATGTTAAAAAAAATTGACTGTCTCACAACTGGAGACTCTCCCCTATGTAATTGAATTCTTTTCACAATTTTAATAAAAATTTGTAAAAATTCTGCGAATAATTATATTAATTTTATGAATAATTGAATTCTTGCAAAGAATAATAATATAATAATAAGAAATTAAATATTCGTCCGAAACCGAAAAGTATGGACTATGAATAAGTAATAATAAAAAATTAAATAAAACTTTTTCTAGTTAATTAATAAAAAAAATTAAATATAAAATGACAAAAATTTGACATTTTTTTTCTCTTTGTAGATGCAACGAGCAGAAATGGAAGAGTTGAGGCAACGTGAAGCAAATTTAACAGCCTTACAAGCCATAGGACCACGAAAAAAACCGAAACTCGATACAGGCGGTGCAACAGCGTCGCCTGGCAATGTTTCCGGTTTAAATGCAGCATCTTCAGGTGTAAATCGACAACTACCAATGAGACCGAGGGTAAAAAGGGTAAATATAAGAGATATGTTGTTTCTATTGGAACAGGAAAAAGATACGTGTCGAAGTACAACACTTTATAAATCGTATCTAAAGTGATGTTCTGCAATGGGCAGGAACTCAAGTGACCCGCCCATAAAAAGGCGAATTACTTGTATGGTCTTGTGTGAGCTGGTCTCAATAGATCTCAAATTTCTTGACGCGCTATTGGCACCTTTAAAAGTGCCTAATAAATTGCGTGCAATTGAAGCTCGATGCCAATTGGCCTGGAGTTGTGTACACATTTTTTTTCCAACAAACGTTATTTGAATGAAAAAAAAAAAACAATAACAAAAATGAAAAAAAACAAAAGCGTCGATACTAAGCTTCCCTAACTATTGTAAATGACTGAAGTTTTTTAAGATTGTAATATACAAGAAATGTAATAAATTGTTCTTTATTTTTTAACTCGAGATCATGTCTGTATAAAGAGAGAAAAAGAGAGAGAAAGAGAGATTGATGTGTATGAGCACATCGTTAATTTTTCTCTAAGGACAACAAATTCCGTTGTTCATTTATCTAAAAGAGGTTGTATTGCGCGCGAATGTTTCCCAAAAAAAATAATAATTAATAACGAATAAATGAATTGAACGGGTTTTTTTTATGTAATCGGTTTTTGTTTTGTATATGCCTGCTCTGCATTGTAATATTTGACTTATACTTTTGGACATTGTAAATCATATTTTTGCAACAAAAAAATAAATAAATTTCGCGATAAGTGTTATCATACCAATTGAATGTAGTAAAAAAAGCGAATGAAAGGAAAAAAGAGAGAAAGAAAGAGAATGAGAGAGAAAGCACTGTCCAAACAGTATAGAAGAAAAATATTATTTGTACAGTTTAAATGACACATAAAAATATTATAGGAATAATTTTCAATGTTGGTACAACAAAATATAGCTACTCAACTATTCTCCAATATAAAAAAAATGGAATTGTTATCAGTATATTATGTTGTAATCTACATTTTCAGTGTTTATAAAAAAAAAATTAGCTGTTACGTTTTTTATTAAAGAAAGATTTACGAAACTAAGAATCACGAATATTTTTTCGATCAAAATATTAATTTATTATTTAATGAAAGAAAAAAAAGTAACTCGTTGCCGCTATCTAGGAGATATGAAGAATACTGCTTCATGAAAAAAATAGTGAATTGAAAAAAAAAATTAACAGAATAAAAAAAAAGAAAAAAAATGCGTGTACCTGATTTGTATGTAAAAAAAAGATCCGCTCTGCTGAAAATACGTGGGTGCCTATTGTACAGATTTTTCTTCTTTCTTTCGTTTAACGTCCAATATTCTCAAAAAAAAAGTTTGTCAAAGGAAAAAAATTTTTTTAAACTATCGACTGCAAATCAAATCAAAAATATAACATTGTAATTCAGTACGTTGCTTAAATTGCATGTAAAAAGTTCTTTTTACAAGAAAGCGCGTCAAAAATAAATTTTTTTCAATGAAAAGAAAAAGAAATAAATTTTATCACTGAAAAAATTAATATTTTTTTTTTTCGATAAATATAAATGTAGAAAAGGGAAAAATTGCGGCAATAGAGTCTCGTTTAAAAGAAAGAAAAACGACAAAAAAAAAAAAAATAAAAAAAAGTTTAACGAGAAATTTTTAGTAGTGTATAAATAGGAAAGTTGACTGTAAATATAGTTAATAAATATCGCGGCGACGTTTTAATCACGCGATTATCAGAAAATCTTCCCATTAAAAAAAAAAGAAATAAAAACGATAAAGGAAGATTCGAAATCATCCCTTTTTGTAAATACAGATCATTTTTTCCATTAAAACAAAACAAAAAATTATTTCTTGTCAACGCGAAGTACCATTGTACTATACCTTAAAACATTTGTTGCGATTACACATTTAGGATTTTTTTACACCGTGAGAAAGATTATTGCTCTTTATACTGCCACTTTATTGTGGAATTTCACAAAGGAAAAATGAATAAAAAAGGATGTGTAAAAAAAAAAATTTACGGTATAGCAGTTTTGGTACAGTACCTATGCTATTTTTACAAATTGTATTAATAAGCAGTAGCCAGAGCAAATAAATAAATATGAAAAGATTTAACGCGACCAATTAACTATTTCTCTTCATTTTTTTTCTCTATTCATCTTATTTATTACCCTTTATAATTTAATTACCGTCCTTTTATTATTTGCTGTTATTTTTATTTTTAAATATTAAAAAAATTTCGTCTAGGTAAAACAATTTCAACAAAATTAATTGAATTCTCTAATTAGAAATTAAATCCACATAAAATGTAAAAAAAATAATTTGTTCCGTGAAGAAATTATTTAAAGTTTATGGAAATTTTTTTTTAATTTATGCGTAAATTCTGTGAATTTTATTTAAGTTTTAATATTTTAATATAATTAATTTAATATTTTATTAACATTATTAATGTTTTTATTAATTAAAATTATTAATGATAATGAGATAATTTTAATTGAACTTTTTAATTTTAATTAGATTAATCTATTTTAATATTAAGAAGTAGGTTTATATTTTAAAATTTGTGTTAATTTTTTTGTTGATATTTATATTACTATTATTTACTTAATTTATTATTATTATTATTATTTATGTTGATTAATATTCGTTTTAATTTAATGTTAATATTATTTATTTTATGCTAGTAATTTTTATTTGTTTTATTAATTTTATGTATTAGTTTTGTAATTTAACATTTATTTTTTGTTTACCTTTGACAAACCATATTAATTATTTCCATTGTACTATTAATTTTTATTATTATTAATTTGACAATTGTTTTGTAATTTCATAATTTCTGAAATAAATATCAAATCGGATTAATTTATCGAGTGGACGTAATTTATTTTTAATATAACGTTGTTTGTAGAATAAAACACTTCAGAATATTTCATAATTTGAAAATATTTACTTTTATTCTATCGAGTAGAAAATTAGTGAATAAATTAAATAATAATTAAGTTAATTAATTTTATTTGTAAACAAAAACAATTTCCTCCATTGTTACATTTTAGAATATATAACGTGAATTTTGAAAATATTTACTCTAATTCCAACGAATTGAAAATTAATAAATAAATTAAATGACAATTAAGAAGTTTAATAATAAATAGAAGTATATTTTTCTCTAAAATTGATAAATTTTAGAATATTTAACGTAAATTTTGTAAATTAATTAATTTTATTAATAAATAAAAACAATTTCCTTCAATTGTTACAGTTTAGAATATTTAACGTGAATTTTAAAAATATTTACTTCAATTGCAACTAGTGGAAAATTAATAATTAAATTAAGTAATAATTAAGAAGTTAATTAACTTTATTAAAAAATAATTTGTATTTACCATTTTTTTCGTTTTTATAGAACTAATTTTTTAATTCTTTTTTTAATAATTTTTTAATAATTAACTTTTTGCCCTCGAGGCTTCTTAATAATTTAATTTGAATGTATCATTTAATGAAGTCAAGCATAATTTTTCAGTTTTAATAAATATTTTTTCTAATTAATTTATTTTAAATTAATTAATTTTGATTTACTTGTAATCTTTTTTTTATCCTCTCCCTTCTATTATTAGTAGAAAATCCTGTTAATGTTTCTATATAAATGTTACTAAATTTTACAAAATTTATTTTTTAATTTGCTCAATTAATTATTCCATTCATCGTTTCAAAGGAAAGTTTTTTCCTCTTTTCTTTCTTCTTTAAATTCTTTATCTGATTATTGTATTCGAATCATTGAATAATTTAAAATTCTTTTCAGATTTCTCGATTTAATTAAACACCAAACAAAGGCTTTTTGATAAAAAAAATTATTAATGATAATGAGATAAAAGTACAAAAAAATGATTTGAAACGAAAAAAGGGGGGGAAAAATTGAATTTGAAGAGAAAGAAGATAAATAGAAAATAAGGAATTAAAATGATCGCTTTTTTTTTGGTGAATAGAGGCAAACGCACGCACGCACTAAGAGGAACTGAATTTTGGTTTGAGGGCAAATTCTCGAATTTCAAACTGTCTTCCTGGCGTGCCAAAGGCTATTTCGCGTACCGGGGGAAGGAGAGAGGGGTTTCTATATATATATTGAGGATCGGGAAAATTTCGCTGAGGGCAATATAGAAATGGAATATAATCAGCTAGATAACCAGGGCTTCGCTCGGCAGCGGCGGATTCGAAGGATGACAGCCGCCGGCTACTATTCCTCGAGGCAACATGGATATTGAGTTCATCGTAACCATGGCAACTACCTCGAGGCTGCAACTCTTGTACGCTTTGTACGCTTTTATCCCTTTTCCTGCGGTTTACGTTATCAACGCAATGTTGCCTGGTACCTTTTGCGCGTTAATTCCTCGACCTCACGTTTCCTCCTTTACATTTTCTTTTTACTATTTCAAAGACGCAATTTTCTTCACAATCACAAAATATTCAAAAAATAAAAATTTCTTTACAAATTTCAAGATCTAAATTTGAATAATAAACGCTTTATTTATACTTTCCATCTGGACCGCAATAAGTACATTTCTTAACATTTGCTTATATCACCTCTTTTAATATAATTTTATGAAAGCGAAACAATTGAAATGAGATCAACGTACGATCGTTGTAAAGAAAAATATTTACACATTTGTTTTAAATACATATACACTTCAATCTTAAATTAAGTCCATGTTACATTTCAGTCAATTGAAAATAAAAAAAAAAGATTCCTAATTAAAAAAAAGTTTGAAAATTTTTGTCGGAACGGTATTGGTGAACATTTACAGAAGCTCGTCTATATAAGGGAAAATTTATACATATTTATAAAGATAAATTCGAGCTTTTTCTTTTTAGGAGAGAAAATCTCTTTGGAAGAGATGACAGTCTCAAATTTACTCAATGTCGGAGTCGCGTTGACTTCGAATTGTCCTCGACAATGAAGATATTTTACGTGGTGTCGATGTACATTGTCAAGTGTTGGCCGACTGTCGGACGAATAGATATTCGGAAAATTGTTGTCCATCAACACCGCCGCCGTTACTGGCGACAACGTTAAAACCCGCATTCAACAACCTGGTGATGGCTTGAACGGAATTCAGTTTACAATAACCATTGAGAGGGAAGCGAATAACGTGCCTCGCGTCCTGCTGATGCCAAGCGACGCCTGATCTTGCATCGATAACTGCTTGTGTTGATTCGGGAAAAACCTCGTCGAGAAGTGTTCGTCCTCCGGAGAGCATAACGCGTTCGCCAAGATCTGGACTCACGTGAAGAGCAACGCATTCATAGCTCTCGTTTCGCTTCTCCTGATCTCTTATGGGTGGAATTATTCCTCCACCGCCTCCACCACGACCTCCACTGAGACTTGGCGGTGGGCTTGGAGACGAGGTCGTCGCGCCATTCTTTATGCGATCCTTTTTCATTTGCTCCAACTGTCGGCACATTGCTGCAATATATCATTTTGAATTAGTAAATTTTAATTTATTTTCTAATGTCAATATAGACCGACGGCAGTCGGCGAAAAATAAATATTATTACTGAAAATTAGAAATTATTCTAGAGGAGTTATTAATTTCAATTCTCATAATAGCAAATGTTAAACTACATTTTTTATTTTTAAATTTAAGTTTTGACCAAGTTGTAGTCCATAACGTTGATCAACGAAAAAAATTGTTCACTTAGTAAATTAATTGAAGATAACGTAGCAATATTTACACAAAAATATTTAGCAAAAAAAGATTGATATCTTGTTCTGATAATAATTATTGTACAATTAAATATTAACTTAAAAATAATATTTGAATACATTAAATAAATTCTTTTCGTTGATCAACATTTCAACTTCGTAGTTTTTGAATGATTTCATAATCAGAATTTTAAAAAATCACTTATTAAATATACATAATTAATTATTATTGTTTATATTATCAACAATTTTAATAGAATTCTTCGCAAGAATTCAATTATTTTTATAAATAATATAACATTCTTCGGAAGAGTTCAATTATTTTTATAAATAGTAAAATTCTTCGCAAGAATTAAATTCTTTTCAATACAATTTTAATATTGAATTAATTCAATTATTTTTTTAAATAGTAGTCTTTGCAAAAATTAAATTATTTTCAATTATTTTTCTTGAAAAATATTCAAATATCTTCTTTAAAACTCAAAAAATTTCAATTATAATTCTAAAATTCAATTTTTTAAAAAATAATTTAAATAATTATAAAAATTGAGTTAATCTCAAAAATTCAATTATTTCTAAAATTGTCTGTAAAATTTATTTTAAAAATTCGATTATTTTCAAAATTTTCAAGAAATTTCTTGTAAAATATTTTATTATTTTCTATAAATATTAGAAAATGATACACTTAATTTTTTGGAATTTTAAATACAATTTTTTTAAAGAATTCAACTATATTAAAAAAATTTGGATTACATTCTTTGCAAAATTTCAATTCCATTTATAAATAATAAAATTCTTCAAAGGAATTCAATTATATTCATTAATAATAAAATTATTTTTAAGTCAATTTTAATAAAATTCCTCGAAAGAATACAATTATTTTTTAAAAAATTATTTAAATTCATTTATTTTCAAAAATTCTGATAATATTCTTAGAATGAATTCAATTATTTTTAATAGATTTTAATAAAATTTCTCGAAAGGCTACAATAATTATTTTTAAAAATATTAAATAAAATTCAATTATTTTCAATAGTTTTGATAACATTTTTAAGAAATAGGTATTAATTATTTTTAAACGTTTTAATAAAAGCTTTCGATTGAATTCAATTATTTTCAATAGTTTTGATAACATTTTTAAGAAATAGGTATTAATTATTTTTAAACGTTTTAATAAAAGCTTTCGATTGAATCAAATTATTTTCAAAATTTTTAATAAAATTCTTTCAAAACATTCAATTATTTTCAAAAATTATGATAAAATTCTTCAAGACAATTCAATTATTTTCATAAACTGTAAAATTCTTCGCAAGAATTTAATTATTTTCAATACAATAATTTTAAAATTGAAAATATTTGAATAGAAAAATTATTTTAAAAAGTTAGGAAACAAAACAGCAAACACCAACTAACTTCAAACTGTGAACAGATTACTGGAATACAACGATAATAAATATAGAAGATAGAAGATTACTTTTGTTCTATCCAATGCTTTTAAATCATTTTTAAATTAAATACCTAATCAATTTATTAATGTAAACAAAAAAAGGTAAGTTTATCGTATTAATTATCAACAAAATTAAACACTTTTTCCTTCTTTTTCCATAAAAAAAACACTTTTCTTCATTTTTGACACACTGCTTCAATATCCAACATTTTTGGATCCATATAAAAATATAAGTTAATATAATATAGTGCTGTTAATTATTTTTTAACATTTTTAAACATGTTTGAGTATAATTTATCAATAATAATTGTCATGTTATTTATTTATATTGATATTTTGATACTTTGACACGATCACAACAAACAACATTTAAATTCAGGGTTCGGAAAGTACACTTTACATACTCTATAAAGGTCCGTTCATTGTTTGCAATTTCTGGAATAAAGGAGAGGGGGATAAATAGTTTAGTTATTTTCCACAACCCCACCCTGCTTTTTATTGTTTGCTTGCTGTCACATTCATTTCTACTGTGTTAAATCTTCTCAATTGTTTAAACAAAATGTAAAAATTGTTAATCAATAAATGTGAAAAATAGTTTTTTGATTGCTATGATTCGTTTTCATCAAATAGATAAGGTAAATTATTACATTTATTAATCAATATTGAACATTTCAATAGTCATGAATTCTCTGACAACGTTTCATTCTCGAATTTTTTCGTATTTTCTGTTTTGGTATGTAAATAAGGAAAAAAATGTTCATATTACTGTATGTTAAGAAGCATTTATTTGTAGAATATTTAATATTTATCACTATTATGTTTATTTTGCTCAATTTCTTAACTAACATTGCTAACATTGTTCGATGTTGGCCATAACCTCATTTTTACTATTAGATCATTAAACGAAAAATGCAATTTTTTATTTTCATTTATTATTGATTTTTGGTTTTAAAAGAGTAAAATTTATACAAAATATATTTAGAATCAGTTAAATTTCTGAAAAAATGAAAAGAAAAAAAAAACAATTGCAATCAAGGACGTGTGAATGTCCCTTTATATAGTGTAAAGTGCCACAATCCAACCCTGCTTACTCCGTTATTATTTTCTACGCGACCCAACCTTGCATTCCATCGTTCAAGATGGCCGCCAATAGTTAGGTTTTTCGGGTTTATTGTTCCTTATCTTTTTCTTTGTTGTAATTGTTAAAATATTAATGTAAAGTTATTCAAAAAGTGATTATTTTGAGCAAAGAATATCTAGAATGATGATTATAATGTAGATGTCAAAGATTATTGAGGATTAAAATGTGAGGAACGTAAAATGTTTTCGACAAGGTAAGCATTCATATTCTAGAATTTTGTCAAATTTTCTGTTTAATATGTAAGAAATGTTAATATTATTTGTTTTAGTGAACATATTTTTCTAAATTGTCTAATATTTTTAGTATTTACATATTTTTTTTTATGAATTTTGATAATTGAAATTTTGCTCATTGTCGAACATAACCTCATTGTTATTGAATAATTGACCAAAAAATGTTTATTTTAATATATTCATTTTATGGTTTCAAAAGAGCTAAAGTTTAAATAAAATATTTAGGAAATATTAATATTATTATTAACATTATCAGTAACATTATCAGTAATTAATGTTATTATTAATAATAATACTGCGGCATAGAAAAGAAAATTGATAAAAATTCATTTTCCGGTTGCATTCACAAAAGTGAATAATTCTCAAATTTGAAGAAATATTCCTTTTTAAACTTGAAAATTTGTTAGTATTATTATATTTTGCAAAAAATATTTTTGAAATTGTGTTTACAACAATTTGGTTGTTTTTATGAATTTGATAATTCGTTGTCAACCATAACCATTTGAACAAAACATTTTCTTTTTATACTATATTGAGTTTCTGCTTCGAAAAAGAGAAATATTTGTAAAAATAATATCCAGGGAGTGATAAATTTGTAGAAAAGTTCCAAAAAATGAATTTTCCATTTGCATTTGATTGGTAACGTGAATGTTTACTAAGCCGCAATTGTTGACAAGTTTGATGTTTTTCAGTCTTTCCTTTCCTATATTTTTATATGGTTAAAAATAATCTATATTGTTAACAAAGATGTGAATATTTTCAACAAGGTGAGTTTTCTCCAAATCGTAAAATTGTCTTAAAATAATTTATCTAAATTTGTAAATTATCCACTTTTCCTAAATTTTCGAATTTTTAGGTTATGTTTCATTGTTTGAATTTTTTTATATTCCTTTTTTTTGCACTAAATTTTCTAAAAAAAAAAATTGATAATATTTTATACAAAATACTTACGCGCAATGTCGAAATATCTCGCCTCCTCGAGGAGGAGATCCAAATCGGCAAAATTGTCAGGAATAAGTAGACGAGAATTGCGCATAAAATTGAGAATATGTCGAAACATTCCACCGTCCCTGTCAATAAAATAATGCTGTTTCAAAGAATCCAAAACAATAGGTATACTTCCATTGAATAGTTTCGCTAATCTCGATTCCGGATACCTGAAAAATAGAGAAAAAAAAAATGGGTTTGAAATTGTTTTTGTTGAAATAAAATTTAGTAGGTAGGAGAAATGCGGATTCTTTGAAGGATTTAATTTGAGTTATTTTCATTTAACAGCAGCAACAATAAAGGAGCAATTTTTTTTGTACTAGTTTCTGTACCCTGGAGAAATAAAATCGGGCAGGTGACCACTGTATTCGACACCTGCTTACATAGCCGCGGGTTAATTTTGCCTCGGGTACAAAATTGCAGCAGCTGATTCCATCGAAAATTTTTTACAAGCCTCTCTTTTTTTTATATATACTAATTAATGACGTGCCATGTCGATAAAATATCGAATCTCCCAATAAACATGATTACTCCCCAGGATCGTAATAGATCGTTATCAATTTTTTTAATCCGGTTATCAGACTCATTTTTTTAGAATTATATTTCATAAATTTCTTTAATATAATAGGTATAATTTATTTAAATACTAAATAATTTATTCATTATTAGAAAAACAATTTTGTTTATCGAACGATTTTAATAATCAGTTAAACATTTAACTGCGATCAATTTTTGTTTCTTAAGTAAAACAGAATTTTTTTTTCGCAGATACAAAAAAAAGACGAACATTGTCCTCAAGGAACGGCGAAAAAAAATAAGGAAAATATAATTTTACGATTCACAAAAAAGGAAATCGAAGATAAACGAGTATTCCAAGCAAAGCTGTTAAGCAAAAGCCCTGAACAATGCAATTTATTCTTATGATTTCTTGCTTGCGGTAAATAACGGAGTTCGATTATCGTCATATCCTGGAGGACTTTATTTGAAGCGGCGCCTCGAGAAAGGTAAGCCTCCTTCATCTTTGTGAAAGCTGGCGGAACGGATATGTTTTTAATACAAAAAAAGAAGAAAGAAATTAAAAAAGGGGCAATTCAATTTTTTCTTCTTTTTTTGGAAAAAAAATTATCGATACATCTCTCTCTCATTTGAAAATGAACGGGAAAATCAGGACGAAACCGATAAAGAGTGATACGTAAATATTATATAGGGAAGAAAAAGTCTGTTTGTAGATCACGTTAATGCACTCACTTTCCGATGGGAAGTGTGACACTGATCTTGAAAAGAGATTTGAAAGAAAATTAAATGTTTGCAAGTAACTGCAATAAGATGTTTTTTTCAAAAAGTTAAATTTGATTGATTTAAATTATTTCTCGGATTTATTTTTGTTTGTATTGTTTCAATTTTTTATTAAAATTTCTATTTTGTTATTTTTATTAATAACTTTTTATAATAGCTTTATATTTACGTTTCACTCTATTGATAGTCTTATTTTCTATTATTTAAATTAAATATAATTATATGCAATTATATTCTATATTTTAATAATCGTTGTATTCCGGTAATCTATTTGCAGTTTGAAATTAAGTGCTTGCTTTTTTGATTCCTAACTTTTTAATCATTTTTCTCTTCAAATGTTTTCAATTTTAAAATTAATGTATTGAAAATACTTATATTATAATATATAATATATAATAATAATAATAGTAATAATAATATATAATATATAATATTCTTGCAAAGAATCTTATCAAAAAATTTGAAAATAATCGAATTTCTTGGAAGAATTTTATAATTTATGAAAATAATTGAATTTCTTCGAAGAATTTTATTATTTACAAAAATAATTGAATACTTGCGAAGAATTTTATTATTAAAATTTTTGAAAATCCTAATTAAATTCTTTTGAAGAGTTTCTTTGAATTTTTTAAAAATAATAATAGGGATTTTTTCATTAAATTTAGTTGAAAATTTTGAAAAAAAAAATTTTTTGAAGAATTTATTTCAGTTCATTATAAAATAATCGTATATTTGTTAATAATTGTAATTAATAATTTTACTATTCAATTTTAATAAAAATATTCATTTAAAAATAAATTCTTTTAAATAATTTTCATAGACTTTCTGTAAATAATTGAAATGGAAGAATTTCTTCAAGTTTTTTGAAAATAATGTAGTTTTTTTAATCATTTTAATTGAATGTTTTGAAAATAATTGAATTAAACAGAACAAATTTTATTATTTATGAAAGTAATTGAGTTCTTCTGAAAAATTTTCATATTTATGAAAATAATTGAATTGTTTCGACGAATTTATTATAATTTTAGAAAATAATTGATTTCTTTCGAAAAATTAAATTAAAAATAAGAAAAATAATGTAATTTTTGTAAAAAATTTTACTGTTTTTAAAATAATTAAATTTTTTCGAAGAATGTTCTTATTTATGCAAATAATCGAATTGTTTCGATTTTATTAAATTCTTTCGAGAAATTTCAGTAAAATTATATTTTAAAAATAATTGATTTGATTTCCTTAAAAGAATTTTAATATTTATGAGAATAATTTAATTCTTGACAAGAATTTTATTTAAATTGTTGAAAATAATTTAATTGTTTCGAAGAAAATTACAATTCTTTAGAAGGAATTTAGTTGAAATTGTATTGAAAATAATTGAATTCTTATAAAGAATTTTATCAAAATTTTTCAATATAATTGAATTCTTTTCACAATTTTAATAAAAATTTTCTATTTTATTAAAATATTAGAAAATAATTGAATTCCTTCGAAACTTTTATTAAAAATTTTAAAAAATAATTGATTTTTTTCGTGAAGTTTTATTAAAATTGTATTGAAAATAATTGAATTCCTACTAAGAATTTTTCTATTTTTAAAAATAATTAAATTCTTCTGAAGAATGTTATTATTTATGAAAATAATTGAATGCTTGCGAAGGAGTTTATTAAAATTTTTGAAAATAATAAACAATAATTAATAACTATTATTATTGTTATAATTATTATGAGAATGTATTTTTTTAATTATGGTAACCATTAGGAAAAATTGAATAGATCACTAATAAACACTGGTGGAAATTTCGTTTAATGACTTTTAGTTTTAGAAAATATTCACGCTTTGCTCTTTCTTTAGTTAATGAAAAAAGTATAATTTATTACTTTTTCATTTAGAATTATTTGCGCAGAGATTTTATAGAGAGAAATTTTTTTTCCTCCTCGAAAATTTTTAAGAGCCAATCAGCTGTGATGTTATGTAGACGCGCCTTGGGTGAAAATATTCTTGTGTCATAGAATTTAAAAAATTTACATTTAAAAGCATTCTCAAGGTCATTGGAACAATTATGCGGAAAGAATATTTTTATATACTCGCATTTTGTGTATAAAATGTATATATAACCAACAATTTTTATATTATACACGCGCACTTGAAGTTGATTTTCTTCTATGCGGTTATATATAAAAAATAATGTGTATATACGTATATTATGAAGCTGTGCGCGCAAAAAAAGGAAAAAAAAGAGGACTTTCTGTTCTCGTCGTTGTACCTTGTCGTGCGTTATGGCACAACGAGGGAGGAGTAAGGTACCTTCGGGCCGGTTCCCATACCCTCCTCTTCGCGATAACGTATAATAACGACGGCCTCGTGTTGCCCGAGGCGTTCGTCTTCAAGAGAGATACCGCAGGGTAACTATACCTGGTGAGAGACCAACTCGATGGTGCCAGATATGTACTGTTTTTGCGTCCTTGGTACCAGGTTAGAGTTTCATACTTGTATATATATAGCCACTGGCATTTGCAAAAAAGACAAAAAAAAAAAAAATTAAGATAGAGAAAGAAAACTTTTACAAGATTGATGTAACTTTTATTATAAAGTTTCGAACTCTTTCTTTTTTCGAGATGATGACTATACAGTTTTATGAAGATTGTCAATTTATTTTAAAGTTTTAGTGAAATTGAAGTTTGAGATTTTTTTTATGTGTTGGTTCTTGGAGTTTTAGAAAAAAAGAAGGTTATTTTGAGGATTAGAATCTGGATTATGTATTTTTTTTATCGAGTTTGGTGTATTAAAAAAGTTAATTTTTTATTGAGATTAAAAAATTTGGAGAAGAAAAATTAATTTGGTTACTTGATTTTATTTGTATGAATATCTACTGGTACCAGGCAATTTTTATTTGAATAGAATAAAAATAAATTCGGAATAATTGAAATATATTTGAAACAAATACAATTTTTTTTGGAAGCAACAAAAATTTATTTCAAACAAATACAATTTTTTTTCAAAGAAATAAAATTAATTTGTAACAAATACAAGTTTTTTACGAGAAAAATATTTATTTGAAACAAATACAATTTTTTTACGAGAAAAATATTTATTTGAAACAAATACAATTTTTTTCGTAAGCAACAAAAATTTATTGGAAACGAACAAAATTTTATTGACGCGAATGAAATTTACTGGAAACAAATACAATTTTTTTTTAAAGGTAAAAATTTATTTGGAACAAATACAGGGTTGCCACAGGTCAGGGAAAGTAAAATTTTTCAGGGAAATCAGAGAAAAGTCAAGGATTCTTATTAAAGTACTGGAAAAAATTGAAATTTGGAGAAGTTACAAATGATTGCAAAAATCCAATTATGTTCAAAAATTTTTAAAAAATCTCGTCAAAATTAAATTATCTTTAAAAATAATAAAATTCTTCTCCAAATTTCAATTATTTTCAAAAATTTTAATAAAATTATTTGCAAAATTTTAATTATTTTTAGAAAATTTTCCTCAACTCAATGATTTTCAATATGTACTATTTTCAAAAATTTTTCAAAACAATTCAATTATTTAAAAAAAAAAAATGTTGATAAAATTCTATTAAGCAAACATTAAATTATATTCACAAATAATAAAAATTTCACAGGAATTAAACTATTTACAAAATTTTTTATAAATTTATTTGTAATAATTCAGATATTTTTATAAATAATAACATTTTTTTACAAAAATTCAATTATTTTCATGAATAATAAAACTCATCATAGAATTTCAATTATTTTTAATACAATTTTAATCGAATTCCTCGAAAAATTTAATTATTCTTGAAAATTTTATTAAAATTCCTCGAAAAAATTCAATTATGTTGATAAAATTCTTTATGATAATTCAATTTAGTGGAACATTCATTTATTCAGTAAATTATTAATTTTTCTTTTTAAATAATTGAATTCTCGTAGAATTTTCCAATAAAAATTAATTTAAAAATGAATATCAATGAATATATTAAGAGCATTATAGCATGAAAATTTAAAAATAATTGATAATTGAATTCTTTCGAAGAATTTTAATAAAATTTTTGAAAATAATTACATTTTTCGAAGAATTTACTTAAAATTGTATTAAAAATAATTGAAATCCTGTGAAGAATTTTATTAATTTACGAGAGTAATTAAATTCTTGCAACAAATTTTATCAATTTTTTTTTAAATAATAGAAATAATGTAAAGAATCTTATTATTTATGAAAATAATTCAATTCTGCAACGAATTTTATTATATTTTTTTTTAAATAATTGAATTCTTTTGAAAACTTTTATTAAAATAGTAGATTTAAAAAATATTTAAATTTCAACGAAGAATTTAATTAGATTCGTGAAATGTACTTAAATTCTTGCAAAAAATTTAAGAAATGAATTCCATTTTTCTAGGATTTTATTTTAAATTTATTGTATTAAATATAATTGAAATCCTCAGATAAATTTTATAATTTATGAAAATAATAGAATTCTTATAACCAATTTTATCAAATTTTTTTTAATTAATTGAATTTATGTGAAAAATGTTATTACTTGTTACTTGTAATAATAATTGAATTCCTGCAACGAATTTTATTAAATTTTTTTCAAATAATTGAATTCTTTTGAAAACTTTTATTAAAATAGTAAATTTTGAAAATTTTTGAATTTCAGCAAAGAATTTCATTATTTGTGAAATGTAATTTAATTTTT